GGTGGATCAAAATCATGTCCTGTTTTGAAGATTTTTGAAGTGTTCCTAAAAAGGGTTGTAAATTGATGCAACTTGGAGAGTGGCATCCAATGTTTTGGTATGTACAGGAATCATTTGGGCTTTCTGGGAACCTAGAGAGACATACATTTCCACATGCCTGTTGACTTGTGTATTCATCTATTGTGCGTGTTTTTTGCCAGGGTGAGTTTCGACTTCATGTCATGATTCAGCCAGGAATCCTGTCAATGACCTGTTTGTCCACCCGAGAGTCTAGATAGAAATGTTGGAGATCCAATCTGTATCAATACCAGCGGCTGCAAGCTAATCATCTATTTTCATCTGTTTTCAGGGTCAGCTTGTAGCATTTCATTGTCTTATCGCGGAAGTCTGCACTTATCACTAGTGATTCCTGACTGAATTTGGAGCCCCCAAATTTCGATCCAGTTGGGTCCATCCATCACAGGGAAGCTCATGTGTTTCAATCCATCATCGTGGCCCCTTACTTCATATTACATCATCAAGCCCTAATTAATATAACTCTGGTTGGCGGTTTGGAACATGACTGGATTATTTTTCCCATCATATTGGGAATTTCAGAAAATCCCAACTGACGAACTCATATTTTTCAAAGGGGTAGGTCAACCACCAACCAGAACTGTTATTGTTCACCAGCCATTCAGCCCAGCCACTACCCATGAAACAATGCTCATCTCCACGGAATCCTGAAACCACATTTCGACATGAAATCATCATGTGGGTTCTATGACACATGCCATTTTTCATCACAATGAAATCGCCAAATCTCATTAAATCCCATTAAGTCCCATTAAATCCCATAATTCTCCCATAAATTACAATGAATAATCATTGAATATACCATAAGCCCCATAAAATTACAATGAAATCAGCGTCAAATCTCATGAATTCCCATCAAATACCCAAGCCACTGTTAAACACCACTAAATCCAAAATACATTACGATTTTTCATCCGATTAAAAGATGCATATAGTATATATAACCCCTATTGAATCCCGTTGAATCACAACGCATTGATCTATATCCAATTATATAAATCCATATAAATCCCATTCAACCACCAGTAAAACCCCGTGAAAATATCATGTAAATGCCATCAACTCCCGGCGAATCACCATGAACATCTGTTAGATCACCAAGAAATCCCAGAAAATCCGATCGAATCCCATTGAAAAGCCCGGCCTATTCAAAAAAAACATGATATAAATCACCATTAAATCCAGTTAAACCGTTAAACCACGATTAAATCACAATCACCATGAAATCTGCATTATATAAATTACATCGCATTAAATCCCATGAAAGTTAAAAATTCGCTTAAATCCCATTGAATCCAACGAACTTATATACCATGAAAAACCACCATAAAACCACCAGTAAATCTCCAACGAAAATCTGAGGAAACTGCAGAGTTTCATCGAACAAGTCCAAGACGATGAGTTCCGCACCCTTCACAGCGAGCTTTTTGGAGACTTGGAGGCGGGAGATGAAGCATGTAACGGTTACAAACAAATCAAACAATAGGTCAATCGTGGAGGTTTCCTAAAATGTGGGTAGCCCCAAATCATCTATTTATAGATGGATTTTCCATTATAAAGCATCTATTTTGGGGTACCCCCATTTCAAAGTCAATCAATTGGATGGGTAGGAACTAATCCTTTAGTCTGTTAGTATGGGACTATCCTACGTTCACCAGCTAAGAATTTTCTGTTTGTTGCAGGGTATCTAAGATTGGCCATGAGTAATCAAACGTTGAATTTGTGAGGATGTGATTGACCGAAAGTTAATGAAAGTTAAACAAATATAAGTTGGTTTACAAACCCAATTCAGTTCGATTAAACCACCGGACAGCTTACTGAAATTGGAGTTATAAACTAGCACAGTAGATTAAAACATGAATTAATCTATGTGCCATGGTCAAGTGGAGTTGGATTAGAGTGAGCCATGTCGGTGATGGTCATCAACACATTTTCATAGGGATTCATATAATGTATTCATTTTTCCGCAATAGGATGGACGACCATACCTATATATACCATCGTTTAACCACAACTTTACGAAAATCCCGCTAACTTTGCTTGGCTACATGGTCATTTTCTCCCATGTTTACTGAGTGTCCAGTGTAAATTATTGTAAATTGCATTCTGAAGTAAGATGAAGTAACATGAAGCTTCACTAAATCATTTGAAATCATATTGTAACTAAATCGTTTCATAGATGATATGACAATATATGACATCTCAATTTCTGGTTTACAAAAAAGGAGTACCAAACCTGTGGGTTGAATCCAGGCGGACGACATGGCCCCAAGCAAGGCGCCATATGGGGGGTTGGAAATCGCCTACCTGGTAGAAAGAAGGAAAGGAAAGGAATAAGAAAATAGATAGATAGATAATTATTCTCACACAATTCTACATATCAAATTCAAATATAACTATGATGTTCGGTTCGGTTCCCACAAAATTTCGGTTCGGTTCCTGCGGTTCGTTTTCATTTGCCGGTTCCATGACCTCGCGGTTCGTTCCGGTTCGTGTTTGTCGATTCGTGTCGGTTCGTGGGCACACTGCTACCACCATACCTGTAGTTTCTGGGGAGGTCTTGCATATCATGGAGAGATATGGAGAGGGGATGAAATCTGGACTTGAGTTAGTTGGCCGGAATGTACTACTGTGGGTAAGTTCGATGGTACCCGCTCAGAAAGAAAATCGTGCGTGCATGCCATCGCAGCCAGGGTCACGATGAGTCAGCTGTGCATTTGTGGTACCACCATCCTTCCTAGATATGACGGTTCCAAGGAAGTAATTTCATCATTTAGAGATCGAAGATGGGGAATATTCCATCTTTTGAATGATTATTAGTGTGTATTAAGGAAGGTGATAAGAGCCAGAATGATAAGAATGATAATAGTAAACCTCGAACACCATTATATACCATTATATATGTGTTTTTTTTCGGTTTTCCCCGAAATGACACCCAGAAATGGTCAACCCCCAAAAAAATGCAGACCCACTCGTAGCAAATCTGCAACTGTTTTTTTGATAAAAATGCGGCTAGAATCGTAGCAGCGCTCAAACAAGTGGCTGCAGATGATCAAAGCCGTAATGACCAAAAAAACGGTCAAAGACGTTTGACCAAAGAAATGGTTGCGTGTTTTCCACTGTGTATGTTTTCATTGCACACAAAATAGTTGTTTGACCAAACACCCATTCATCTCATACATCATCTACAAAAGGTAGGGCATTGGACCATGCGCAGTTGGCATCCCGAAAGTGGAAATCGAAACTATCTATTTGGTCTCTCCAACTACCTTAAACATGAAGGTCGTCTAAAATGGGGGTATCCGGGACACCTCAAATCATCCAGAATTTGACCAGTTTAGTATAGTTTAGTATTGAACTCAAATTGAAACCCATGGTTTTTGGGAATTTATGTGTCTTTCTAGGTATGGTTTTGGGGCTCCATTTGAATCGCTGAACATGTTCCTTTTTCTAACTTTCTTGGTATCAAACTTTTTTTTTTACCACCCATGTGGTTTTATTGGTTTTCCCCAGTTTCCCGAAGATCCCCCGTTGTTTGGATGGTTAGAACGCATATCAATGGAGTTGACATCAGTCCCGAAGGCTAACGAACTTCAGGCTCCACAGTCTATGACCATCATGACCGCGCAGGCGTTGATGCTTGCGGAACATCGGGGGGAAGACCTGAAGTTTAGTTTCAAGGACCGCTCTCCGCAATGGTGGAGCTATGGCATGGTTGGATGGACTGGGGTTCCAATTTGCTCAGATTTTGCATAGCATTTGTTCAAGTTGTAATGAAGAGCATTTGTTGTGAAGCATGGAAAATAGATCAGATATCAACAGATATCATATCATTTTTTTCTTAGAGTAATATCAAAGCCAGTTCTTCTGTTCCATCTGTAGAATTTGTTATGGGTTACAAAGACGATATGGCTATAAAAGTGGAATTTGTGCATTCACATCGTCTGCAAAAAGCGTGCCTAGCCCGCTGAGCTACACTTTTCGTGTCAGATTAGAGCACCAGAAAGGACCATAACTAGAACTTCATAACAGGTAATATGGTCGATGTTACCTACCAAAAAAGTACAGTACCCGGTGCTTGATTTGGTAAGCTTTGGTTTGGTTGGTCAATGGTCTGTTTTTGTTAGCAGTTAGGATTGTTTTTATGACGGGCATCGGGAATTCCGGTCCAAACCGAAAGTACTTTCCTTTTTTGCAGTGTATCTAAGGGAAACCATAGTTGTAGCCTGTGAATTCGTCCATCATAAACATCGTATAAATCGTATATGGTAGAATTTTGTCATGATACTGTGGATGGTCGCGAAATCCTGCATCACCGTAGGGATGGTTGAAACTCTTTAAATGGGATGTAAATCCCACCAACTGGTGCAGGATTTCCAAAAGCCACCGGAAATTTCCAGATCATTTCCCCAGGATGAAGTCGAAAGTGAATGCATCCTGTCCCGAAAGGCGCAGCTGCTGGGCGCAGGGGATTACTATTGCTGATTGATTGATTCCATTGCTGATTTCTACTTCGACACGGCTAGACCCTCAAAATGTTTCTAGAATGTTCGAAATCAAATTTCACGGCTTAGAAGCCAATCTTCATGTGTAGTTTTGAGATTTTGAGGGTCTAGGTTACTGTTATGACTCCCCAGCTGGGCGTTGTGCAGTCAACAAACATGAAAATGCAGCCAGAAAACCTGGGGTATGCCCCAATACCCCAGTTTATAACACTGTGTTAACCGCATTATTGTCGGGAAACATCATGATCAACCCTTTAATTTGTGTGACACCCAATTTCAAATTAGATGTATAAACAATCCTAAACACATATATAATAATATATATATATATATTAATAATAGTAATAATATGCAATAATAGTAATATCGAGAAAACAGCTGTTTTACGTGCAACTGGTGTTGCAATCTTAGCACAAAGCCATGGTGGTCGCCTGCCTCACATCCACGCCGCGGAAGGAGGCGCTGGAGACCAAGAGCAAGGAGATTAAGGAACTACAGGCGGCACGGAGTGAAGCAAAAAATGAAGGACATATCTGGAGACTGGAAGAAATGTTGCACCAGTTGGTAAGTGGTTGTTTATCCCGGTAAAATCACATGATTTACAGATATTTACAGTGTTTCATAGTGTTTCGTAGATTTACCAATAGGAACCAACTGGCGCAGGATTTCGCAACCATCCAGAGTATCTGGTGACTTAACCAAAAACAATGGTGGTATCATGGGTATATTGTACTAGGATATACCCTCTAGTTATTTAACATACCGAACTGGAAAATCACCACTGTTAATAGGTAAATTATTAAAAAAAAAACTACAAATGGGCCATGGCCAGGGCTTCCATAGCAACTGTTAAATAACCAAAATGTCAAAAGGGTTTTGCTTTGGAAGTCTCTGAAAACTCGTAGCCAACTTAGAACTGCTTCGTTGACATTGTATGAGATGATGCATTTGTATGCACTTGTTCAGTAAATAAGAGAAAAACAACATAATGGAGGTTTCCTAAAATGTGGGTACCCCCAAATCATCCCGTTTTATAGGATTTTCCCTTATAAACCATCCATTATGGGGTACCCCCATTTCTAGGTCAATCTTGGATGAGTAGTTTAATCCTTTAGTCTTTTGGTATCAACAGGATTATCTACGTTCACCAGCTAAGAATTTTCTATTTCCCCACCTGCCAGGTGAGGGTTGTTAGATTTTATGTCAGTTGCCTCCTCCTCCTCCTGCTCCTCCTCCTCCGCCTCCTCCTGCCTCGTCCTCCTCTCCTCCTCCTCCTCGTCCTCCTTGTCATCCTTGTCGTCCTTGTCGTCCTCGTCCTCGTCGTCCTCGTCGTCCTCAACTGCGACCCGCGATCCACAGTGTTCTCTGCCGGACCTCAACCACGACCACCCACGCCCAGTGTTCCCTGCCGGACCTCAACCACGACCATCCACGCCCAGTGTTCCCTGCCGGACCTCAACCACGACCATCCGCGCCCAGTGTTCCCTGCCGGACCTCAACCACGACCATCCGCGCCCAGTGTTCCCTGCCGGACCTCAACCGCGAGTATCCACGCCAAGTGTTCCCTGCCGGACCTCATGTAGGAATGTCAGATAGACTGCCAGATAGAATGCCAGATAGAATGTCAGATAGGATGCCAGATAGAATGCCAGATAGAATGCCAGAAAGAATGCCAGAAAGAATGCCAGATAGAATGCCAGATAGAATGTCAGATAGGATGCCAGATAGAATGCCAGATAGAATGCCAGAAAGAATGCCAGAAAGAATGCCAGATAGAATGCCAGATAGACTGCCAGATAGAATGTCAGATAGAATGTCAGAATATATGTCAGATATAATGCCAGATAGAATGCCAACATATATGCCAGAATATATGTCAGATAGAATGCCAAAATATATGTCAGATATAATGCCAGATAGAATGCCAGAATATATGCCAGAATATATGTCAGATAGAATGCCAGAATATATGTCAGAATAAATGACAGGTAGAATGCCAGAATATATGTCAGATGAAATGTCAGAAAATATGTCAGATAGAATGCCAGATAGACTGCCAGATAGAATGCCAGGTGGAATGTCAGGATATATGCCAGATAGAATGCCAGAATATATGTCAGATAGGATGTCAGAATATACTAAATATATGTCCAAATACACGTCCTGACATGTCATGGTGGGGATCACACGAAGTAGAGTAATTTTTTGCAGGGTATCTAAGATTGGCCATGGTTTATGGAAACCCCCATATAGATGATCTCAAGATATCTCAAGTATCGCGCGCCAAGAATGACACTCTTCTGGATTTCCAGCAATATAGTAACTTGGGTCATGCGCCTATGAAATTCATCGGAACTGTACCAGATTTGTTTGTCCTTTGAATCCCAAATCTTCAGTGCGTCAAGCAGTATTTGTGCTAATGTTGGATGCTGATTAGTGGCTAGGTTCGGTAGTGTGGCACATTTTTCCCATATTATTCCGAACCCATATATTGTTTTTAGGGTTTCACTACACTATTGTGGCAAGAAAGTTTGGGAGACCATTTTATTTTTAACAGCCTGCTACAATTACTTTAAATACTGCAACTACTAAAGGTACAACAAGTACTACAAGTATTACAAGTACTACAAATACCACAACTTCATCGGCAACAAAAACAGTTTTAATTAGATTTCAATTGTAGCCAATTGAAATCCTTACTTAAGTGATTATTTTTCCCTGGGAAGAACATATTTGACTTTCCACTTTAAAGAGAGTACAGCTATTGTTTAGGGGGGGCTCTCACACTAATCAGGAACCAACATTACTTATGTAGGGTTTGAAATCACAACCATTTCTTCAAGTTATGATTGACTTCGACCAGCAGTTGCGGATCTTCATTTGATGTTCAACAGGCTTCAACCAATTATCTGGGTAAATTATAACGACCTCACGTCGCGACCGAAACCTGGAATAATGGTTAGTAAGGGAAATCATACCAAAATGACCTTAATTCAGGTTAGTGAATTATTATAATTTACCCAGAATTATGGTTTTTATTTCCGAACTCCCTGAGTTGCAATTATGATTTCAGGTAGTTTTGCTCAAGAAAGTGGAATTATCAAAATTCAAGCCGGAATCCCCATCAAAACCACAGCCATTATTTTCATGTTTTGGTGGTTTTCCAATAGTCATCCCATTATTGCACCATTACACCCAAATTTCCATACAATATTCGCCTATATACTTAATCATGTTTTTAGGGAGTTTCCAACAGTAGGTTTCCAATTGTTGGTTATACATCCCGTCACATTTCCTTGTACCTCTGGTTAGTTTCCTGTTATCTAACCTTTTCGACAGCTTTTTTTGGGGAGTTGCTGCCCTCCATATCTAGATGGTTTTTTCCCCATTCAAACCAGCCATTTTTGAATGGGTGGATTTCCCATGTGGAATATTGTGGAGGGTAACCTATAGGTATACTGTAGCCTAGGACTCCCCAAAAAAGTCATCAACCATCATTTGTCAACTAATATGGTCGTATGTTTCACGGTCAACCCCCATCCCTATGGCCCTATGGCCAGCCCCAAAACCACGCCATCAATCGCCATGGCGTCGCCGCCGTCGGGGTCCCAGGTGATCGTGAAATCCTGGACACGGAAAATCAGTGCCCTGAGTTGTGAGGATGGTGAGTGTCAGGAGACGCTGAAAACGTCGCTGGGCTTGGGGGATATGGAATTCATGATCGAATTTATTTAAGTTGACAATATGTCAAGATTATCATGGAGTTGGTATTAGATCTTGTTTTATATGTTATATACTATTTTATTACATACATTATACATATATAAGTATAATATATGATTAGATGTCTCTGTCATTTCTGTTAAATGTCATGTTTATTGCCAATGATCGTCAAGGCAGCGGTCTGTTTTGTCGGCTGGATAGAGCTCTATACCGAGGCTTTGCCGCATAGGTTTTGCTGGATTTTAATACAGAATTACGGCTTGCTGTTGATAATTTGATTGTATTCTGTGATAATATAATCATATAATATATTAATATGTATGTTTATGTGATTCAGTGACTTGTGAGAATTAATGATTATTTATGTGTTTTACGGACATTGTTGTTTTTTTGTTGTAGCCAGCATGTTTAGTTTTTTTTTGGGGGAGATATCGTTGATCCGGACTATGTGGCTTGGGATTTCAAACAGGGTCTTAGAGAGCCATGTTGCCTACAAAGACAATGTCGGAGATATGACCCAGTACGGGCCCGGGGATGGGTATATTCTGATTCCAAGGATCAAATAGATTCACAGTGGGTCGATGTATCACCATCATTCAAGGTGGACTTTTGAATCATGGTCAGATCTATGTTTGCAGATGAAGTTCTAACCAAACAACATTGAGGGTTGGAAATCAACACGATATTGCCTTTCATTCCAGGAAAGTTCTCCAAAATTGACGCGTATATTTTGCAGGATGACCAGGGTTCAGTACTCAGTATTCATGCTCGCTCAAGCAAGGTTGAAAAAGCGATGTGCCCACTGTGCAGTAATTTTCCTCAGACCTACAGCGCCCTAATCCCAACTAAAGAAAACACATGCGCGGATCAGACATGTTGACGGAAAATGGAAGAATAATTCGTAGCTATCTGAGCCCAAAGTGTGGTGGAATTCGGTATAAAGGGGAGAATCTGGTCTGAAATGGCCTAAGTTTTCATGCCAACAGATGCTTGTAGGATCATCCTCAGTAAGTGGTTCACAAAACCCTGGGTGTTAAGTCCCCTAGAGCAGGGTAATCCCAATATTTGACTAGGTTACAACTTATTATAACATGTTGCCCCCAAGTAATGACCAAACAGTTGCGCTGCGGCAGGAGAAACTCGCCGAAGCTCAAAGTCTGCTGGAGCCACTGGTAGAGCTCTGGTCCGCTGCAGCAGAGTGGTTGAAGGCGCCGGGCTGGGCAACTGATATCGCGGAGGGTCAAAGAATTGGAGATATACCGATATACCCACAGTTTCGGGGCCATCAAAAATGGGGAGAACGAGTGTTCAAACTTGTTTAAAGTGTTTAATCCTGGGAATGCGGTCTCTGTTTTCGATCAAACGCCTTTTGTTGATTCTTGTGGGTTAGTTTCAAATGATTTGTTATGATTTGTTCATTTCATTTGTTATGACTTCAAATGTTTTTTTTTATTGAGGCTCACACTTTTCATCGATAGTCAACCCAGGATTGATGTGATGTAAGGCCCAGGTCTGTTGGAATAGTATCCCTTGATTCCCTTGATCTGCAATCGACTCCAGGCAGAACTCCCAAGACTCCAAGGTGTCCAAATCTAGCCCTACTTTTCACCCATCTATATGAGCAAGGGTCAAAAGACGCTATGAAAGGCTTCAATTACGATCCGCCATCACTACTCAAAATATGTGATTTACTGTGTGTAGCGATAGGGGGCCTTATGTAGCGATACCTCTTTTTAGACTTTGTTTCTGATTGAAGCTTCCTGTTGGGCGCATGACTTTCCAATCTTTTGATGTCAGAGTGCGACACTGGAGCAGTCGCAGTGGGCTGGTCTTCCTGGGTAGTTGCAAGATGGCCTGTCGTCAAGTATATATGAGATAGTTACATTAAACAATATTGATATATTGGGGTATGTTGATCTATAAGGTATGCAAGAAACTAATTCATAACGCATCATGAGCTTGATGATGGTGATGATGCTGATGATGATGGTGATGGTGATGATGTTGATTCAGATAGTGACCGTGCTGAGATATGTTGAAAAAGCATCCTTGTGCGGTCACGGACGCTTCTCCAAAGCCACTGTCCAGGAGTAGAATTGCAACATGGAGCTTGTCAGAATTTCGTGTCACTTGAAACATACACCTGAGATCACACATTTTCTGGTCCCCGTAGCGATGCCCGAAGCGATACCCCTCGATACCCAGAGCGATACCTGAAATCCATGAAATTAGGGAGTACCCCACATGGTCACTTGAAACTATACAACTTGTGCTATAGGTGGAAAAATATGGGAAGTATGAACAAGGGTACCCTCAAGTTCTTACTGGGTTAGTTCTTAAAGGGTTCATTTGGTCAGGGTTTTGCCGATTCATTTTGGCGTGGTATTAGGTTGCAAAGGAGGCGGGGTGAAGAAAAAAAGGCGCCGGAAACAAGGCAGCACAGGCAAGACAAGCCAAGACAAGCCAAGACACCAACACAAGCCAAGGGCAGCCTCCGAGGTCAGATGACCTGCAGTGAGTCCGGCTGGTGTCTAGCTGAAGCTGTCGACGTCAGCCTTGGTGATCAAGTAAAAGTTTGAATTTCCCTGGAGATACCATCGCAAGGGGAATAAGAATCCGATTCCTCATCTGGATCCTCCTCTTCTAGCAGCAATTCTGCCTAGTTGGTGAAAAGGGTGCTGGGACTGTGTGTAGCGATAGGGGGCCTTATGAAGCGATGCCATGACCTCACCACATGAATTGAGTTTTGACCGTCGCACATATCATCTTGATATGGGTATGGATCCATGTATGCTACATATGGTAACATTTACCATCAATATACCCCCAATGGTAGTATATATATATATACCATACATGGATCCTATGGGATAGTGTTTCTATGTGTTTCTTCCAGAAGCACGGTAGCATGACTTAGTCGATTAGTTGCCATTGATTCCGTTGGAGTCCTAGCTGGGCTGATGCTGATCAGCCCAGTTTAAAAGACCTGCAAGACGTTTGACCAACAATTCCTACAAGACGTGAATCGCACGAATCGAACACTAGAGTTACCATGAGTTACTAGAAAGTGAAATTCGATCTCTTTTGGATTTGTTTTTCCAATTCTTACTGTGCAATTAGTGCATGCCATTGACCCGATGTTTCACCATCGCCGGGGCCCGCGTTTCCAGGTTCTCCGCTTCTGTGGTGATGCGCAGGTGGCATCCCTACAGGAGGACCCGGGGGACCTGTCTCCGTGGACTCCACTTCCGATGTCACCACAAATCTTGGAATATCTTGGAATCATCCCCACCAAACTTGAAGATTTTGGGCAGGTGATTGGTTGATTCTAGTCCGATGGGTGGTGTGAAATCGAATTTCTTTCAAGAAATCGGATTCCCCTGCAATGATGAGCAAAAGCAAGGAACCCACAGAGACACACTGAGCTAGGTCCAAGTAGTGGACATTACGACGTGGTAGATAGGTCCCCAAAGACAAAAGCAACCCCTTAAAACAAAGGGCAAACCTTACAAATAAAGCCTGTTTGATTACATTTGAGCCACCACTATCAGAAATAATGCATTACGAAGTTCTTGCTGTAAACGAAGGTGACCCTTTGAGATACATAAAAATATATTACACATATAAATATACATAATATATGTATATTTATATATACATATTATACATGTATATATATATATACATATTATACATATATATATATACATACATATATATATATATTATTATATATGTATAATATGTGTTTCATATATACCAGTAGTACCGCACAAGGCGGTGGCGGAAGTTTCAAAGATAGGACACTATCGGAGAGGTGAGTTGTTGTGTTGCATGGATGGCAGAGCGAGTCCACTGATGGACTGAAAAACGGTTGGAGTTGTGTTGTTTGGAGTGGTTGCTACGGTTGCAGTGCTCACCTCACCCACAACTGCTGGATGTAGTGTGCTGTAGCGCAGCTGTAGTTGTAGTTGTAGTGTAGTGGAATTGTAGTTGTAGTATAGTGTAGTTAGTGTAGTTGTAGTTGCAGTTGCAGTGCGGTGTAATTAGTGTAGTGTACTGTAGCGTAGTGTAGTGTACTGTTGTGTTGCGTACTGTAGTGTAGTATAGTATTTAGTGTAGTGACAGTGCAGTCTAGTGTACTGAAGGGTAGTTGTAGTTGTAGTTGTAGCTTTCGTTGCACTTGTAATTGTCTATCTATCTAAATGCCTACCTGCGAAGCTTTTCTGCGAGATTCCTCCATTTTCGAAGTTGACAACATCAAAACCGCAGCAATTCCGCGAGACGTCAACATTTTCCAACTTGGCAACATCAAAAAAGTACCACGCATGCCACGCAAAACCAAGGTTGATGTCACCAAGTGCCACACGTGCCACGCCAAAGTGAAGGTGTGTGTGAGCAAGCTGTGTGTGAGGGAGTTGTGTGTGAGTGAGTTGTGTGTGAACAAGTTGTGAGTGAGTGAGTTGTGTGTGACTGAGTTGTGTGTGAGTAAGTTGTGTGTGAACAAGTTGTGTGTGAGCAAATTGTGTGTGAGAGGGAGACGGCTGCCGATGTCACCAAGAGTTGTGTGTGAGAGAGTTGTGTGTGAGAGAGTTGTGTGTGTGAGTGAGTTGTGTGTGACAGAGTTGCGTGCGAGTGAGTTGTATGTGAGAGAGGGAGTTGTGTGTGTGTGAGGGAGTTGTGAGTTGTGTGTGAGAGAGTTGTGTGTAAGTCAGGTGTGTGTGTGTGAGAGGGAGACGGCGGGAGGCAGGAGGAGCGGACGGGAGTGCACAACCAAAAACAAGAACCCCACAACAAGATGTGGGGAAAAACATCATCAATTTTGTTTTTTACACTGTATTTTTTATATTTTGAAAATTTTACATATGTTTGTTGTTACATTCATATCGTGTAGTTTAACCGGACATATATATATATATATATTATATATATATATATTTGAAAACTATTATATTCAAAATCTCATTTGTCATTTTTAATATATCATATATATATAGATTCGTTTTTTATCCTTATCAATAGTATTATTATTAATATAATCATTGTTTTTTATGATATATCATATATCACAATTACTATTTACAAACATATCAGATTATATATGTATACTATCAATTTTATGAATGGAATATCTACGCTCCATGCCACCAAAACATAGCTTTACATGGCACAGTCCCATACCCTCCCGAAGCTGCTAGGATTGGTGCCTGGCGAGGTGTAAGGAGATGGAGGAAAAATTGGAAGATATGCTGCCCATTTGCCTCTGTGCCATGGCATTTGGAAGTGCAGTTCCAGTAAAAGTGGGTATATAACTTCAATTCTATGGGCCCCATGGGCCCCAACTTATGCGGTTGAATTTCCCATGGTTGTAGCACTCTGTAACCTCAACTGCAGCCCCAAGCAGGACTTGAATTTGCCGAGAGTAGATGAAATCCACAAGTCTTGAAAAAATCGAACAAGGGAAACCATGTTATATTTTTTTGAGGGGTGCTTAATCAGCACATCCAAGAGGACTCCGGACATCGGGCAACTTCGGCCCCAGAAAAAGTAAGGTTGAGTGGAGGGTTCACCTGCAAACCTACGGAGTTTATTAGTTTGACAAATTCCACGTTTTATTGATTAGAGCTATACATTATATGTATACATATATATATATATTACCCGGGTCTTGTCCAGTCTTTCAGCTGCGATTTGTTGTGTTTTTGATTGAATGTTTTGCTGGTTATGTTACTTCTTTAGGCCGGTCAGGCCCTTGAATGGTCTATGGCATCATACAATATGATGAGTTTGATACATCCCCACCATATAAGACTTTGACTAGGCAGTGGTCACTCTACCAAAACGTCTTGCAACACACCCGTGAAAATGAAAACTCACCCACATGAGAATCTGATATTACGCACAAAAATTGTAATTTAATGTTCAAAAAACATAAACGTCAGTATTTACCAATGAAAAAAATGTATGTAAAAATAACATTTATCAGTTAACAATGTATTTACCCATACTTTTTGGTAATTTAACATAGCTAAGGAAACAATCATTTTTGAGAGGTAAATCATGGAACTAAATGGGCCGTTTCTATTGCATTTACTACCATTTACTCATAAACTATCATACATCTAGAATCTATATAATATAAATCTCACATCCGAACACAACAAAAAAACACAAATTTCACATCCGAACAAGAGTCCTATGTAAGATACTATACACAGCAACCTCTATACACAATCCTATTCAAAAAGAACAGAACATCATACAGATCTTTAGGATTTTGATGTGGAAAAACACAACATCCTATTCATAGATGTGTATTATGAACATCAATATCCACATCTATCCACATCTATCCACATCAAAATAACACAACATCCTATTCAAAATCCTTAAAAAAATGATGGACATGTAGCTATTAAAATGGCCATAAGTGTGAAACTTCCCATTATTCAAAATCCTCAAGATCTGTATATTTCCACATCGATGGGTTAACAGCTCCGAGAGATTTTTCAGGCGCCGAGCTGCAGACCCGCTGCGAGATCCTCCGTGAAATTTTGCAGCTGGTCACTTGGGAGAAATCACCGTGGAAAAAACCGGTGCAAATTGGGATACCCTCTGGTAAACTAACATAACTATGGAAAATCACCATTTTCAATGGGTAAATCCACTATAAATCACCATTTTCAATAGCTATGTTAAATTACCAGAGGGTATGCATGGGATGTTTTCAGAAAATCAGTGTTTTGTTTTTTTGGTATATTTTTTTGCACATAAAATGATTGTTTTGATATTGTGTAATGATGTATTTCTTTCGTGTACCATGCACTTAGATCAATTGATCATCATTTACCATGATTGGTTGTGAACAAAGGAGGCTTTTTGTTGCATGATAAACGGTGGGAAGAACACATCCATGGTTCAAACCTATTATTTTGCCCCACATGTTAATCCAAATGGCTATATGGGATCCTTGGACCTAAGATTTGCATAGAAACCAAAAAAAACTCCCCCAATTCACATAGACCATGATATTTGCCCATGTTTAGAGGAAACTCGTCTTCCAACCCTTGTTTTGAGGATGATAAATCATGATAAATCCACATGAACCTGTTGTCCTTTGCATGTGGGCTGGTCTGAAAATAGCGTCCCCCCAATGCCGAAATTTTCCCATGGACATGTAGCTATTAAAATGGCCATAAGTGTGAAACTTCCCATGGTTTTCGCCTCCCAGTATAACTTGGCATTTGACGTCTTAGGCTTCGATTTTCAAAGGAGATGATCTACAGGAGATGCATTGGAATCAGCTGGAAACTGCGGCGTCTTGGTATCCATTTTTTGGTGCCGTTTCATAAGGAAAAACCATTGGGATTTGCCCGTTCTCCTCGATTTGCTGAAGATGTTTTCTCTCATTTTCCGCAAGTTGGACATCCACTACTTGGGGAAACTATAGAGAGAACACACAGGTTTTGGGGGGTCCTTATGCAAATCCAGGTTACTTCTCCATATTTCATAGCCTGAGTTAATGTACATGCTCATGGACAAATAATAACGCTGAAGAAATCAGCAAAGCACCGAACCAACGAATAGCCTCAATGAAAAGGCCCCCTTGTCAAGCCTTTGGTGGAGGCTTCGTCTGCCGAAAAAACAACAATGCCACGCATGAAGCAGCGCTTTGCAGTATATTCTCTCTCTCTATATATATATATATATGTTCATACATACACATATACATAAAATTACGTGTATGTTGTATGTACAGTATTGTATATATGATTGTATATGATATATATATATATAATCTTAATATAATATTATATATATATAATTTTATGTATGATATATTTGTTGTTTGATTATATTATTTACATTTATTTACTTTATTCTAATTAGAACTGAGTCTATATGAAGATGTTGTTCTGAGGTCAGCTCTGTCAATTCTACACTGGAAGCGTAAAAAACGGTGATTCGACGGTGATTTTCCTTTTCGAAGAGCAGATTTCCTGGGTAGGATAGAAATCTCTGACAGAGGAGGCAGTTCTACTCCAGTTGGCAGGTTTGAGACTGATAAACTGGATATAAGCTATAGATTTGCCCAGAAATGGGATATACCGCGAAATAGTCAGGTTAAAATGGGAAACAGTTTCGACCCCACTTAGATGGCTGAGCTGCGCCATGAATTTGACAAATCAGCGATTATAATTGTATGTAAGGAGTGTTTTTGTTTCCGCCTTTTCGGTCAGAAAAAACAGGTATACAAATTGGATCAAATTTCTTCACTGCACAAATTTACAAAAAGCTTCGTCAGGTTTTCCTTGGGCTGAAATCCATGGCATTCCATGGGTTTATTCTCCAAGTCCCCGTTTCTAGTCCTCGTGGGTAAAGTTGTCTTTTCACCAGCAAATGCCCGCTTTAGCTTGGAGATCGTTGACTGTCTTTGGGTCGGTACATTCAATTTTGTAACAGGGGAATGACTGACTTGCCGATGCTTAATTTGTCTGGGCAAATTATAATAATTCACTAACCTGAATTAAGGCCATTTAGGGATCATTTCCCTTAACCATGATTCCAGGTTTCGGTCGCGACGTGAGGTCGTTTTAATTTACCCAGATTTCTGTGTGATCACGCCACATCGTAAGATTTTCGATGGTTTGCGGTTGGGGAAATGTTCCTTAAATACATCTGGTGAGTTGGTGAATCAATAGCTATGATGACTGGATGCTGATTGATAGATATATCATAGATATATCATAGATATATAATAGTTGATATATCAATAGCTATGATGACCAAAAACTGACTTTCAGCTGGGATGCGAATCCAGACATATCCCGTGCTCCCCCCTGAGGAGTTGAACTGGCCAGGTAGACCTTGGTTTTGTCGAACTTCTCCGAAGGGGTATAAAGGTATTGATGGTGATCAAAAACACATCAATCATAAAATGAAACAAGAAAGGCAGACATAGTTAGATTGTCCAAATTAACAATATTATGTTTTTTTTTTGTAATAATATCAAATAATCATGACTAATCCCTTCCATGTTTGGTAGTTGCAGCTTGCCCGTTGTGATAGGTCGACAAGTGGAATCTAAAGACCGTGCAAGAGATCAGACACAGGCGCAAGTGGAGCCATGGGGAACATGGGGAAGGGGCGGCTTAGACGGGTAAGTTGGTTGAACAAAGTAACTAGCTTCATGAACTGGGTCTATAGATATTTTATGATATTTTTAGAGTATATATATATATATCTATATCTACAGTACATCTATATTAGATTATATCAGATTATACTGGGTACCTGGCAAATCCTGTAATAATATGTACTGGTTGGTGGTTTGGAACATGTTTTCTTTATGACTTTCCATATATTCGGAATAGTAATCCCAACTGACTTTCATATTTTTCAGAGGGGTTGAAACCACCAACCAGTATAGATATGTTTAGAGTATATCTATATCTACATCTATATATCAGTACCTGTATCTATATGATTCTATATCTACATGTATCTACCTATCGCATCCTCTCGCATCCTATCGCATCCTATCCCATCCTACCTCATCCTATCTATCTATCTATATCTCTACTTATATATCTATCTACCTACGTACCTATCTACCTATCTACCTAAGTATCTCTCTGTTTGTTTGTTTGTTTGTCTGTCTGTTTGTTTGTATATCTATCTCTACACAGGTGACACAGTCGGATGGCTTCACACACCAGCTTATAGCTGGGGCCGGGGCATTTTCTGGGTACACATTCACCAACAACAAGAGGGGATGGCGCGAGGGGGTTGGGGCAGGTGATGTCTTGGACATCCTCAACTTGTGCACGCAGAACACTTATATTTCACGTAAAATCTTCTGCCGGGCCCATGGGAACTTGTTTTTCTTCATCTTTGAATTCCAAAACTGAACAGGAACTAAAGATTGGAATCCCAAACTTCGAGCACTGAGCACTTTGGGTCCATCTGGCTGAGCCAATGACTAGTTACCATATGCCAACAGAGAACCACCCATAAAACAACAATAAACCACCCATTTGGGAACGGTTTATACAGCCTATTTATGGTGACTTGGGGGATGGTTTATCATTGTTTTACCCACATTAATCATTTTCCCCATCAAAACAACAGCCATTTAAGGTATACCACATTTTCAGACAAACCTAAATTGAAATAGCCTGTGGCCACAGGGTTGTAATCCGGCAATGAAGTTGGTAAGTACATCCCATCAACTAGTTCGATATAACATTAGATATAACCCCTATAAAGCCTAGTGAAACTGAAATTATGTTCACCAACTTAATTAGCTATAATTCTTGGTTTATAATCCCATCAGCCATAGATATAACTCCGAAAAATGAAAAAGTTGTCAAAACCTAGTTATGTACCCCATGAAATCATACTTATATCAGCTATGCATTAGTTATACATTCCATGAGATAGTACGTTGATTTATCTCCATTTATGTCCCATCGGATTTAAATCCACTGTAGGTTATAGATCAGTGCCTATAGTTATAATTATAAACAATTGTAAGCAAATAGACCTAGTGACGTATATGGAGGTTTCCTGAAATGGGGGTACCCCCAGTCATCATCCATTCCAATAGGATTTTCCATTGTAAAACATCCAGTTCTTGGGGGTCCCCCATTTATGGAAACCCCCATCTGGATGTTTCCTAAGAAGGGTAGCCCCCAGGTCACCATGGCTTTCAAGACTAAGCCATGGTCTAATGACTTGCATGATTTGAAGGTACCTCATATGTTTAATAAATCAGCTATACCCTCTGGTAAACTAACATAGCTATGGAAAATCACCATTTTTATGGGTAAATCTCATGAAACCTTCAGTTTTTCTGGGGCTCTGGAAGGCTCCATAGTTCGAGGAACCTGACCCTGGAGGAGAAATGGATGGGATGAACCATGGGATAACACTGGGGGTTTATAGGGGTTATATACTCATATATATATACACAGTATATAATGATTTAACCCAAAAAGGCAAGATGCCGTATTTTTTTGAAAAGACCAATTGCATTTTTTTTGAATTCTGAATCCATGTGATAATTTACTAACTGTACATTTGTTATTTGATTGTGCTGGCATACAAAACATGGGATATTGATGTTTATATAATCTGGGAGATGGATTCGGGATAATCTTTGGGATCACATCATGATAGATACCATAGCATTTGCTGGGAATATTTGGAGATAATAGGCGCCAGTGATGACATGATTATTGGGTGACGATGATATGGATAATTTGTTTGAACATGGAGTATATCCCCGAATCATCCAGATGAAAGCATTTTAGTATTGAAACAACCATGATGACTTGGGGATTACGGTATATATATTTTTAATTTTATTTTATTGGATAGTTTTACTTTATAGTATTGAAACAACCATATATATATAATTAGTTTTAATTTTATGAAATAGGTTAATCCTCATTGGATCATAATGGATGATGTGGGATATTTGACCACGGAAAGTTGGGGTAGAACGTTTGGCCATTTTGAGCGGAACGTTGACCAACTAATCGATTTCAAGCAGGTTGAAGTGTAGATAGTCCCTTTGATTTCTCAGCAAAGATGTTCTGAAGCGAGTTGAACAGAACGTTCCTCTGCGATCTCTGAATTTCATTTCGAATATTTTTTTGAGGGCTCTGATCTTTACCGTTCAACACGCAGCCAAACTTGGCCAGTTCTCATGGGTTGTTCATGTTTTCAGGACCGTTTTTTTTATGTGGATTCCATCTGATATTGATACCCTCTGGTAAACTAACATAGCTATATGCTATCATAGCTACGGAAAATCAAGATCTGTAATAGGTAAATCAACTATAAATTATAAATTGCCAATTTTCAATAGCTATGTGAAATTGCCAAAGGGTACAATTCAATACAATTTGAACCAACTTCGATTTGAATCTTCACCTTGAAGAGTTTGGTCCATGGGTAGAAGTAGAACAAGATGATGCTGTTAATTTACTAGTGTTGTTTTTGTGTTTATCGACGGTCTTTTAACATGTCGAACCATTCAAAGAGTCAAAAACTGTACATCCAGCCTCGTGAGAATTGTAGGGATCGCTGCTGGAGTAAGATTGATCATCTGATATCTCCATGTTGCTATGATATTTGATTCCGGAATACATACTATCTGGTTGATGGTTTGGAACATTTTATATTTGTCCATGTATTGGGAACAATACTCCCATTTCACTAATATTTTTCAGAGGGGTTGAAACCACCAACCAGCTATTATTATGTAATTAACCTCTTTGAACTATGGTGAATCGATGGCTCCATTTTTCCATGCTCACTTCATGTTGATTTAACATTTCTTCATCCTTCCTGTGAGACTTCATGCCGCGTCAGGAGTTAGTGCAGTTGGACTTGCTGCTAATCCGTCAGCCGCTGTTGGATGTCTACCAACAGGCCCGGCTCGAAAAAAAACTTATTAGATTCGTCGCTGGAACCAGGGTAATTTGGTACCATAAAATATAAGGTTAGTCACTGGAAGAATGTTAGAATTATCCCAAAAGTTAGCCTTATTTCAGGTTGGTGAATTGTTATCATTTACCAAGATGTATGATATACCCTCTGGTAGATTAACATGGACTCAGCAGAAAAGACCCCATTTTTAGTGGGCACTCATCTTCCAACCCCTATCTGGCAGGGTCTGTGTTAATTCACTGGGGGTATGGGGTACGATCTTTTGGCAGTGTTGGATGTAGCAGGCCATGAAGGCAATGGCTGAATCTTCGGTCAGTGGATCCCCCCAAACCCAGCTTTCCTTGGTCCGTGTTATATACTTAGCCCTCAAAGCATCCATGAAAATTGGCAAACTCATGGGCCCAGTCGACTACCCCAAGTTTCGAGGCACTTGGAGGGTCTGGGTACGCAGTTTTCAGGGCTTTCCTTGGGCTTTCAGTTGACCCATCAACTATAAATATTCGATAATACTCGGCTAAAATGCTAAAAGTATGGGGCTAAAAGTATGGGGTACCCTGTCTGGTGATCAGACCAAATGGACCAAATGGCCAAGCCTTTTCCTTGGCTTAGGCCATGCATCAGAAGGAACTCCGGCAAGAACTGGAGGTGCTGATGGGTCTCCGCTACCCCAACTGGGATCTATACTATATATATATATATACTGTAAACCAACTTACACCGGGGGAGCCTTTGTGCCTTTTTTCCTAAACAAAGAAGGTCTATTGGAAGATCACCATGTTTGGCACACATTTTGACACATCATCTACTGATCGAAATTGAGGATTCTCCATGGCCAGATTACTGCAGGGTGTACCCGCCCATTTGATGGCGATGATACCTTGGGGCCGTGATTGGAAGGCCATGCCCAAGATACTTAAGCGTTTTTTTTTTTGCATATGCTTGTTTGGTAATATGAACCCATCTAAAAAACAGAACCGGTACTATCATGAATTATATATATATAGAGTTCATAAAACTACGTATATATATAATTATATATATATAATTATATATATATATAATTATATATATAATTATATATAAGACAATATACATGCATACATACACACATACCTACATACCTACCTACATACCTACATACCTACATACCCACCTACATACCTACCTACAAAGCTACATAGCTACATAGCTACATACCTAGATATCTTACCTTACCTGACCTTACCCTACCTACCTACGTACCCACCCACCCACCCACCCACCTACCTACCTACCTATCTACCCACCTACCTACCTACCTACCTACCTACCTACCTAGATACCTAGATGCCTAGATACCTAGCTACCTACCTACATACATACGTGCATGCATGCATACATACATACATACCTATAGTGATAAAATATAATCATATGTATATCTACACAATACACATATACCGCCAGGCGCTGCAGAAGCATTGGTCCAACGCGCGCCTGAGGGTGGCACGCCGCGCCAAGGTGACGGCATGGTGGCGTGGTGGCGGCTTTTGTTCAGCCAAAAGTGAGGAGTTCATGAGAAAACCAGATGGATTTCAGTGATTTCAGACATGTTCAGACTACCTTTTAAGGGAAAAAACTGGATTTCTATGGATTTCAGAGTATTTTTGGGAAAACAACTAATTTTTTAGTGGGTTTTTAACGATTCTGGAAGTGAAAATACCATTTTGAGGGAATTAGATCGGCAAAATTAAGGGTCTTAATGAGCAGAATATGTTTTGAATTTTCATGCGAAGATCGTCCCACTTCGTACTTGGGATGGTATGAAGCAACCAGATGAGAAGTGAGGACTTGGAATTTGATGGAAACTAGGGATGTTCAGGGATTAGACCAGCGATGGATGTTGCCAAAACTGTGATTTAAGACAAAGCATTGGAGAGCAATCGACAGAAACAAGAGAGAGAAACAGCAAATTGCGATATGTGACGAAGATCTTGGATGTAAATAAACATCAACATTTTAGCGGACACAATTGAAAGATAAAACACCAGCACGACAACTGGTTTCCATCCCGGAGGATTCAATTGAGAAACGTGACGATTTGGAACATATTTTGAACAAGTACTGGAAAATGGGATTATTTCAGAAAACAACAACTTTTCCAGTACTGGTTTACTTTCCAACAACTACTTTTGTCAAGGTTTCCGACCAACTTTGGTTTTGGGCCACCTGGGCAACGGTCGGTCGAAATGGTCTTGCGTTCGGGGTCTTTTCGAAAGCCACATTCATCAGCTGCTTCACATTGGATGTTTGCTGTTTCATAAAGCAAGCAATTTTATTAGCAAGATCCAAAATCAAAAAAAAACGATATAAAGATGGGAAAATCCTACAGTACTAGAATAGGGGTAATTCACATTTCTATCAGGGGATCAACATAAACCATTTCAACCAGCGAGGTAATTAACCCTATTTGCACCCTTAGATATTTAATTAGATAATCATAAACAATATTCATTGACACATTTTTTGTTCATTAAGCACTGAATGTCTGGCATCAACCATCCAATTGGTAGGTATAGTCTACCCTCCAGCAATATATCATCCAGCAAAATCATGCCTCTGAGTCCCAAAAATGGTGCCGGATGGTACCCTATCTGGTTGGTGCTTGGAACATTAATTTTATTTTTCCATTCAGTTGGGAATTTCATCATCCCAACTGTTACTCACTCCATCATTTTTCAGAGGGGTAGGTCAACCACCAACCAGTATTTCCCATCATCATCCATATTTTAATGGTATTTTCCACTATAAACCATCATAAACCATCCATATCATCCATTTATAGATGGGGGTAGGTCAACCACCAACCAGCTATAAGTCATAGCCTGGGATCTATGGATCTTTCCCCCATCCCCCAGCTGGATCGGTCCCCTGAACAGGTGGCGCGTCCGCCTGAGGCCAAGGCGGATGAAACGCCACTTGGCGCCACAAAAATCCATGACCAGAGACCAGAATTGGCGGTTGATTCTGGTTTACAGTCCTATAAAATCGTAGAAATAGTGATCCTGTAGTGTATACTTTTTTTAAATTAATATGTGTTAAACCATGAAAATTACGATTCATATGAATCTGAGTTTGTTGATGCGGTGGTTTCCTAAGTCATGGGGATACCCCAAATCATCGAAGCCATGGACTGGATTGGATGACCATGATTTAGTATTGAAAGAACCATGGTGACTTGGGTATCCCCCATTTGAAGGATCCACGCAAATGTCAAGCAATGAATTTATATAATCCAGGCCTAAACTTACTAGGCAAATTTTAACAAGACATTGCCGGAATTATTGTCGATTTGGGATGATAATAATTGATGGCTGATCCATTTGAGGGGCCACCTCATTTTCAGACACATCCATACAATGTTGGGTTGGTACCCCGGTTTGTAAACCTGTTGCAACCCTCCCGCACTGCAACTGACAACATTTTTACCAAGCATCAGCTACCTTCCAAGAAACTTCAAACACAAGCATACATAGGTCTGCTATGGTCTGCTGAACATGAGATATATGCTCCAACTAACAATTCTGATGGGGAAAATCATGATAAACCAGCAATATTTTGGGCGTACCCCAGTTCAAAGAAACCATGTGAGGATCAGCACATAGATCATGCCGATCTCCTAGGTCGCGGACATAGAAACCCACCTGGGGTAGGCGAAGCCTTAGCAAGGAATGTTGCTACATAATAAGGCTCACTGACCCGGTTACACCATATAGAATATGTCCAAACATGTTCCCCAAAAAGTCCCCACATGTAGGCAAATCTATCATTGAGCATGTTGAATAAGTTGGTTTATAACCCTCAGTGACCATAGAATACTATAGATCTGGGTAGATTATAGCGATCCTATGTGACCTTACCATAGATGTTGGCCAGAGAACTCATTCCCAGCCGAAGAAATCTGGTTTGGACAAGAATATCACATATCATCACTTTCCAGGTAGATACACCTTATATACCATCAAACAGATTTAACATAGTTATTTCAATCAACTTTGCTATCATTTCGGGGCACCTTGGAGGACATGCTATTTATCATAAATCTGGGACAATAATGTCGTGACCTCACTGTGACCTCACTGGAATTATGGTTAGGACTGGCAGAATCCCCAAATGGTTAAGACTGTGAAATATGATGATGTAGCCCATATTTACCCAGAAAATTCCGAGTTCACCTCGCTATTTCAAGCAACTTCCTTGGCGCAACTTCCGCCGAGGCCAAAACGCCGAGCATCTTTGTCCTTGCTGGATGCCAGACCTGTTTGGGACCTAGGGGTGTGGTTTCAGTTCGCAAGATGTAAGGCGCATTTAATGAGAACTAGTGGGTATTTTATAAGGGGATTAACTGTAATAGAACTATGGGATACTATGGATATTTACTAACTAGGTGTAAGAGTCAATATCTCCAAACCATTTATATTTTGGAATGTATAAACAATAGTTAATGGGGTTGAGATTTATATACTACGGCCACATCAATAAACAATCAAATCATAAATCATTTTGATTAAGAGGTATGCACATCTCAAGTCGAAAAATTGTGCTGGGATGGGTGTCCCAGTTACTGGTCCCATGCCAAAATCTGGTCCCAAGATTTTGGTCGGCTTAGCTGCGTATACTTCATTTCTGTTGTTGATTCACAATGATTTCTGAAGATGTCAGCGGCTAACGTCTTCAACATAAACTTAAGGATGTTGTCTTCCAGACCGTAATTGGGATGGATAATACGGGTGGAATCCCTTGTCCCCATATGTCCCCGTATGTGTAGATATATATATATATATACATATACACATATAATATGCATATCATGTTATCGCTCCTGAGAACCTAGTTTCGTACTGAGTCTCGTCATATCTGGCCGTTTCTGAACATGGTATCATACCTCCCACTGGCAATGTTGACGGGGAAAATGATGAGAAACGACATGTGTTGTTTATCTTGATACCCTATTTTCGGGAAAACCCATATCCTCAAACTCAGTACCCAACGACAATCAAACATGCTGGAAAAGTCCTCAATTAGATGATTTTTTCCATTAGAATGTGAGCTGGGAGAATCATCAAACAAGTGCCATTTGAGGCGATCGTAACCAATTGGAAATCATCGGAAGATCACTTGCCATTCCAGGTGCCAGAGATGCATCCTGAGGGGAAGAAAACATAAAAAACAAAACACCAGTTCTACGGCTTCAAAAATGCTAATGCTGGTAAAACAATAATTAATAATAAACCATGCCCCAAATCACCATTTTTACAGGTGGTATGTTTACCATTCCCAAATGGGTGATGGCATTGTTTTACCCACATTACAGTCCCTCCATAAAAAGGTTCCTGGAATTCCCATGTCGTTCCCAGTTGTGGAAACGGAGTGGTTTTTGCCGGACGGTGCAGGTCTATGAGGGCCTGGCCAATGCTGAGGCACTTCTTCAGGACGGGACATACGGCAGGGGGGATTGACGAGTTGAGCTTCAATTCATCCAATTGTTCTTAAATGTGGGGTTTCATAAAATGGGCGATCCATGGTGATCCCTATAATTAAAACCATGGGTTTCAATATACTAAAACGGTCTAATGACTTGGATTCTTTTTTAATTGCACCCCAATTTCAGCAGACATCCATCCCATTAAAGGAGTGTTTTAAATGAATCCTGTTCCATCTGGAGACCATCACCCCTCGACCCTCGATGGAGACAGGGAGTTGACCACAGCATATTTTAAGGGAGACTGTGTTTGTGCAGACGGTGGGAGTGCATCCTCTGGGTCCAGAGGATGATCTCACCATGAGGAGAACATTTGGGCACCGCCCACTGCTGGGAATTTGAAGGCCCAACTGCCCAACCAACCGAAGGATTCAGCCTGTGAAGGAGAACAGAAGGAAGTTTGCAATAGAAGACGAAAGACGGCATTCGTTCCCGAGGTGATGCGCCGAAGAGGCCAAAGAGGGTTTTTCCGCTTCAGCACCATTGCAGAAGAAGCAGAAGATCTGGTAAGATACGAAAATAGAACTCCTGGTAGAAGATGACTTCATGTCGCAGATTTATTGACCTTGGGAAATACCTTGGGCTTTTTGAGGAAATAACAGATAACAAAGAACATAAAATAATATAATTATATATATATATATTAGTTTTATACATATAAATGCCAATAGTAAAATGTCAATATATTATTAATATTTATTCATTGTTAATAATGATTTGATGATATTTTTTGAATAATATTTTGATTTTTTAATAACAAATTTAATATTAACGATATTATTCATGATCATATTATTTAATATAATATATATATATATAATTCTTAATATTATTTTTTGAAGTCCCATTAAAGTCCCCAGTTCATTCATCCCATGATTCATCCCAAAAAGCTAGTGGAACGTTCCACTGAGGAGCTTGAAGAATCCCTGGTGACGGCCGCTGTGTTGTTGTCGAAAGCCGACAGCAGTGGTTCCCTGGTGACGGAGCTCCTAGACCAGGCAGGGGAGCTCAAGCGCAACATAACATGTTGTCGTTATGTTTAACGTTTGATGGTATACCTAGGTATATATATATATACATGTATGTTTTTTGATATGTATGGTTTTTATCATCATTTACGTTTTTTTTTTTAATGCATGGTTTATAATCTACTAGTATGGTTTATATTTGTATGGTTTATAATTTATGGTGTATGTGTGTGTGTGTGATGTGTGTGTGTGTGTTTTTGTTAATTGATGTTATGCCTGGAATATATTTATGGTGTGTGATTATGAACCACCAGCCTATTGTCGGCAAATGATTCCACAAGGGGTGGAACATGGGTCAATATCAACACATGGGAATATAAAGCATAATATATGGACACTCATTGATGAATATGAGAAGGTGAACCCCGGAAAAAAAAAAGAAAACCTGAGTCCAGATGCTTATCTAGATTGGGGGCTAGCAGTTTTCATTATAGTGCTGCCCGTACTCTAGTGAAGCTGAGGTTCCTTGCTCTGGAGATCAGTTCTACCTCCCAGAAAGCCTGCTGGATCTGTTCATTTAAGACACCCCTATCCAATCTTTCCCCTTTTTGTGGATGAAATTCCATGCATCAATCACATCCGATGAATTGGGGATGAACATGGACATTTGCCTCAGATCAAGAAAGCCCCCCCTGGAACCGGTCTCAGGGTCACCTGGTTCATCCCATCTATAAATCACTAACTGGTTCGTGGTTTGGAACATGAATTTTGCTTTCCATTTCATATATATGGGATGTCATCCTTCCCATTGACGAACTCCATCATTTTTCATGGTTAAAACCACCAACCAGGTTATTATTAACCATCATTAACAATATATGAACCATATAATGACCATATATTAACCATATATTATTAAATATTATTTGTATATATAAATAAATAAATATATATATATACCCTCGTAAATCAGGTCAGTACTGGCTGGGTTTCACTGGTTTCACTGGTTGCAGGTGATGACATGGCACAAGGTGGTTGCCTCAATGAGTTGCGACACATCCAACCATTGGTTGATGAGTCAGGGACTTTTTACCACCAACCATAGGGTAGTTTAACCGTGAAACATATGGCGACACAAGTATAAAAAGACTACACAGGATTTTGAAGACTGCTGAAATGGCGATTTGTCCATTCCATTCAGGTCAAGACTATCAGAAGTTGTCTGGAGTACATGTATGGAGTTGATTACCTTTGCGTTCTGTTTCCGACCATATTTAATGGGTTGAATGTTTATGTGTTACATACCCCATGTCCAATTCAATCGTGTACTTCAGGACAAATGGGTAACTATGATGCCACTAGACTAAGTCATGTTTGGAAGGTCACTCTTGTATTGGGTAACCATTTAGACGATGTATAGCAACCTCAATCAATTTTACCAATAGATAGTATTGACTGGGAAAAACTTCAAGCAAGGCCGTCAGGTTCCTGAGTTTGTTTCTGGGTCAATCTTGGATGGTAGTTTAATCCTTTAGTCTTTCGGTATGGGATTATCTACGTTCACCAGCTAAGAACATTTATTTTGCAGGGTATCCAATCGGTATCCAAGATTGGCCATGATTGGATCAATTTGTTTGAATCATTTGATTCCACAGACCTTGCTTCAGTCCCAAACCATCGCCTGGGTCCAGTGTCTCACTTCGCTCAGAAATCCCTGTGATCGGTCTGTGATGGGTGGATGACAGTGGATGACTTTGTTGTTTTGACGTGTATCCCCGTTGATTGAGCATGTTTCAACTCCGTTTTCTCATTTTGGATGTTTCCCTCATTCTTCTTGGTGATTCACTAGCATGGGTCAGTTTCGTGGGTCGATGCCACGGGCAATTGCCTACACCATGGACCTCCCATAGGGGGGCCTAAAGCACAGGTTTTAACGGGTGGTGTTTTCATGTCATAGAAATTATTAAGGAAAGCGGATGGTTGCGCGGGCATTCCAGTCTTGGTGAGGACTTGGTTCTGATGCAAGACATCCTGCAGGAGAAGCAGCCAAACGACGCGGCTTCGTTTGAGCAGTGGGTGGGTACAAAGCAAGGATTTTTTTTTAGACTATCCCCCCAAAAAAACATGGCATTTGACCCGTGGATGTTTGGTGATTTCATCCTTCAGTTTTCATAGGTCAAGGATTGCAGGACTGCAGGATTCCTGTTGCGCCGCAGGATTGGCTGCGTCTCCAGAACTTGAAATCTGAGTTGAAATTTGTCTACACTCTTCCCGTCCCTTGGCAGAAGACCAAATCCGGGACCAGAACTCCGACCAAATTGGAGTTTTTTCCCAAGGAGATGCCAGGGGAACTGGCTTTTGCACATATAAATACATAAATAAATAAATAAATAACCAGATAAATAAATAAATAATAAATAAATAAATAAATAAATAAATGAATAAATAAATAAATATATATATATATATCGAAACATATCTAACAATTTAAACTCAAAAGTCCCTTCAACGGGCTAATCTCTTGACCACTCATTCTTTGGGGGGGGGCAGATATTTTAAACTCCTAGCATTCTGGCTGTTCTCTGAGCCAAGCGGCAATTGATGCGTTAATTTTTATCAGGTCTATGCGCAGGAGTGCATTGGAATTCGGTTGGATGTCACACATGGCTGCGTACATAAAAGCAAAATATAACTGGATACCCTGTACAACCCTCCGCTCTATTCAATCAGAATCTAAAGTCAGGTAAATAGATTCGATCAGATGGGATTAGATTCAATTTGGTAAAGGGGGTCCATAGCTATGGGTCCACATGGACACATGGACTCGCCAGAAAAGTTCTTCTGTGCGGAGTCGATAAAAACCGGATTCGGAGTCGCCGGATTCATCCATCATTGTTGGCTACGGAATTTAGATCAAAACTCAGGCCATTTGTGGAATATCTCTAGCATAATTTGATATAATTTATGTAAAGTGAGTCATTTGACTTTCAAGGTCTAGTTTTGGATAGATACTACCCTGCTGCTAAGTTGGTCAACCTCGGTTTGGCCGGTCAATTGCGTACAGTAATGCCCTTTTCATGGGAACACACAGAAAACTCACCAACAACCATTACAGTCATTACAGTGTGAATTTTTGTTTCACAGTGTTTGTATCAACTTTTTTTTAGCCGCCATCCTTGGAATTTGTAGGTTTGATCGCCATTCCGTATTTGAACGGATCATTTGTCCGACATCAGCCAAATCCCTAGGTTTTTATTGTTGCTTAAAGTGTATGTGTTCACCAAAACCAAATGGCTTCGTCTTAAAATGGTGGAGTTCGGGTCATTTTTTTGAGAAAAATGGTGATGAATATTGATTGACCTGGTTGGATTCAGGGGTACCATGGATCCAAGATCCAGAATCACCAGCCTGGGCCAACAGGAAGTCCGTGATTTGAAAGTTTTGGAGGCCGGGTCTCTGTCTCCGGGGCTGGGATCGACCAAATGGGAACACCCTATGGGAACACCCGGGGGTATGATTCAGGGGTTAGCTTTACTTTCTCAGTGTTTGGTTTCATAGGGAGTGTTTTTTATAAAGGGGGGTTAAGTGTGTGATCTTCATATTTTGGGAAATAAGCCCCAGCGCCACCAAGAAAGGGCGCCCATTCATGGGCCATTGTTCTCCATGAATCCTTAGTCCATGATTGATCTAAGTGATCCAAGATTCAACCAGGCTTCCATAGGAGGCGATTACGAAATCCACATTGCGCTGTGGGCACACTGAGTCGTTGCTCCGACTAGCTGCCCATTCAATATCATCTATACAATGTAATAATATGTAATAGGGGAACTGCCATAACTGATGTCACAGTTTCCTCCGTTCACCACTGTACCGTAGAGTGTGTATATATATATAATTATATATATATAGATATAGATATAGATATACCATCATATTTCATATTGTATGACAAATTGTATGCCACGAAATATCCCACGATGTCTCATCATATTGTGTATATATATATATAATATCCCATAGAAGATTATAAACATATATTTATACATATATATATATATATATAAAGATATGGGTAATATTGATTATAAACTAAACTCTCCCCATATTTCCCAATGCGTCGTCGAGTGCTCATCGTGGTAAGCTTCGCCTCTTCGCTCGTTCGCCAGGCCTCCGAGCTGAATATGATCGAGGGCTGGTTCCTGGGACCACTTTGGGGACGGGTTTTGGTCGTAGAAAAGGTCGTAGATGGGTTATGTATGGTATAATATATAATATATATATATATAATTATATAATATATGTATTATATATTTATATTTTATAACATATTATATTGTATTATATATATATACTTTTTATATTGTTATATTATAGTATATTGTATTATATTGTATTATATTTGACGTTATTATACTAGGGTGTTACAGTACTACATATTTATATATAATAGGATTCTGTATGGTTATGTAACGTTATATACTTGGGTTGTACAATATGTATAAACGACTTGAAATTCCTGGAAACGGAGGAACATGTCATTCATGACTGTTATGTAAAAAAACACGTCCAGAGCTGAAGTCTATGAATGATAGCATAGCCCGTGATAGCACTTAGTTATATTAGGTAACCCAGGTAATCCAAAGTTGAGTCAAGTCTATGATATAATTGATATACTATAGGGAGATTACAAAGCAAATCAGTCGACTTTGGGTGTTAGAGATCAAATCATAACCACTTCATTCATAAGAATCTGGCCATTGATGATTAGTAGGAGGGACATTTGCCACATTTATAGACCCATGCTGAGGTAAAAATCGGGTTGATAGACGGGATTCGATCTACCCGTGAATCCAAAGTTCGACCCATGGGGATACAAAGGATTGATATCATTGTACACTCCAATCAATGCACTCCATGGTAATACCTGAGAGTGCTTGGACCATCAAAAAGAGATGTTCAAATCAACAAATGTTCAAATCAAAATCAATTGTTGTGAAAAGCAGACCCACGATGTTCAAATCCAAATCCAAATTCTTGTGAGACTGCCCTATTCCTTCGGTGTTTTGCCCTGGAAAACGTGTCTCTTTGGGGTGATTGTGATGCTTGGGTAAACTGACCAGTGACGCTAAGCAACCTAAAATAAACACATGTTCGTTTTGGAGGTATTCAAGATCGGTCAGAAATACATGGTTGTAAAACACAAAACATGAGGGAGACTCGCGAACAATGCGGAGTTTTCTTTGACCTGGAAAAAATGGAGATGAATTACCAGGCTAAGCAGAACAGGAATTTTACTGTAAGTTGATATAAGTTGTATTATAATTGCAACTCATGACTCAGACACCGGATACAGTGTGGGTTTACCATTCAGAATCGGCTTCTAAGCGGCTACGAGCAGTGAAAGTCTAGACGTTTGAAGATGGCACATGTGGTCACCACGTACTGGGTCCCATCTTGACTGGATCCCATTATAAACAGCTGCCTACTTAATTGGTAACCATGAATACCAGCAATAGATAGCAATAGCAGGTGCCAAATAACACTTACATACATTTACATAGTAATTATTTGCATTAGATTGCATTATGTCGACATACAGATACACATACATATGGTTGTGATATTTTTATATTTATCATATATTTATATATATATATATATTAATATATATATATATATGATATATCTACAGTATACAGAATTATACCCGCAGGCCGGGGGTGCTGCCCAGCGGTTTATCATGGGACCAACCCTTTAGGGTTTGTTAAGGTTTGTTTGTGTCAGTTTTTTTTTTTTTTTACAACGCTTTTAATGTCAGATTTAGGTTTTAGGGTTTACGATGTTGTGTGTTTGGAAACAAGTCTCGACAGCCAAGTTGCCATGTCACCGACATACCAACATGCAAAAAACACTGGCCCTGCGCAGTTGAAATCCACTTTGCCGGGCAGCACCCCCATCCTGGCCGCAATTATATATCATATATCATATTTCGTACATAAATATATATATATATACATTACATAAATTATGCACATTATATGCATTATATAATATCGTATACATTATATAGATTATCTAGTATATCACAAGAACTAACCATGGTCAGCAACTTTTAGCCTCAGCGAGGTGGCAAGAGTTGATGGGCTTCGTGGAGTCCACACGACTCATGACGAAGGTGCCGAGAGGAATCCGGGATTTTTTCCCCAAGAGCTGGTTGCTTAAGTAGTATATATACATATGTATTTAATACATATCCCTCATATCCCTATATTTTAGACTGCATCAAAAATGGTGTATTATGGTATATTGGATTGTTGGTATGTATACAACTTATGTAACTGTTTCTTTAGTAGTAGCAACTGGTCACTGACTGGTCTACTTTGGTTGGTTGATCCAGTTGATCCAGTTATAAATGGGATAACCCATCAAACGGGTGTGGAGATGGGCGACGATTCATCATTTCTTTTCTTTGGCGAAAGGTCGTTTGTTTTAGGGCTGGAATATTCACATCAATTCTGCATTTTTGTTGGTGGAATGTTGATGAATTTTTGTTGAACATTCATTTTGCAAAACATATGATGTGATCCAACCAACGGTTGAGAATGACACCATGGGCACCCGCAAAGGAATCCATCTGGGGCCACTTTGCACACTTTGGGGCGGCTGCTGCATGATCCTTCACTGAGGAAACAGTCGGATGATCCAGGGACATCATGAGAACATCATGTCTGGATAAATCATAACGACCTCACGTCGCGACCGAAACCTGGAATCATGGTTAATCAGGGAAATGATCCCTTAATGGCCTTAATTCAGGTTAGTGAATTATAATTTGCCCAGACAATGCGGAACATTCTCGGACTGTGTCAATAACTTTGGGACGATTTTTGGAGCACTGAACACCTATGACTCATTTTTTTTTCGAGGTTAACAGACGGGTACCAGGTTTTGATCCATACAGAGAAGACCAATGTTTGTGATGGAATCAAGGATGCTTCGCCAGTGGAGGTGCTACGTGTTTCCACAGCAGATGGTAGCTTCTATGAACCTTGAGGACTCGATGGTTTCACTAGTGGTTTTGACTGAAACAGCTGCAGTCCGCAGGTCTTGCTGAAACCCAATTTTCATCAAGACACTTGGTTGCGCAGAAGTTGGGCAGACTCAGCAGTTGATTCCCCATTCGAAACCCATCCGGACGCCAAGGCAGGTGTTGTGCTGCCAACTTTTGTAGAGATAGGTGGGGGTGAGCTAAGTACTATACCATTTCCTTGCTGGTTTGTTCAGAGTTGATTTGGATTTTTGCACCCTACTTGCGACCAGAAGGGGCCTGCTATCGTAGCTACAGTCACCACGGGGATGTACCTGGAATTTCTGTGCAGGTTGCATTTGGTAATTTATTGGATCATTATTATTATCCATCCCTACTGGCTTGTATTCAGCTCATATATTTTTTTGGGGAGGGGGGAGGAGGTGTGGTTGACTGTACCTGCCGTTGTAACGGTCTTGACTTACTTGGTGAGATGATTATCATGGTGTATCAATGCTCCAGCTATATTCTGGATTGATCAAGGGGCTCGATATTTGAATCATCAGCTGGTTGGTGCTTTGGAACATGTTTTATGACTTTCCATTCATATTGGGAATGTCATCATCCCAACTGTTACTCACTCCATCATTTTTCGGATGAGTAGGTCAACCACCAACCAGTATTTCCCATCATCATCCATATTTTAATGGTATTTTCCACTATAAACCATCATAAACCATCCATATCATCCATTTATAGATGGGGGTAGGTCAACCACCAACCAGCTATAAGTCATAGCTGGGATCTATGGATCCTTCCCCCAGTCATATAGCAATTTCCATAGGTATACCCATCCCCCAGCTGAAACGTCAGTGATGTGTTTGTGTCCAGATGTTATGTCCAGTCGAGTTTCCCGTTGGATTGGTGAGTGCACGGTCTGGACCAACAATCTTCCAATGTGGAAACAGTACAGTGTAGTTAAATCTAGTTAAATATCATATATAGTAAATTTTAAACATGATATCATGTTATATATATCATGTTATATATAATGTTATATAATTATACTATAATAATATATAGCATAGTATAGTTAAATGTAATTTTAAGTTTGGATTGTTTACCTGTTGTTTTAAACGGGCACTGGTATGTAGAATCCCATGATTAGGCCATCATTGATTTTCTAGGCATTAATCATGAGTAACATATATATTAGATTGTTACTTGGTGGACCATCCCACGAATCATAAGTCGTTTTTTTTACTACATTTATAAGTGGATCAACTCCACAGCTGTCCCATTGATAACTGATCCACCAAGTACGCCATCATCGATTTTCTAGGTTCTCCCCGAAGTATTTCAGGCCATTCCATGCCAGTTCAGGAAATTCTGCAGAAGATCTCGGATTTGGTCACTGGGCAATAGCGACGTTTCCGCGTCTAAAAGCCAAAGTGGAAACTTCACCAACAGTACTAGGTCATCTTGGATGGGTAGTTTAATTCTTTAGTCTTTTGGTATCAATGGGAATATCTACTAACCAGCTAAGAATTTAATTATTTGCAGGGTATCTAACATTGGTCATGAATAGTATCATAACATCATATAACATCAATACAACTGGTATACATTGGTAATTCACAAAAGCCAACTTAGTAGTGGTGAGTTAATCAGTGAGAATTTTAGATTACGATCCTCCAATCCAAGTTGAAGGGCCATGGCTTGGGAGCTGTCGGATTGGGATTGCCTATAGCCCATGGTTTCAACGAATCATTGCATCTATTTGCAATAAATCTCGCATAATTTCTTATCTTTAAGGCCGTGAAGTGATTTTTTCCTGGTATATATACTTTATGTTGTTGGTCTTGTTGGTTACATTTTTTTGCAGGTGAAAGCAGTTAATTCCTCCATGTTGGATGTAGATCCATCTCCAATTTGTTGAGACCAAGCAACAGAGGGACCTTGCCGTTTGTAAGGAGCGACTGAAGAACAACATGGCCGGTATTTTTGTCAAGAAACGTCCCTGGGCGTTGTCGACTTGTCGACTGGGGAAGTGATTGGTTAATCCACAAAGAAACGACATTATTGGGAATAAGAATACTTGTTATTTTGGAAAGTTGTTTGGGATTGACTTACTTATCTTACTTGCTCATGTCCCAACTAATTGCGTCAATAGCAAATTGTCTTGCAAGTTGCTCATTTAAGTTACCATACCTTTTCGTCACCACTTTCTAGTAACCAGCTACCCCAGGACGCAGGATGTTGGGAACCAAGAAGGATGGCCTTTGGAAAGTACATAGCCAGTGGGTGCCACAAAGTATAGCCAGATAGGGGACGTTTTGATGGGGAACATGATGACAAAACATGACAAAACCATGAAATTTGGGGTATATCATGGTATATCATGGTATATCATATCCCATCTTCTGAGAAATTTTCCAGGCGAAGAATCCACATGTTCTCAAAGTCATGTCGTTCCGCATATCATATCCATTTCAGGTTCCCCCATCATCACTTCTAGCGGTCCCAGGGGAACGGGGATCCCGGGGATCAAATTTTGGCAGCGAAATCAATGTGGATCAGGACACCAATGCGCGCGCTTGTATTTCTTGGTGGATTCGGACATCTTGGACACTCGAAGATAGGAAAAACCGATGTCGACTGGGTGTAAAATGGGTGATGTGTGGAAAAAACATCGTGCCACGGTGATTGAAAGTAGCTATTGTTGTTTTCGGGCATATGCCGTAGGCAAGAGGAATATTCATGAATATTCTGATACCCTCTGGTTATTTAACATAGCTATGGAAAATGGCCCAATTATACATGATTTATGATGATTTACCTATTAAACATGGTGATTTCCCATAGCTGGTTTGCACAACCAGAGGGTATTTGTATTTGTATTTCAGGGATGTTTAGGGTGAAACCTTACTTGAACGTCCGTGTTCAGTCTGCGTTTGTTGATTTGTTTTCATGGTGTACTAACTGTCTACAAGTCTGTTACAACACGATCTAAATGTTACAAACAATGACGATCTACTTATTCTTTGATAAGCCAACCCTGCAATGCAACTACATTTTTTTGGATGTGTTTCCTGTTGACGCTAGAGGTTTGATATTGCCAGCTCCATTCAAGTTTATATCAACAATGGGGATTTTCCGTTGATAGAAATGTTTACCTTCAATTCACCCAGAACAAAAATATAATTGCCAGGTGAGGGTCTCTATATTTATCAGAGTTACTTCCTCCTCCTTCCTTCCTTCCTCCTCCCAACAGCGAACTCCAAATGTCAGTGGGCACTGCTGGACCTCGGTCTTTTAGAATTCCTGGTGAGAAGATCCTGTGGAGATCCTGGTGAGATCCTCTAAGACGTCCTTGCAGTGCATGATCTTGTAGAGGTACTTGCAAGCAGATCTTGTGAAGATCCTAGTGAAATGCTGTCAGAGGCCTTAGCATGATCTTGTACAGGTCCTTGTGAGAAGATTTTGAAGAGGTTCTGGTGAAATTCTCTAGGTGTTGTTGCATGATCTCGTACAGGTGAATCTCAGAAGATTGAGATCCTGTTACAATCCTCCTGAAGAAGTCCTTGCATTCAGATTTTGAAGATGTTCTGCATTGGTGCTTGTATGAAATGTATTCTGGGATGCTCATAGGAAGTTCTTGTCTGAAAATCTTTTGACGATCTTTTGAAGTTCTCCCAAATGTCCTGGTATGAGGTTCTGGTATTAGGTCCTGATGATAGACATAGCAATGCTTCTTGTGCCAAAAGAAGTTCCTGCTGCTGCAGTTACGATCAATTCACACCTGGTCTGTTTGCTGTTCCATAGCTACTGTTGCTTGTATCTGCTACATTCACTTCCTACCCCCCAAACTGTTTGGGGTCTCTTGCCGGTGTAATTTGATGGGTCAACTGAGAGTCAAGGGAAATTTGTTTAGACGATTGCATTTAGAATTGTTTTTGAATGCCCCAATATTCTGATTTTGCGGCTGCACTGAGGGGTTGGGAATTTGGTACCAAGTGTCGCTCCGCTGCCGAGGAGTTGATGTGCCAAGCACACGACAAGGTCATTGTGGATGCCAATGGGGACATACTCACGAAAGAGCAGAGTGGATCCTTGGCATCAACAAAAACAGGTGATGAACTCCCGCATGTCCAGCAAACTAAGTTGGTTAACATAATTTCACTATGGTTTATGATATAATACTTCTATCAAACAATTTAGTAAGGGTTAAAAACCAACTTATGACTTGGGGGGTCCACATTGGTAGGTGATATATGTCATGTGTGTCATATGTGTCAAAACATTGGTAAGTTGCCCGGTTAGGATTGGGAATGGGAAGAGTAAATCCAGGTTCATGGGGGTTCATATGCCAAGTATGGTTGGAGGGGTTTAGCAATTCTAATGGCGTGGTTGCGTCAAGAAGGGAGCCGTATGAGCTATGCAAGTACCACAATTCCAATGGCCTCTCTTCACCTGGCCTGGCGCGTCAGGGAAATCTCTGAACACAAGGGATACAAAACCAAGAAACAGTGAGCGTTTCAACAACCAACTGAGATATCACCAATGAATGATGGGGAACATAGCATACATATATATAATCATAGATCAAACGTTGGCTCGGATACAGCAGTAAACAACGTTTGTGAGTGCGGGGGCTATGTTTGGGTATGCGGCCATTTGAGCAGTGTTCAAAACCCCCGCTGGTTGATGATTAGAGGGGGTTATATTATACTATACTATCCAGTATATAGATACAGATTACATCAGATTACATATGATATATATATATATATATACAATTATATAATATATATATATATCATATTAGCATAATCCAGTATGGCAGTATGGGACATCCTTTTAACCAACCCGCATCAAGGGACCACGTTTCAGGTTTTGAAAACTGCTCATTTGGTCCATTTGGATCGGACAAAATTAGGTCATATCGAAGGACCTGGACCCACGACTCTTCACAAAGACGGGCACGACAGTGGCCCTGTGTCCCAGCCAAGCAGCCAAGCAGGGACAATTCGGCCGACCATCAGAGTTTGCAGACCTTTCTTTTTGGTTCATGGCTGCCATGCCCTGAACGCTCCCCAGAAACTGCCATTCTGCCAAAACGTTCATGGCTAGATGAAGTGGCAAATGCGGCTAAAGGGTTCCGTTGGTGGCTGATGAGAGGCTGAGAAGTTCTTCCAATCTGCCGGTGCACAAGCAGAGGGTGAGAAGACTGTAGGGAAGTCCGAGGATATCAAAGTTTGAGCCATACACTGACTAGTCGTCTATGATCTATCTTAGTACTGTCATATGTTCAACGTTATGTAGTTTTCGCTTGTGATGCAAAATGACTACAGCTCAAATGACTGACATACTGTAATGTCAACCTTGGATTAATACACCTCTAGACTGTTTAATTTGGGGAGGTACCATCTGGGGAGTACCACCCAAAAAAAACACGGTTTATTAATCCAGGGTTGACATTATGAAACTGTTTTACACATTTATTTGCCAAACAAGCGGGCGGTTCAAAAAATAAGAACTCAGAGCTCTAGGCAAACCATCGAATACGGTTGTGGGTGTTGGGACCGACCCCAGTTTACCAATCATGAGTAGCGTTTTACCATGGTTTACCTTATCTGGTTGGTGGTTTGGAAGATGAATTTTATGACTTTCCATCTATTGGGAATGTCATCATCCCAACTGACTTTCACATTTTTCAGAGGGGTAGGTATACCACCAACCAGTTATTTTGTGATCAAAAACTGTTAGTGCTAAGTCCACCGTTGATCCATGGTGGTGAATTTGCTAAGTTTGAAGCACCGAAAAACATACCAAATTCTTCCACTTATATCAACACCATAAACGGGTCTTTCTGAAATAGGGCTAGCCCAGGTCACCATTGGTTTCCCCTGGGGGATCGTCCAATATTGTGGATGATGTGGTGAAATCCTGATTTTTTCCCAGACATTTCCTCAGAGAAGTTTAAACTTTTGAACATTACAATATGGAGGTTTCCTAAAATGGGGCTACATAAAAATTAGCATCCCATTTTTTTTCACCGTTTTAGTATTGAAACAGCCATGGTGACTTGGGGAATCCCCCATTTCAAGAAGCCAAGGTGCCGCGCTGTCGGTGATGAGAGACAACTGCTTCCTCCGCTTGGACATTCACAAGTGCTCCTCAACTCGTTTTTTGCTGGGGATGCAAGCGGTCAAGGCCAAAGCACCAAAACCCATGTTGGGAGATGCCACTGATGATCAATTTCTGTTTGTCCAGCCCTTGACCCTTTGAGTTTGGTGGGGTGGAGTTCCAGTTCGAAGTGGATCGCCATAGTCATGAGAGTTTCCAACTTATGGGGCTTAAATGGGCTTAACAAAAACTAAAGCTTATAGTTCAGATATCTATGATGCACCACTATTAACCCATTCTTAAGCCATCTTAAGCCATCACCATTCACCAGGATATACCAGGATATTCCACCACTATTAACCCATTATATACCCATTGTTAAGCCATTCTATCACCGGCCAAAGCTGGCACCTCCACGGCGCCTTAAAACGCCAAGGTTTCGATGGAATTGAGCAGCTGGCCACGCGCGCGGGGTTGGACGAGACGCTCTGTGGGATGAGCTCATGGGAAAACGAGGCCCGAAGAATGAGGGATGTTAGAAATTATAGAGAAATATGATATATATATATAATTATATATATATACATATTATATGTATATATATATGATATGATTATATGATGGGATTTTAATATATTCCAATAATTGTTAAGACAATTAGAAGCATCAATAGGGACTCAACAAACAATATTTGGGATGAAAATACCACTATTGTACGGTCCGAAATATGTGATTTCATCCCCTACATCCACTATGGTTTCTGGGAGGTATTTAATATTAGGAGGCCGGTCTCCAGTAGACTAACATAACATTCAGATATTTAAAATCCAATCCATGGTTTCTCACAAAAATGGTCGATTTGCCAATTTCCATGTGACATTTTGCTGGAGGAGAACCCCTTCAAACAACCAATTGACATCATTGGGTAATATTGGGTGGGCCAATGGATGTTGGAGTGGATGATGATCGACTCAAATGACTACAGATAGATGGGTTAAAACCTCTACCTCATGAATACGGGATAAACATCCAATGTACATTCAGATGTATAAATGTTGTACACAGTATATATATATATATTATTATATATAGTATAGATTTTAGATGGATAGGATAGGATAGGATAGGGTAGGACAGGACAGGACAGGACAGGACATGACAATAGATGGATAGATAGATAGATGGATCGATAGATGGATAGATGGATAGATGGATGGATAGATAGATAGAACATAAGAGCTAACTGACATTTGCAAAAGAACTCTGTTCTTTTTTTCCAGGATTTACCATACCCAGCTGCCACGGACCACAGGTGGTCTCCTTCGGTCGATTGAAGATGCTGAGACCTGGCCATGAGTAAATGATGCTCTATGTACACCGGAAAGCTACACTTAAATGGAAGTTTTACCCTAGAAAAGTAGAGACATATATATATAACTGTATATATATATATATATACATAGTTGTCCCTTAAAATGAGAGTATACACTGGACTCCCCAAAGTTCGGCCACCGCAAACATTGCCAAATCGTCGGCAGATCATCTTCCAGACCCAATTGTTCAGGTGTTCATGTTGAAAAATAAGGGGAGTCTTGGACCCCCAGGTGGTTTCCACATATATAATCATATATATATATATACCATGATGCATATCAGGAGATGAACAAAACAATCACATACCCAATTCCACGCTTCAGAAGATATTGGGATCCATGGAGCATATGTGGAAAGCGTCCCAAAGATCAGATTCAGAAATTATCACAATTTGCTTGGGATTTGTTGAGTTTAGATACAGTAGCCCCGTCTTTTGTCAAACTTTGGTGAATGTTGATGGTTTGGCTGGGTGAAGTTTTTGCTCAAGGTATGTTTATCTTTTTTGTAGTTCCCACACATGGATTTCCCCTGCAGTCAGAAGCGTAGAAACCATGCGCAAGGCAGAATTGTTCGGTTTGTTCGAACCTAGGGTACCTCAAAATCACATGGCTGAACAAGATTGTTTTCTCCATTTTTTGATGGCCATATTTTACTATTTGCCATTTGTGGATGGATCAGCACCTATTAATCTCTGTTGAAACCATACTTTATGTGGATGACCATCCATTTATATACATTCATAAATTGCAGTTTTTTTGATGTGAAACCAGGGCTTCATTTGGATCATCTTGGTGTTGGCCCACAGGCCCATATCCTCAACCAGCGCTCTCCCAAGGACCAAAGTAGAGGCATTGATCTCGGTGGTGCAGGCTGCCAAAATTCTGCTGCTTTCTGGGTGCTGTGACCTAGCCATATTGGACCCAAACCAGCAAACCAATGGTACTTAAAGCAACAGATAATGGGTATGGATCGATGCCTATTCTTATCATATCTTTGGGGATGAACATGCATCAAACGCTATGAACAAGAAAACAATTGCTGGAATGAATCTCATGGTTGTGAAGTCAACCAGTTCCACAACGTAAATCCAGTTCTTTGCGATGGATGACATCACTGGCCTGTGTGGAACATTGGATTCCAGGTGTGGCTACTTCTTGGTTTGGGATTTCATGAACGTTTCCTGAGGCTAGCTCTTAAGCATGTAAAACGATCTAAAACCATCCAACAGCCCAAATTTTCCTTGTGGTGTTTGTGTGCTGAGCTGCCTTCAGCTTTAGGTCTCGGCCTAAGACAAATGACACAATTGAGTCCTAGGTGGCCAGCACTGATCATTTTGAGCTGGGCCATGTTGCGCCCAATTCTGACAGCTAAGCGCGGGGCAGCTGCGCCAGGATGCCATGTGCAAAACGCTCCGGAGCCAACTCGCCAGAGCGACGATGCATCTTGCTGGCGCTGTGTTCGGTGGTTTACCCATGAAAAATGGTGATTTTCCAGTTCGCTACATTAGTTTTCCATAGTTTACCAGAGGGTATAGCAACCCCAAATGAGATCGAAAATTAAGATCCTGTGGGGATTACTACACTATACTATACTTGGATGACGATCATTTTGTTTGGGCACAGTAGCTGGTCGATGATGGGATCTCCCAGCTGGCCTAGCTCCTGAATCACCCTTGTGATTAGTCGTCAGTCATTTCCACAGTCCTGGTGTTATCCAAACATGATAGATATTGACAGATCAGTTAGCCATTCAATTATATCATTCCATATCATTAGTGTTGGTGTTGGTTCAACATATCATTTCTATATCCATATCATTAGCCAATATTAGCCATATACCACACCTATTTTTCTTGGTGTTGCTGGTTGCTTCAACCCCCCGTTTTCCCTCTTCGAACGTTGACGGTGCCGCCTCGCCGACTCAGCGGCTCAGGCACCGCGAGACGCGCCGCGAGGACGGCAGCGGAAGCAGCGCCGTGACGTCGCGGGTGACGCAGGAAGGCTTCGATCGCTTGGAATGGGCGCAGGATACCAGGCGCCATGGCGATGGCAGTTTTGTCAGTTATAGGATTTTCCATTATAAACCATCCATTATGGGGTACCCCCATTTCTAGGTCAATCTTGGATGAGTAGTTTATTCCTTTAATATTTTGGTATGGGATTATCTACTGACCAGCTAAGTATTTAATATTTGGCAGGGTATCTAAGATTGGCAATGTCGAAAAGTATGAATTCCTACAAGGATTCATGTAGTCTGAAATGCAGCATGGAACCCCAACAAATGGGGTTGTGGAGCGTAAATATCCCATTTAATTAGGCTTAATGTGGCCATGTTAGGAGTTCCATGTCTGATTTCAGAGATCTACTGCGTCTGTTCAACATTTGCCTTTTCAAAATCAGCAAAATATATCAAACTGTCATAAACAAATCCCAGGTTCCCAGGTTCCCAGCGATATGCTCCCACCAGCTCCGCAACGACAGTTCCGCAACGCAGGTTTTGCGTCCAGTCGGTTCTGCTCTGTGAACAAATCTACTGGTGCAAAGCGGTGGAACAAGCCTTGATGACGGGGGACACTTGGCAGCCGAGACACCGTTCTGCGACGAAAATTGGGCCTCAAAATAGGGTGACAAAAGGCCCAGGGGATTGTCATCCCATTTCACACTGAACAACATTTATTTTTCAGCAATTTTAGACATGTTTAAACTTTTAAACACAATTGTGGGAACATGCATCATTTTCAGACAAGCCCGTGTAGAGTTTTCAAGGACAGCGAGTTTCAGGGATGGTTACTCATCTGATGCTGATGAAAAAATGAACTAATTTTCAAAGATGAGATTTGCGCAACTTGTTTACTGGCTGTGTCTTAGCATGTGGTATACACGGTATACCGGTATAGCTCAAAATTTGCAATTTTCATTTGAAGAATGACCAGAAACAATGGGACTTGTGTGGTACATGTTTTTCAGACAAACCATATGTTAAACCAATTTTGAGTCCAACAAATGTCATCCCAAAATTTCCTGCTGATGGATCTGTCCAATCTGAATCTAGTACCTTAGGAACATGGAACCTCCAGAAATGAAGCAGACTTTCCTCAACTTTCCTCATGGAAATGGACAAGATATGACAAGATATGCCAAGATATTGAATTCCATGATAGCTTTGTCAGAGGTACATGAAGGTCTAGGTACTTGGTTTCCCCAGATAGTTAGACTCCGTGCCATGAATTCAATGGGCTGCTCAACCTCGGTTCCGATCTGCTTTTTGAGGACCACGCAGAACGAGAACTGCGGAACATGCGGCATGCTGAGGCGGCCAAAATCAAATCCAATCCAGTGATTTTTCATGATGTGTCACCTATGAAAAGTGAATTATAGCATTTTTTTGTGGCATACCATGGTTTACCCTATTTCGGGATATAGGTGTCATGAATTTCACATAGTCGGGATCACCGTCTGAATTTGTCTGCTGACCCTCAGCAGGCAGGTCATTTGATGAGGCTGTGCCTTTTTCGCAAATGATGCCAGGGGGTACCCGGAGCTTTGGGGGTCAAGAATATGGGTCAACATGGGTCAACAATATTCAATGGCTATTCCGAACGAATGGGACGGTGTTCACTGGCAGAGAGGATGGAAGGTGTCTCATCCAAATCCATTTATATAATATATCGATGAGTTTTCTTTTGACAAAAATCAGGAATTCATCACCAGCTCGGTTTCCAGGTGGTAAAAAAGTTTAACTCCCATTGTTCTTCCTCTGGGTTTCATGTGGGATAGTCTGACCATTCCGAACCCCCCATTCAAACAGATTATCATCATGTTCCCCATTATAAAGAGCCATTTTATCCCAAGCATGGGCAGCACGCAGCTTGTTTAGAGAAATCCATATGATATTGTTGTTATTATTTAACGTATTTGGGTACAAATCCACTACCTTCATGATTGTATAATCCCCAATTTCTCATACGCTCCATGTACATATTATATATGATTTATTCGCATACATTGGGCATTTCTGTTGATATTTTTTGGAAATAAATATACTTGGAGCATTCGTTTGGGGGTACAGGGTGGTACCCTCCCAGTTATGTTTGTGGCTTTATCATAACCACATAACTAGCTCGATCTAGTTCGAACTAACCCGCATAAACCCTAGTTATTGGAGTTACAAACCAACTTGGTTAACTATGTGTCGCCAAAATCCATCCTTCTGTGGTTAAATCATTTAAATCCCATTCAATCCCAATTTTTGTTGGTAAAAAAAACATCATCCTTTTTGGTTTTGCCCATGGTATTCCCCATTTTTGCTCGACGTTTGCTGCTGATCCAAGCGGCTGAGGCTGGACGTGTTGAAGGGCGATGAACTTCCGCTGCAGCGCTTGCGGCTCGAGCGTCTGGCTTTGCGACTTGGACAGCTTGAACTTGGGGGAACTCAGATTTTGGAGGATATTATACCCATTATTATAACAAAGGTATAACAACTGATTCTTAACAGATGGTATATCCTCCAAAATCAGATTATAACAACTTTGGTTAACCAATTATTATACCCTATTATACAACAAAGTTATTAGACCTATCCAAGCTATAAACTTCGTTCTGGGTAAATTGTACTATAACAACCTCACTGCGACCGAAGCCTGGATTTTTTTTTAGCTTCAGAGTGTGAGGTTTTCTCTCTGAAAATCTTTGCTCTGAAGTGGATTCTGAATCCTTGGCCTACAGTGGCTGCTGCGAACATCATGAACAACACTCCTTTCAGTGTCACAGATCGTGCTCCCCAGAAGACCGTCACCAATGACATTGCAGCAAATGCAGAGGTGCAGGCATTGATAGACAGTTGCAATACCAATGCTTTGCTTATCAAGAAATTGCTGCCTCTTGCTTTGATAGTTGGTGAGATCGATTTCAATACTGCCAGTTACAACTTGGAAGGCCACATGCGCATGTTTGCTGGTTTGAAGTCAGCATTGGTATTGGGCATGACTTGCATAGTGAGGTCACTCATCTTTGTCCTTGGAATGTTCCGGAGCGTTGCAAATGTTGACTTTGTCACCATCAGTCGACAAGACTATGATGCAAAGATGACTGATGCAGCTTTCAGTGTATCAGCCTATTCTTGGCGAGAATGTGTTGTTGCTGCACTTGAAAGATCAAATTGGATTGTATTATTCCTTGCTGGAGCAACAATGAGGACTTTGAACTACCTCAAAACCAATCATTGTTCTTGCGGTGAAGTATTACCTACACCCCAAATGCAGGCATTTGCAGCTATCATGGGCATGATTCAACGACCTGCAAACATCAATGCTCAGAACTACGCAGCAATGGTGACATATGTGTTCTACCATGCATATCATGCTCTTGATTACCAGAGGGTAAGCATTGGTCAATTATTTTTCAGCGACATTGTCACAAGTTCGATTAGATACATTTAGTTGGGACGTTTACGCACGTATTCCATTTGGTACGCCGTCTCAACAGGGATACATTTAGTATACGATAGCCATATTTGGAAAAGATCATGGCCCCAATGCACCAGCCGGTGGGATGACCACAGATGACCATGAGCCACTATATCTGGTTGGTGGTGACTGGAACATGACTTTTATGACTTTCCAATACTTTCCATATTAATTAATTGGGAATTTCATAATCCCAACTGACGAACTCCATCATTTTTCGGAGGGGTAGGTATACCACCAACCAGTTATTGACTATATACACGCACTATCTCTATCTTTTTTCTACCATGGCACATGTGGGGTTAGTTGCCAATAAATATGCGGGCTTCGGGCTTGACAGGTTTACCAAGAAGTGGAAGTTGACCCAACGGAAATTCTGATAGAATGAATGACCGGGAGTGCTTAGGCTTAGGGCCTTAAGGGCCTTAGGGTTTCCCTGATCCTGGAAGTTCGAAGCATCACCAGGGAATGGTCATCACCACAGGCGCTACTGTATGGTAGATATTTACCTTGGTTCAAACACTGGAAATCAACATATCCATACATATCCAACATATCGAATCTTTGGTCAACCTATGTCAACCTATAAGGTCTGGCTCACGAGTGCCCCTAGTTTGTAGGCTCCGTGATTTCTCACCTTAGCGGGCTCGTTCCTCCCGCCCGCGGGTGCTGCGCAATTGTGCTGCGCGGTGCCTTTCGCTTCTTGCGCTGTGGTGGCGTGCCCTGGCTTGCATTGTGCTCTGTCTGGTCGGCTGGACCGGACATCACCTTTTGCGGCGGCTGGTGCCACTTTATGAAAGTGGTCCTCTTTGCGATCCTCTTCTCGTTTGACCTCGTTGGCAACTATAACTCCTACAAGGAGGAGAAGGCTACGAAGGTTGAGGGCCCTTGCGCGACAAAAGTGGCATTTGCACAAGACTGGACACAAGTCGCTCTCGGTCAAAGAACTCAGGCAACTGATCCAAACTCTTGGTGCGCATCACTCGCAAGATCATCAATTTCTACGCTCTATCAACAGAGCGATGACGAATGTCCCATGGTTTTGCCAATGTGGCAGAAAGAATCGAAAGAATGCTTGGTACTGTGGGGATTGCCAAGCTTCATGGACATTTGGGACGCCGGACTATGGACAACAACAGGTACGTCCACAGTCTCCACGCAGGCAGCAGAGTACACAGGCTTATTCTCAGTGGCAATGGCCTCAAGAACCCTGGACAGGAAATGCTGGTGCTGCTCATCAAGGACGAGCACAAAGTCCCCGACAGAACGCAGGTGGGCCTCGACGCAAGTCGCGCAAAGGCAAAAAAGCAGCGCAGCAAACTTTGCAGCAAGCTGCGCCACCTTTTGTTCAGCAGCCTCCATTGCCACCGCCTACAACGCCACCTCCGGCAATGGGCTCAGCGAAGGCTCCTTCAGCCCCGACTATGACTCCAGGGGTTCCTGCAACATCAGCGGCTTCCACCATTGCGCCACCTCCGGAGGAGATTGTCAAATACAGGGCATTGGTGCAAAAGTTGCAGAAGCATCAAGATCAAGGTGTCGAGCTCCCGGACGACATTCAGGTCGACCTCAAGGATGCAATCGCCAAGGTAGCCAAGCACAACAAGAAAACGATGCACCAAGCGGTCAACGCTATGGACAATGCACGACAGGACTACGACAAGGCAGTGCAAGCAAGAGCACAGTTGCACTCGCAATGGAGGTCCTTTCTTGCAGACAGTCTGAAGCTGTGGCAGGGACATACTGCCAGTTTCCAGACACAGGAAGCCCAGTTGACCGAGAAGATCCAGCAGGCAAAAGAGGCCTTTGTGGTCGCCAGGGACATCATGAACGCCAGCAAGATCGAGGCGGCAAGCATGGTGCCTGTGGAGGAGACCAACAAGACTGTCGAGGTCTCGGACGAGGAAGAGCTGAAAGACGTTCCGATGGCGGCTGCGCAAAGGATCGCCACGGGCTTGACCAGTTTGGTCGAGACAATGTCGCAGTTGCAAGCTCAGACAGACGAGCTCGTGCAGGAGGAACAGAGGGCCAAGAGGCCTCGTGTCAACAGCTCCACACCAGCAGATCGCACCGAAGAGTTGGCCGATGGAATTACGTCATCGCTGCCATCTTTTGGTGGGCCCGGTGGACAGTGACTGATACGCACTGCCACCTAGGGCATGTGACCCTTCCGGCCAACGAAAATGGTGCGGATTATATTGTGCAGAAATGGAACCACTCCATTATGAATGAGGGCTTTTTCATCTCGGAGTGGAAAGCAATTGAATTGGCACACACGCTTGCTTTCAAGCTGTGTAGCTCGCGGCCTGGCAATCTTGCACCTTCTGATTCAGAAGTTGTACGTTCCTCTCGGCGTCTGAAACCTCACAAGGTCAAGTTCAACGACTTGGTTGAGGTCTGCATTGGGCCAAATATGCAGCGATTGGTCTTCCCTCATCATGCCTTTTTTGATTGGCCTGACAAGCCTTGGCATTTGGTGGATGAAAAAACTGTCCAGACGCCTGAGATTTTGAAAATGATTGCTAGAAGGCCGCAGAATCCTACTACTTGGTCACCTTCTACGTGGACTCAGTCTTCTGGTGATGCCAGTTCTGGTCCTGTTCCCTTGGTGAGATGTAGCATTATGGATGAATATCTCAATTTTCCACAATTGCCTCACAGTCCTGCGGAAGATCCTCATGGAAGTCCTGTGGACAATCGTGGTCCACCTGAGCGAGCACCGGACTTCACTGATAACATCCTCGCTGCACTGGATCCCTCGTGGTCATCCTCATCAGCCATCATGCTCAGCGGCATACTTGTGCGTACTTGGCACATTCATCACGAAGCACGACTTCGCAGCGATGAATCGAGACTGGTTCGGCTCCCTCCTGACCGCACCATGTGGATTGAGTTGCTCACTGAGGCATGGGCCGATACGCTTGATGTTATGATGCCAATTGCATTTACTCTTCCGAGCCCTATGCCAACACGAGGACCTTCAGATCAGCTTATTGCATTGGATGTTATTCTTGCGCAAGGACTTCATGTACCAAGGTTCTCTGGCCTCGTGACGGTGCAGTACATTGATGACATCGATGGTTTGGGTAGCAATACTATTGCGGCCTCATTTCCAGATCTGGTCAGTGCATACCATGTGCTCGAAGCTGGCCAAGTCTTATCTGTGTGTCATGGACCTCATGGGCGCTCTTGTCATGTTCTACATGGTTGGCAATTGCTACATCTTGACACACACGCCGCTCATCGCATGCGACCTGGTCATTCTTTCACTGTTCAAGTTCCCAATGACCCAAATCTTGGCAGTGATGCTGTACGTTCAGATGAACCGGCAAGAAGTAGCGTTGCTGCCCATGGCTTGACTGGCGGTGACCAAGAAGAATACTTCGACACAGGGTTGCAACATGAAGATCGCGACCGTCAGGGTGATGATCCATCTCACACTCCGACATCACCTGACTTGGACATGTCGGATGGCCCGCTTTTCAATTGTCATTTTTATCGTCTACGACATCCTCCTCTACATATGTTCATGCGTAATGCAGCAGGAGTGCCAATGCTAGTTGAGCTTGCCAGAAACCTGGGAGTAGTTCCAGCTAGCCTACTCCAGGCTCATACCATCAGAGCTCCTATGGTTGGTGATTGTCGTGATGACTTTTCCTTCATCATCCAGTCGGTGACGGATCTACCTTCGGCTTCGTCAGACGCACTGGTAATCATCGACGTGGAGGTGCACTTCCATGTCACTGCCAGTGGTGTGCACCCGCTTCCAGCGGCAACACGACGTGTCCATCGAGTGCCTCGGCACCTGGCTCGTGAAGGTGTACTACACTATGCTGGAGTACGGCAGTATTGCTTGAGACAACGCAATGCCTGCCTTGTTGAGCTCAATGGGCAGCCTTGGCCGGTTCGTGATCCCGCCTCCAAACAAATGCTTCATGGTAGTTACCTGCGAGTGACAGTTCCACCGCCAGATGGTGAGATGAACACGCTGCAAGCAATTCATGCGGCAGACAATCCAGCACTGCAGGTTCAGCGGGATACTTTTCGTCCTGCTGCAGCACTTCATCCTGCTCCAGCGCCAGTCCCAGATGTATCATCAGCGCATACTTCACCAAGTCCTCCGCAAGGTGATCTACCTACGCCTCAAGATGATCGCTGGTTTGATCATCTAGCTGAAGAGTTTGCGGCTGAAGCGCTTGTTGAGTTTGAGGAAGAGGGACCCATCCTGTATGTTTGGACTTGGTTCATTCATCATGACACGCACCCTTTCTGCGTGGAACCTCGCATTGTTAAGCTGGACTCATTTCAACATCTTTGGAGACAGGACCTTTTGACTCCATGGCGATCGCTTCTGCAACCTCACGATCCCCTTCAGATTCTGATTGTTGGACCGCGTCCTCTTCATGCTACGACCACCATTGACACGGTGCATGTGATGATTGAGCAAAGACCACATGAAGGACGAGCCGCAGCTGTGATCTCCACACTTTTTCATGGTGAACATGAGGACAGAATTTTGCAATCAGCATACTCTGTACAAAGGTGGCTGTGCACAGAGGATATCATCGACTTGTTGCGTATCAACCACATTTGTGAAGTTCAAAGATGCGATGCGCTTTCTGGCGTAGCTCATTTTCAACATCACATTCGACATGATGTTCGAGATGCCATTGGTATTGAGATGCACGTCAAGACACCCCGGTGTCAAGGTGATCAAAGGGCCGCTAGTTCCTCTGAACCCTTCGTACCACGACGGCTTCTACCTTCGACTGCGGCTTCATTTCTACAGGTTGGACGTGTGACTTCAAGATCCACTTCGACTACACATGAGCCTCTTCAAGGGGATGATGACCATGTGCAGCCAATGGATAAAGTCGATGGTGATTTTCAGCAATGTCGTACTGACATGCAGCACATTGCAGCACGCAATGAGCAAATTCCAGCTTTACCGACGGATCAGCCTCATTTTGTGCATGATCTTCACGCTCTTTTGCGAGAACAACAAGTTCACATTGATGGCGAAACAAATGACCTGAGTGTGACCACTTGGTACTCTGATCATGAAAGACGACCGCATAGTGGACTTGGACGTGATGTTCGCTTGAGTCATGATGTTACTCGGTGGTATCATGATTTGGTTATGATTTGGGATGATTGGGTGGATCCCTTTGCTACACTTCATGGTGTCATTGTTCACCCTCGTCCCAGTGATGGGCAAGTTGAAGTACATGCTCACATTGTCCTTCTTCAACATGTACAAGCCAACATGTGCTCTGTCATTGTTGCGATTGTTGACAGCTTGGATGATCCTTAGCATCCACGGATGCTTTGTCTGACGGTGCCTCGCATTCTGTCACACACTGTGCTTTGTGGCTACATTGACTTGGATGGCATTTGTGGTACAACGGCCAGATGTCGTACTTTGCTGGGTGATCGTGACTTGACTGATCTGCAACAATTTGAAGTCGAGAATGGCATGCATCTGGTTTTTCACATCCTTCGTGAAGGAGTCGTTTTGCCTACACCGGTTGATTCTTCGGTGATTCATGCAAACAGTGACGAACAGGATGACGCGCCTCTTGCTCTACTTCAAACGTCAGCGCGAAGACAAGTTCTCCAGCTCGACTCCTGCATTGCACCACCACGCTGCACCTTCGTTGAGTGCCAACAGGTTTTGTTTCTCCGTGAACAGCTTTGCAGTGGTATCAACATTCAACCTGCCTTTGATGTTCACGCCATTTGGTGGCATGCTTCTACGTGGTCGAAGCTGGCTTGGATGCCTGTTTGGTCGACAGAACGTGCTCAAGGCTTGACATTCTACACAGATGGCTCCAACTGGAGGTCTCAGAATCGTGCTGCAGCTGGTGTCTTCTTGATTGTTCATACTGATGAAGGCATGCGGTTCGGAGGATTTTTGACGACACCCTGCTTGACGCCGTGCACAGCGCCTCGTGCAGAAGCGACTGCCTTGATCTTGGCAGCATTATGGATTGCACAGGTTGCTCGATGTCATCATGATGCCATGCCATGGTTTGAGATTGCATATGACTGTGAGCACACTGCGAATATTGCACGAGCCACCCAAACCGCTCATGGTAATTCAGACATCCATGTGGTGATGAGATCGTTGGTGCAATGGCTTGAAATTATCACATCCACTCAAATACATTGGACTCACCACAGAAGCCATCAAGGTGATCCATGGAATGAAGCGGCGGACACCATTTGTCGACATGCCCTTGAACATGGACGATACACACTCTCTCTTGATGATTGGTTTGCAATGTGTACATTTCAAGGGAGCAATCTTTGTCCAATCCAATGGGTCTGGTTAGCTGAAAAATCTTTGCGTTTCCATGTCGATGCCCCAACATTGATTGGCACGAAATGGCGCTTTGACGTAAGTAGCCCGTTTGCATCCATGCCTCAAGCTGATGAACATCCTGTGGTTTTGCGCAAACGACAGCCTCCACTGTAGAGTGCTCCTCCACAATCCTTTCGGCTGCGGGTTGCGACTGCCAATGTTTTGACACTTTCACCAGGTCTTGAGCATGGCTCCACAATATTGGGTGCACGAGCAGAAGGACTTGCTTCTCAATTCCTCACTGCTGGAATACAAATCATTGGCCTTCAAGAAACCCGAGCGCGCATGCAAGGTCATTCGACCTTTGACTCTTTTCATGTGCTTTCAGGTCCAGCAACCCAAAAAGGACAAGGTGGAGTTCAGTTATGGATGCGTCAGTCAATTTGGACCTCTTCGGGCCACATCAAAGTTGAAATTTCTGACCTTCGAATTTTGCACGCTACCTCTCGGCGTCTTATTGTCCGATGGTCCTATCCCGGTTGTCGACTCCTTTTTGCTGTGCTTCATGCGCCTTCTGATGACAATGAGGAAAGTCTGCAATCCTGTTGGGCGGCCACCACGAAAGCCATTCCAGAAGCATACCGGCACTGGAAAATTATCGTTCTGACTGATGCCAATAGCCGGATTGGCAGCCATACTTCAGCTGCGATTGGGCCGCATCAAGCAGAGAATGAGAATATCAAGGGTAACTGCTTTCATGGATGGCTTCAGGAACATGGACTTTTTGTTCCCCAGACTTTCGCTGAATGTCATGCAGGACATGGTGTCACGTGGACTCACCCCACTGGTACTTCAGCACGACTGGACTTCATCGCAGTATCCGACGACATTGACCTTGCTGCGGTGTCTTCATGGGTAAGCTCAGATGTCGATCTCACGCTTCACCGACGTGATCATGCATGTGTTTGTGCTGACATTAGTCTAGCATTCCATCTTGTTGACAAACGCCCTCGAGATGCACGTTGGCAAAAGGCACCTTCTACAAGCTTGGATGTGTATTGGGCACTTGATGTGCATACTCATGCGGCTCGTCTACAACAGTGGATGCATGGGTGGAATCCCCAGCGTCGCCATTGGCGCAAGCGGCACATGAGTGAAACCACAAAGAGACTTATTGATGCAAAACGTTTCCATTGGAAGAGGCTTCAGACCATTGGACAGCATCAGAAACGAAGTCTGCTGCGTCAGCTTTTTGCTGCATGGCGCCACCCATGCACTGAAGTGCCCCATTGTCATTCTTGGCTGAAAGAATGCGATATGGCAGTTGCATGGCATCAAGGAAGCTTTGCAGTCCTAGCTCCGCTTGTGGTCCAGGCTGTTCGCGAGGACGACCGGGCCTTTTACGAGAACCTTGCCATGCGTGCAGGAGAAGAGTCGACCAAAGGCTGTCAAGTGCTCTGGAAAACTATTCAACCTCTGCTTCCACGATGGCGAAGTAAGAGACGTGTCAATCTGAGAGCTTGTGGCCCATCTTTGGAAGAGCAATTTGATCATTTCGATCAGTTAGAGGCAGGGCATTGTCTGGAGTATGAGACCCTCTTGCAACAGTGTCATGCCGCGCAGAAGGAAGATGCTGATGACATTCCAGTGCAGATTCAGCTTGAGGCCCTTCCCTCTCGCACCGATATCGAAGTGCTAGGATGTCGCATCAAAACAACCCGAGCCCCGGGCTTGGATTCTGTTGCACCCCCTGTCTTACAACAGACGTGCCAGCAGCATTCCAACTTGCTCCATCAGTTCATCCTCAAGGTATGGATTTTGGGTGCCGAACCCTTACAAGGTAAGGGCGGTCTGATTCATGCAATTGCGAAGAAGCAGGTGAGCAGCCGTATCGAGCACATGAGAGGCATCACTCTGATTGATGGTTTGGGAAAGCTGGTCCACTCATTTTTACGTGGACAATTCCTTCCTGCCCTTGAAGCTCTTCGGCAGCCTCTCCAGCTAGGAGGCTTTGCACGCAGATCGACACTGTTTGCAACTTTGTACGTGCGATCCATTACACAAATCGCTGCCTCGCAGTCTCTGTCCTCCGCAGTGCTTTTTGTGGACATCAAAAGCGCATTTCATTCCATGGTGAGACAGATCGCATTTGGCGGCGAAGGGACGCTACATCCTAAACTTCGTCAAGTGCTTATTGCTCGTGGTTTTGATCTGGATGCACTGTATGCTCGTGTGTGTAGTCCGATGGTTGCTGGCGAAGAACATCTTACTCCCACCACCACGACGCTACTTCGCGATGTTCACCGTCACACGTGGTATGCACTTGGAGCTGCGGAAGAGGTTCATCAAACTGAGCGTGGAAGTCGCCCTGGCAGCCCTCTTGCTGACATTGCCTTCAATACTCTCATGTCAAGTGTTCTTCAGGAACTTCAAGAACATTTCGATCAACACCCACCGCTGCAAGCTGCCTTTATGCAGCTCGGCATTCGTGCGTTGCCAGTGGCTTGGGTAGATGACCTTGCAGTTCCCTTGGTTTCGTTGACGGCTGATGGTCTCCTGCCTATTGCGCAATGGACCATACGCACAGTGGTTGATGTATGTGCATCTTTCGGTTTGGAGATCAATTTGAAGCCACACAAGACCGAGATTGTTCCTGCTTTTCGTGGACAAGGTGCTTCAGTTTGTCGCCGTCGGTCTCTGTTGGAGCAGTTTGCTCGAGTCCCAGTACCAGACTCAGATCAAAGTGTGAGAATTGTGCCCAGGTATGAGCACCTTGGCACTTCTTTCCAGGCGGATGGTGGCATTGAAGCTGAAGTACAACATCGTGTCAACAAGGCCTGTGTTGCATACCAACAAATCCACAGAGCAATTCTGAAGAATCGATACTTGGCTATCCCTACTAGATTGCGCTTGTTGGAGGCCCTTGTGTTGCCTGCTAAGACCACAAAATGAAGATATTTTCACTTTAGGCACTTAATGAAGATATTAGTAGTTATATGAACTTATCATAGAAGTGTTTTTTCTTTATTTTTACTTATTTTCACTTATTTTTCAATGTTTTTTTGATGATCAGAATTGATTATAGACGATGCATTTTTCTGTTATATATTTTTTGAAAATAGTTGTCGACCTTTTTGTTTCCTTTGGAATATTTTTTTCTTGCCTTTTTTCATTGTTTTTTTTCATTCTTTTCAGGCATCATCCTTTTAGAAATCACCCTTTTCAGGATTTATCCTTTTCAGGAATTATCCTTTTCAGGACTTATCCTTTCAGGATTTTTTTTATTCAGAATGAATCCTTTTCAGGAACTATCCTTAACAGGAATCTTTCTATTCAGATTGATTTCATTTTCAGGAACAATGCTTTTCAGGAGTTATCTTCTACAGGAAATGGTTCTTCTACAGGAATATGCGCGGCTGCGAGTGACACAAAGAATCTTGAAGTACATCTGTGGAGAAATCATTCAGAGGCAAAAGGAAAAAAACATATAAAGGATGCTTCTTGGAAAGAACAATTGCTCTTTTGATGTGTCTTCTTCAATTGTATACGACTGCCCAGAATGAGATCTTTCACAACATGAGGCTTCGGTTACTACTTCCAAACTACATAATTCAGGGATGAAGATGGATACCTAATTTGGAAAATATTCTATTATATTTTTTTGTTGGTAAAAGATTTAAAGCTAGCTGGCTTGCTTTTTGTTTTGAAAATGTATTTTCTATAATTGCTATTTATGTTTTATTGTTCATATTGTTCTACAATTTACTTTCTTTTGATTTCGCATACTTTGTTCATACGGTTTTTTTGCTGAGATTTTGGTGGTTGATTAATCGCAGGGAATCATTAATCCTAACTTGACATTATTATAAATACTTACTTATCCTTTTTTTTCTCTATAAATATTTCCTGAATTTTCTGAAATTTCTGAATTTTCTGAAATTTCTGGATTTTCTGAATTTTCTGAATTTTCTGAATTTTCTGAATTTCTGAAATTTCTGAATTTTCTGAATTTCTCTGAATTTTCTGAATTTTCTGAATTTTCTGAAATTTCTGAATTTTCTGAATTTTCTGAATTTTCTGAATTTTCTGAATTTTCTGAATTTTCTGAATTTTGAATTTTCTGAATTTTCTGAATTTTCTGAATTTTCTGAATTTCTGAAATTTCTGAATTTTCTGAATTTTCTGAATTTTCTGAATTTTCTGAATTTTGAATTTTCTGAATTTTCTGAATTTTCTGAATTTTCTGAATTTTCTGAATTTTCTGGGTTTCTGAATTTTCTGAATTTTCTGAATTGTTCCTTTTAATTTAAATTGTAAATTCTGAATTTTCTGAATTTTCTGGGTTTCTGAATTTTCTGAATTTTCTTTTTCTGAATTTTCTGAATTTTCTGGGTTTCTGAATTTTGTGAATTTTCTGAGTTTTCTGAATTTTCTGAAATTTTTGAATTTTCTGAATTTTCTGAAATTTCTGAATTTTCTGAATTTTCTGAATTTTCGGAAATGTCTGAAATTTCTGAGTTTTCTGAATTTTCTGATTTTTTCTGAATTTTCTGAATTTTCTAAATTTTCCTTTCCAGGAAGTATCCTGCAGAGAACTATTCCCTACAATTTTTTTCCTTTCCAGGAAGTATCCTGCAGAGAACTATTCCCTACAAAAGTTTTCCTTTCCAGGAAGTATCCTGCAGAGAACTATTCCCTACAAAAGTTTTCCTTTCCAGGAAGTATCCTGCAGAGAACTATTCCCTACAATTTTTTTCCTTTCCAGGAAGTATCCTGCAGAGAACTATTCCCTACAAATGTTTTCCTTTCCAGGAAGTATCCTGCAGAGAACTATTCCCTACAATTTTTTTCCTTTCCAGGAAGTATCCTGCAGAGAACTATTCCCTACAAATGTTTGCCTTTCCAGGAAGTATCCTGCAGAGAACTATTCCCTACAATTTTTTTCCTTTCCAGGAAGTATCCTGCAGAGAACTATTCCCTACACAATTTTTCCTTTCCAGGAAGTATCCTGCAGAGAACTATTCCCTACAAATTTTTTCCTTTCCAGGAAGTATCCTGCAGAGAACTATTCCCTACAATTTTTTTCCTTTCCAGGAAGTATCCTGCAGAGAACTATTCCCTACATTTTTTTTCCTTTCCAGGAAGTATCCTGCAGAGAACTATTCCCTACAATTTTTTTCCTTTCAGGAAGTATCCTGCAGAGAACTATTCCCCACACAATTTTTCCTTTTCAGGAAGTATCCTGCAGAGAAATTGTCCCTACATTTTTTTTCCTACCATTTTTTTTTCCAAATAGGCGCCTTCAGAGAATTGTTCTTTAGCAGCATATTCCTGTTCAGGAAGGTTTCGTCAGAAAAGTAGTGCTCTGAGACAATATTGTTTCGTCGAAAATCAACATTCCTGCGAATCTATCAAACACACATAAAAATCAAATTTCACTTCTTATCACTTCTTTTCGCTTATTTTGGCTTATTTTTGACTAATATTCTACTATATTTGCTTATATTTTCCTTATTATGTTATAAGTTCACCTAAAAAATTAGTGGAACTTATAACAAAATATTTTTGAAAAAACAATTTGAACAAGATATTAGAAGGATAATAGTAACTTATAGTATACTTATAAATTCATTAAGTGCCTAAAGTGCAAATATTTGCATTTTGTGGTCTCAGTGTGCTTCTGCACGGAGCTGGAAACTGGCCAGTTCTCACACCGGCCCAGATCCACAAGCTTCATTGTCCCTACATGCGCTGGATTAGAGCCATAGTAGGGAATGGATGCTGGACGGCCGACCAGTTGACCGACACACAACTTTTGCTTCGATGGCGGCTTCCGTCTATGGCATTGAGATTGGCAAAGCATCGTCTTCTATTTGCATTTCATTTGTTTGCAGACGCCCCAACGTTGGTCGTGGATGTTGTGACAGCGCTTGCAGATGAATCGCATTCTTGGCTTAGGGCTGTGCGCCAAGCCATCCAATGGGCGTGCTCAATGAATCCTGACTTTTTCATCGGTGATCCTCTTACTCTTTCACTTCCTGCGCTTGTGCAGTGGTTTGCGGATGAGCGTCTTACAGGGCCTCGACAAGTCCGTCGACTCTATCGGAGTGCGCTGCAACATGGAGCTGTTATTGGAGCAGCCTATGAAGCTCATCAATCCCTGCGGAGTCAGTTGCAGATTGGAGGAGTGACATTTCAGGAAGCCAGCATTGGTCAGCCTGACCAAGTGCATCAGCATGCGTGTCGTTGGTGTGCCAAAACTTTTCCTACTTTGAGAAGTTGGCAGAATCATTTATGGAGTGCTCATGGAGAACCTAGCGAGGAGAGACTCTTCATGACCTCTACTACATGCCCGGCTTGTTGGACATGCTGCTGGACAACCAATCGTCTCCAAATTCACTTGCGCAACAGTCGCCGCCATCGACATGGATGCTACGAGCGCCTGACCTGGTATCATGTACCTATGGAACATCTAGTTCCCATTGAGGACATTGATCCAGCAGAGCATCACGCACGACTTCCAGCTCTCGTCGTGCCACACGTGGTTTCCCAGACAGTCATGGCATGTGCGACAAGGGATGATGCCTTGCGACGATGGACGCAGGCATGCCATGATGAAGGGCTTGCTCTGCCCCCTGATGACATCAAATTGCAGCAGTATAAGATTGCTTTTGATGACGTGCTCTGCGACCATGATCTACTTGCCAGAGCTGATCCCGATGCTGTGCTCTGGCGACTTTCATGTTTGGTGGATGATGCTGAGTCAATTGACCTTGCCTCGGGTATAGGCGCATGGGCCCTTGCTATGTGGATGATGGACGAGCTCTATTATTCGCGGTTTCCCCACTTCAAGGTCGAGTTCTTTCAGCGCTGCTTTGGTGCAATTCGACAGTTTGTGCAGCTCTCTCCTATTGGGCATTTAGCATGTTGGCGTCGTAGGATGGACACGGCCTTTTTGGATGAGCTGCCACGTGCGGTCAGCACTCCAGATTCACAGGTCCATCATGGCCCGGGTGATCTTGAGCCGATTTTGAACCCGGTTTTGGTTCAGAAGGATTTGCTTGCGTGTGTCCTTCACCCGCTTCTTCATGTTCCTGCATGTCGTGGTATCCCGGCGGAAGAGTTTGAGGGGCGCAAAACCGTCTGGATCCTCCATCTCTTTAGTGGACGTCGACGTGTTGGTGATTGCCACTGGTGGCTTGAACACATTGGCCATTTGCTGTGGCCTGAGCTTCAAATGAAGATGATCTCCCTCGATACCGCTGTGCATCTTTCGCTTGGCAATCTTGCGAAAGGCTCCAATTTCGACAAGGTCAAGAAGATTGCGCAGTCTGGTCGGATCGCTGGCGTTCTTACTGGGCCCCCGTGTGAGACCTGGTCTGCGGCGAGACATCAGCAGACAGAGCAGTGCCTTGGTCCAAGACCTCTGCGCTCGGCAGAGCTTTCTTGGTGTTTGCCTCAGCGCACAGATAAAGAATTGACACAATGTGCTATTGGCACGGAGCTCTTGGTCAACTCCTTGACGGTTGAGACGGCTACAGTCCTCAATGGAGGTGCATCGATCATGGAACACCCGTGGGAGAATGGGGATGAGGACAAGGCATCTGTCTGGCGTACAGACATCCACCAGCAATGGGTGATGGCGCTGCCGAATGCACATCGACACTATGTGGAACAGTACCTCTTTGGCGCTGCTGGCGTGAAGCCGACATGTCTTCGAGCGCTGAATCTTGGTGAGCCGGCTTTGACTACAGCTGTCCTCCAGGAAGGCATGGAGCCATGGAGGGTTAAACCTTCCATTCAGCTGATTGGTAGAGATGCCTCGGGTCGCTACCGTACTGCGGCCGCCAAGGAGTACAGTAGTGCACTTTGCCGAACCATGCTCATATCTCTCGTGAAAGGCCTAAGAGACAGAGCACGCACAGAAGGGTTCAGGCTTGCACCTGCATGTGCACAGCAGGAGCGTCAGTGGATGCAAGACGCATGGAGTGCATCTTGTGTCTACACCAGAGAGTCGTTTTTGCCCGACTATCAAGGTTGACGCATCCCTTTTTGAATTCAAACAGCAAGACCGCGCGAGATGAATCTCAGGTCGGCAGAATGGAAAAAAACATGTCAACCTATACCTGAGATTATCCAGGCTTGTAACCATCTTTGTATCCATGGCAGCAACCCCAGACGAACAGACCGAAGTCAGTCAGATGCCGAAAAGTCGAGGATGGGACTGGAGGATTGACCCACAAGGGGCTGACAGCCTCCAGTTATATCCAGTTATAAGTTTGGGTATAATCCCATAAAAAACGAACTAATATAGCAGCTATATATGGTGATCGATCTAAAGGTCCTTGTAAGGAGCTTTAATTGCGAAAGCCGTGCATGTTATGTTGGAAACCCTCGCGAAAGTTTTTTTTCGAATTCGCGAAAGTAAAATTTTATTTCGCGAAAGTTTCGCGAAAGTTGGGTATTATAATCATTATATGTAAAGGGCTGCCACCCACTGCCGCCCGGGGTCCGGCAGGAAAAGGGCACCAGAGAATGCGAGTAGCAGTAGCCAAGTTTCCAAAAGTGAGGCTTTGCGAGAGCCAAACACCAAGGCCCCTGGTCTTCGCTTTTCCTTCAGTGCACCCCCTGCTGATGGCCGGGGTCTGTGAATAGGGATATTTTCGCGAAAGTTCCGCGAAAGTTATGCGAAAGAGCGGGCGAAAGTCAAAGTGCATGTTGAAGGGGGTGGGCCAGTAAACTTTGCAAAAAAAATTGTCCTGAGAAGGGACTCCGTGATGCTAGCTGCATGTTTAAAAGGCTACCAAGAAGTGATCCTTGATTCTCTGGCGTAATTTGGCCGGCGGTGAACGAATCTTCATAAGAGGTGTTGTTGGCCAACATGGGCCCCGCGAAAGATAAACATGGAGTTCGCGAAAGTTTCGCGAAAGTAAATTTTTTATTCGCGAAGAATGGCCGTTCCGGGATAAAGGAATTTTGATCAACAACCATATATAGCCTGGTTGGTGGTTTGGAACATGAATTTTATTTTCCATTTCATATATGGTATGTCATCCTTCCCATTGACGAACTCATATTTTTCAAGATGGTTAAAACCTCCAACCAGTAGCTATCATAAACCGTAATCCAGTTATGGTCACCAACTTAGCTATGGCGCCCCAAAAAGCCTCCAGGACTTGGAAAGGTTATCCCGGAGTTAACCCGTAGCGGACTAGCCACGGGGACCAACGAGTCAATTGTTGTCATCGGTCTTGCGCCCCCATGTTTGGTTTTGTATATATATAATCCATTTATATACATATATATATATATACAGTATATATTTGCATAGTTGTCGTGTAGAAGATGAACATCTTCAAACAAATCCTTAAAATGAAAACATGTTTGAGTTTGAACAATCCATATCCTATCTAATTCAGGATGATTATGCACAAATCCATACACTCACCAATCCTGTGCGGCTTTTATTCCTGCGATTCGTTTGCACAGGCAAATCTTACGTTGTCAAGATGGCCTGCGGCAGTTGCTGGCGGCATCGACACTTAAGCAGCAAACATGTGAGCAGTGGCTGCTAAACCTCTGTAAACTCATGATTATATGGGGTTGCACTTCCCAATATATTCGGGATTGTGATCATGTGTTTATGGTAGTGTATTTCAAGGCTAAGATAGGATGTCAACACCAACATTTTGGCTAGTATATAGGTGCTTTGAAATTGGCTACCTCCTGACAATTGAGTAGGATGAGATCTAACCCAAACATACTGGTCATGTCCTAAGTTCTGAAGTATCGCACAACAGTTGGGTTCGTTTGGGGGGAACATGATAATATCGTCACTCTTTGATTGGAGAGACATCATCAGAACTTGACCCATACATGGGGTGCTGTTCATTGACTGTTGTCAGAAAAACTAAAGATGTAGATCCCAGGTGTTTTTTTGTTGTTTTAGAAAGGAAAGCAAGACTGACCCCAATTTAAAGTCATGACATAACTTCGACCAGCAGATGTGCTACGATCCAAATTTCCTGAGAGAACAAATCAGAAATTATTCGCTCTGCGCCAAAAAAGAAACACATTCGCACAGATCGTTTCGGACCTGTCTGGTCATTTGTTAAAGGGTGAAATCACCAAATCACATTAAGATTTGATATCCCGCAAAAAAACAAACAAACATATACCACAGCTTGACATCAGTGCTTACCCCAGCATATATAGATCATTATGATATATTTTTGTAATGTATGTATCCATTATATTCCATTATTATATATTATTGTAATATACATGTTTATACACATTGTCTTTTATAAATCGAGCGTATATGGCGCATACTATCTGGTAAACTATAATTTATTCCACCTTCAATCTACCAATCCCACAAAATTTTGAGTTGCCAAGCCAGAACGGCTTCAATTTATCACACCTTTCAATCTATGAATCCCACAAAAATAAGAGTTGCCACACACACACACACATCCACACACTGTACGGCCAGCTATACAATCCCCATAAGACCCTAGTTATTGGAGTCAGAACGGCTGATTTTGTTCACATTTCCACCAGGTTGGGAAGCCGCTTCCAGTTCCAAAGAATTGTTGGGATACTCTGGGGATACATGGAATAATTGGGGATTTCATGAGGATTTCTGATTTAAAGATCCTTCTGGATGGAAAAAATGGATGCATAGTGATCTCACATCATTTGATGGGAATGGGATTCAGGAAACCATTCCCAGGCGGCAAGTTTGAGCTTAGATCCACCAGAGACTCTATTCAACTATCATGCCAAACACCTGCAAAGAAGTGACGCGCCCAGACAATGGTATTGTCAGTCCTGCCCTGGTGCCTTTTGTGTCTGAGGTGAAAGTTTTGGAACCCACATGGTTTGCTACCCACTCGCCTGTCATGTTTCAAATTGATTTACCTGGTCAGGCACTTTTTGCATACCATTTGCGTTTCCCGAAGTCCTTTGTAGAACTTGGTATTGACGATGAGACGTGGCAGTCCATGACAGACCAGCACAACGATTTCGCCAATGCCCAGACCATTCAGCAGTGGGGCCTAACCGTAGAAAAGCATGTGGACCTTGCCCTGCGTGCGGGCAAGGGCGCTGTCAAGAAATTGGGTAGAGCTTATAGAGGTAGGTGCCAGCCTGCTCGTTTTGTAAAATGTCCCATTCTTGCCCCCACCAAAGTTGCCAACCATGGTAGTTTTGAACCTTCTACTGAGGTCCTCACCATGCCGAGCAGAAGAAAAGTTACCCAGCTGCGTAGGCTTGAATCTTTCCAGCGTAGGCTTGCAAGGGTGAAAAACATGGGCCAAAGAATGACTCCACATTCACCGAGTTGGCTTGCGAATGGAAAGCAATTCTGCGCTCACATGCGTTTGGGCTCCCTTTTCTGCACTGGATCTGCGGGTGGCCCGAAATTGACTGGCCCCTTTGGCCACTCCCTACTGCGGATTGGGTTTTTCAAGCGGTTCAGGTCACCAGGTTTCAGGTTGAAGCCTCACTCAAACAGGATGAGCTGATTCAACAGAGAAAAGCGGCTTATGTCCGGCAGCTTGACAGAAGTTGTAACAACAAGCAAGCTTTTGCTGTGGTTCGAGGTCCTGGTTTGCCAAGGGTTTTTGAAGTGGGTAGGCAAGTGTCTTTTGATGCCATGATTGTGCATGAAGGGTCCCCAACTGATCATCGTGTATATGCTGACAATCAGGACATCTTGCAACTTTCTATGGAATATCCTATTGCCCTTGGTACTCACCAAGCCAAGATTGTGGAGCTTGAGGAGCATTCTTTCCTTGCGTGTACGGTGCAGCCAGTGCCTGAATGGGAAGAAGAAATACATGTGGCCCAACAACAATTTGTTGTCTCTCCAGGCGACATTGCCAAGCAATTAGATGCCTTTTGGAAACCAATTTGGAGTAGAGACCCTGACTCGGCCGAATTTCTGCAAATGACGCCTGAGCAACTTGGTTTTCAGCATGTGCTGGATCAAATTCCGCCTCACCCTGCGGTTAATGTAGACATGCTTGACCCAGTAGCGTGGAAACTAGCCCTGAAAAAGTTGAAGCCTCAATCAGCAAAAGGTACTGACCTCATCAGCGCACAAGAGCTGAAGCTATTGCCTCTGCAATTCATCCTGGAACTGGCTAGAATCCTTGCTGGGTATTCACAAGGGTTCCCCGAGAGTTTCATGCATGGCCTTGTTTGCCCGCTTTCCAAAACTGATGAAATCCCACGTGCTGATCAGACCAGACCAATTACATTGTTGCCGCAAATCTACAGGCTTTGGGCCGCAGTTGCAAGTTACCAAATCACCAGAGTGATCTGTGCCTGGGTCCCGACTGAAGTCACGGGGCTTCTCCCCGGCCGTGGTGCAGCTTCTTCTGCCTATTTTTCGCAGTTTGTGATTGAACAGGCGCGTAAGACTCAGAATCAGTTGTCCGGACTCACTTTGGATTTGGTTAAATGTTTCAACTGCATCAGCTGGAGCTTTGGTTTTCATGCGATGGCTGCGATGGGTATCCCCACTGAACTTTTGAACATGTGGATTGGGTCTCTGCAAGTCTTGACTCGACATTGGATGCTTTCCAATCAGGTGATTCATGTTGGCAAGGGTACATGTGGCTTTCCAGAAGGTGACCAGTACTCAGTGTTAGTCATGATTTCACTTGCCACGGCATGGATTTCTCAGGCTCGCTCAGTTTTGCCCACTATGCCAAAGTCTTTTCTGTCAGCTTATGCAGACAACTGGTCATGGATGCTCTCAATGGTAGATTTGCACTTGCCTGTCCTTAAGAAAACTGTCGCAGTCACCCAGGCGGCAGGGGTCAGAATTGATTGGGGAAAAACATGGTTCTGGTCTACTTGCAAGCGTCATGCTGGGCTTATCCAGTCTTTTGTCCAAGAATGCGCGCCTGGTCAGACCATCCACCAAAAATCCTCTGCGGCTGACTTGGGTTTCCAATTGCAGTATAGTGGTAACAATGAACTTGGCATTGCCACCACCCGTGTTGAAAAGGGTTTAAAAAGGCTCGAGCGCTTGCAAGCCATGCCTCACCAGCTGTCTGTCAAAGAAGCCATGATCCGTGCGAGCATTTTGCCGGCAGCCTTGCATGGAGCTGAAATTAAGCCCCCGTCAGGCGAAATCCTCCAACAGCTGCGTTCCAAGTGTGCTCATGCACTGTATGGTAGTTCTTCCAGCCTATCTCCAGCAATTGCACTTGCATGTTCCAATGGTGCTCTCTTGGATCCCGAATTTTGGTTGGTTTCTAGGGCACTTGCCACAGCCAGGGCCTTTTTGCTTAGGCAGGATGATGTTGTCAGGAGGGACTTTCTTGCCATGTGCTGCAAATTCAGAGGGAACCTCCAACACGTGCATGGACCTGCCTCAGCACTTGCATTCATGTTGTGTAACCTAGACTGGAAGCTGGACGCCACTGGGGTTTTGCATGTCACTGCATTCTTGTCTTTCCCACTTTTGGAAATCAGCATGCATAGGGTCAAACGTTTTCTTCAAGAAGCGTGGATGGACAAGTTGATCATGTTGCACTCCCAACGCACCAAGTGGTTCCATTTTCCGGACATTGATCGAGATGCGTCCCTCAGTGTTTTGCGTAAGTTTCAGGATTCCAAGCGGTGGCTTCTTGTCAGAGAAATTGCAGGTGCATATCAAACTGCCAACCAGAAGCAAAAGTGGTTAGATAATGCGGCCGGGACGTGTGAGTTCTGCCAGAAAGAAGATTCCCGGCGGCATCGCCTGCTTGAGTGTCCGATTGGCAGTGAAGTGCGTGAAAGTTTTTCTGCTGTTATAGACGACATTTTGGAAGATGAGTCGTTACTGCCAGATTTTCCTGTCATTACTCGACACCCAGATCTTGAAGCTTTGCAGTTAATGCAGTTTGCATCTCCGCAGCCTGTGTGGGGACAAGCCATTTGCACACATGCCAGAAACATGGTTGATGAAGGTATCACCTTGCACTGGTTCACGGACGGTTCATGTTTGCATCCGACATGTAGGCACACACGACATTCTGCTTTTGCTGTAGTTCTAGATCTCTGTAAGACTGATGATGAATGTAGAGCCATTTCTGAGCAGTACAGAGGATCCACTTTGTCCATCCCTACATTTCAGGTAGTTTGTACTGCGCGTTGTCAAGGTGAACAAGATATACTTCGTGCAGAAGTGTCAGCCGTTGTCTCGGTGGCTGAAAATGTAGGTCATGGAGTAATTCATGTTGACAGTCAGGTGGCCATCTCAAATGTTCAACTTGCGTTGACATCACTGCATCCTGCTGCCTTTGCGGGATGCGAACATGTTGACTTGTTGCTTCGCTTGTGGAAGATCAGACATGGGGTTCATATACAGCTTGTTAAGATCAAGTCCCACCAAGATCCTGGCTTGATTGATGACCCCCTTTTGAGATACTGGGCTTTAGGCAATAATCATGTTGATGCTGTTGCGCAAGTTGCTTGTTCTTCACTGAATACGGCATTGGTACAGCAGCTTGACTTGGTTAGGCAGGATTTGAAGGTCGACAAGAAGAGGCTTGAAGCTGTTTATGACCTGCATATTCTTTTACAAGAGGTGCGTAGACTAGCGACTGCAAACAAAGAATCTGAAATTTCTACGAAGCTGCATGACCATAGGGCGTTGTGCGCGGCTTTCAGTAACTGGACGGTTCAACCTGGTGTCTTTCAGTTTCAGGAACCTGATTTGCGATTGCTTGGCAGCTCTGCCTTTGGGGAAGAATTTGCGAGACGCACTGTTGAGTGGAGTAGGCATGTGATTTGGCCAGACGATGCTTCTGGTCCACTTGGATGCAACACTGGCATCACTTGGGTGGAATTGGCACTATCCTGGATGCTTTTTAATCAACTTTTCCTTCCTGTTCTGCGTAAAGATTGCCTGGGTATTAACAGATTGTGTTTCCCTGGAGGATATGATGGTGCTAAGCAATACGGCCTCAGTTTTCTGGAGAGTGGCACCATGGTGCAGAAGCTGCTCACCAATACTGCAGGATTGGTACCTCAGGAAATCATGCCTTCTGGATTGACTCATGGTAAGTGTAGTGCGTTGTACAGGCTGGGTAGTTGCAGGTTTTATCAGGGTCTGGACCGACGTCCTCAGATCCCTTTCCAAGCTGAGGTTGTGCAGTTGCTAGCTGCTGTGGTAGGTACTGGTAGAAAGGAGGCGTTGTCTGACACGCCGAATTTAGCATTCCCTGCCAAGCAGGACCAAGTGGCACGTGGCACTTGGCAGTTTCGACTCCAAACGTCGTCCTTGGCCATGAAGACCGCCAGGAAACGGCGCAAGGAGATAATTAACTTGTGACTTGGATCTGCGTCCGCTATAGTGTGCTGCTTTAGCCTTTGGGCAGGGGCAGTGCACTCCTTTCTACAAGTAAATAGCTATTTTCAGCTTAGGCAATTACTATAATTCAGTCAGATTCCCATGAAATCCCATTCAAAACCCATTCAAAACCCATAAAATTCCTAAATCCCATGAAATCCCACGAAAGGTCCCAGAATTCCCAGGCCACTCAAGTCCCACTTAGATACGACCCTAACGATGCCTGGCCCTAGGAACGGCCCCATGACGCTGGACATGTTGGCCTGGCGCCTACAACTTCGCCTGGAGAACCCTGCAGCCTTGCGTCAACTCAGGCGACAGCCATGGGAAAATACCATGGAAAACACTTGGAAAACACTTGGAAAACACTTGGAAAACACTTGGAAAACACTTGGAAACAACTTGGAAAACACTAGTATCTTAGTACGTTCCAATCATTCCCTGGGAAAATACCTAATATATGTTTTTCATAATATCATGGGAAAACACTTGTAATTATAGGACATCATTGGAACATATTGGTAATTGGCAATTAACATTTGTAACCCATAAGTATTACGATGTTCAAACCCATGGTAATTGGAAAATATTGGAAAAACAATTGGAACATTCATCCCAATATTATGTTTCTGATCATTTGTTTTTTGAAATTACACCACCGTAGACCCCAAACAGTGGGTGGATTCTAGAACAGTTTTTGAGGAACAGGGTCAAACACATTAGAAAGCATTAAGACCCCTAACCGTACACGCTTGGGAAAAAATGAAAAATGAGACCACACGCCACAAAGAGAAACAAGAAGAGAGACAAGCTGGGAGACAAGCTGGGAGACAAGACCTCGAGAAGGCGGACACACCATCCAGCACCAAGGCGGACACCTTAAGAAACCTTAATAACCCCGAAGGGAACCAAGAAGAAAGACAAGTTGGGAGACAAGAGAGACAAAACCTTGGGAAGGCAGACACACCATCCAACACACGGAAACACGAAGGGAGACAATGGGAGACAAGGGGGAGACAAGACATCGGGAAGGCGGACACACCATCACAGGCACACATGTGGGGAGACTGGGAGACAATGGCTCTCATTGCCAGGCTGCGTCACATGGACTACTGCGCGGAGTATGGCTTCGAATACCAGGGCGTTTGCTCGCGCATGGTAATGACACCACAGACGGAGTCTGGGTGTGATTGATGATGTGAATTCAATATGAAGTCAAAGTCTATTGACTTGAAGGATTTGGGGTGCACCGAATTTCGGAAACCGCTAGATATGGTCTTAACATGATAATTATTGTCATGACATGTGGTCACTTTTTCTTTTGGCTAATTGCATGGGTGCAGTTTTTGTTTCCACCGATGCAGGGACGTGCAGGCGTTGCTCGTAGATTTCACTCTGATTTTGTGGTGCCCAAAGTATGACCCATGTGGATATCCCTTTTCCTTGTATCATGAAATATCCGTGACACTATTTACAAGAACCATATTCTTAAACAGTCGCCAATAATGTGAAAAAATGTTCCAGTTGTAGATGATTTTCCCATTTATAAAGCCATTGCTAGAAATTGTTTATCATAAACCATAGTGAACTTGGAATTTTGTGGTTCACTTAACTTGGATATCTGGGCTCCACTTTGTATTCGGGCGGGGGTTCGCTTCGGGCGTAAATTTTGGCTCGCTTCGGGCGTAAATTTGGTCTCGCTCCAGGCGTAAATTTGGTCTCGCTTCGGGCTTAAAGTTGTTCCATAGGCACTGTGGCAGGCGCAGCCCAAGAGCGAGCAAGTAATACCAGGTGCCAAAGGGCAAGTCAGCATATAGCGTCTCGTTCAATTCATGCTGTGATGCCTTAACGTTTCGTTCTGGCGTATCTAAAAGTAACTGTGCTCCTCGTGTCTGATTACTTGAGCGGATATAAGGCGCATGTAAATGCAACGCAGCTGGGTCTGCTTGGGTGCCCGGATGTTATGTTTCGTTCACTTAATACGGCGCACATGAAATGCAACTACACATAAAGGTCAGTCGCTCGCTTAGGCGTGCGTGTTTTCTCGCATAGGACTACGTTTTTCATATATGGCTACAGTATCAATAGAAACATAGATCGATGTATTTGAACATGTCTTCAAAAGGCTTGTACATGTGTGACAGAGATGATCATCAGGACAGTATCATTGAATCATATGCCGAAGAAGACGTTACAACGTATCAGGAACGTATTTCAAGTGACTTGACGAACATGTTAGAACGTAGCAGGATCACTTTGCAATTGACTTGAAGAAGATGTGACAACGTGCCAGGAACGTGTTGCAAGTCACTTGAAGAACATGTTACAACATATGAGGAACATCTGGCAAGTCACTCGAATAAGAGCTTACAACGTATCAGGAACGTCTTGCAAGTTACTGACAAGTAGGAAGGTGTTGCAACGTATCAGGAACGTCTGCCAAGTTATTTGACGAAGAGGTTACAACATACCAGGAACATCATTCAATTTACTTGAACAAGATGTGATAAGTGTTAACGTGCCAGGACCGTCTTGCAAGGTACTTGCAGAAGATTTTTACAACGTCTAAGGAAGGTGTTGCAAGTCACTTGAAGAAGGTGTGTCAACGTATCAGGAATATCTGACAAATCACTGCAAGAAGAGTTAACAACGTATCAGGAACGTCTTGCAAGTTACTTAGAAGTAAAGAAAAACAAGATATATCGATGTATGTGAACATGACCTCAAGAGGCTTGTGCATGTGCATGTGCATTGTCATTGAATCACAGGCTGAGCATGCATTTCCTGTTTGCTGAGCATGCATTTCTTGTTGAATCAGACCGCATGTCCCAGCCCCGAGTCCCCAAGTGTTATTCTAAAGGTCTCATTCCAGGATGCTGCTCCCCTAAACCCACCCCATGTCCCAGGTCTCATTCCAGGATGCTGCTCCCTTAAAAACACCGTATGTCCCAGCCCCGTAACCCCATGTCCCCTCAACCCACCCCATGTCCTCTTCTTACATCAACTGCAACAACATATAAACCCTAAAGGGGCCGTGGCCCTTCTTAGCTTAAGTGCAAGAACATAAAAATCCTAAAGGGGTCGTGGCCCTTCTTACATTAAGTGCAACAACAAATAAACCCTAAAGGGGTCGTGGCTCTTCTAAGATTAAGTGCAACAACATATAAACCCTAAAGGTGTCGGGGCTCTTCTTACATTGAGTGCAACAAGATATAAACCCTAAAGGTGTCGTGGCTCTTCCTAGATTAAGTGCAACAACGTATAAACCATAAAGGTGTCGTGGCCCTTCTTAGATTAAGTGCAACAACATATAAACCCTAAAGGGGTCGTGGCCCTTCTTACATTAAGTGCAACAACATATACACCCTAAAGGGGGCGTGGCTCTTCTTAGATTAAGTGCAACAACATATAAACCCTAAAGGTGTCGTGGCCCTTCTTACATTAAGTGCAACAACATTTACACCCTAAAGGGGTCGTGGCTCTTCTTAGATTAAGTGCAACAACATAAAAACCCTAAAGGTGTCGTGGCCCTTCTCACATTAAGTGCAACAACATATACACCCTAAAGGTGTCGTGGCCCTTCTTAGATTAAGTGCAACAACATATACACCCTAAAGGTGTCGTGGCCCTTCTAAGATTAAATGCGACAACTTAAAAACCCTAAAGGTGTCGTGGCTCTTCTTACATTAGTGCAACAACATATAAACCCTAAAGATGTCGTGGCCCGTCTTAGATTAAGTGCAACAACATATAAACCCTAAAGGGGTCGTGGCCCTTCTTAGCTTAAGTGCAGCAACGTATAAACCCTAAAGCTGTCGTGGCCCTTCTTAGATTAAGTGCAACAACATATAAACCCTAAAGGTGTCGTGGCCCTTCTTACATTAAGTGCAACAACATATACACCCTAAAGGGGTCGTGGCTCTTCTAAGATTAAGTGCAACAACATATAAACCCTAAAGGTGTCGTGGCCCTTCTTACATTAAGTGCAACAACATATAAACCCTAAAGATGTCGTGGCCCTTCTTACATTAAGTGCAACAACATATAAACCCTAAAGGTGTCGTGGCCCTTCTTACATTAAGTGCAACAACATATAAACCCTAAAGGTGTCGTGGCTCTTCTTACATTGAGTGCAACAACATAAAAACCCTAAAGGTGTCATGGCCCTTCTTAGATTAAGTGCAACAACATATAAACCCTAAAGGTGTCGTGGCCCTTCTTACATTAAGTGCAACAACATATACACCCTAAAGGGGTCGTGGCTCTTCTTAGATTAAGTGCAACAACATAAAAATCCTAAAGGGGTCGTGGCCCTTCTTAGATTAAGTGCAACAACATATAAACCCTAAAGGTGTCGTGGCTCTTATTACATTGAGTGCAACAACATATAAACCCTAAAGATGTCGTGGCTCTTCTAAGATTAAGTGCAACAACATAAAAACCTTAAAGGTGTCGTGGCTCTTCTTAGATGAAGTGCAACAACATAGAAACCCTAAAGGTGTCGAGCCCTTTTTTGCTGAAAGTGAGTCCATTTATGCCTGAAGTGAGCCCGGATATGCCTGAAGTGAGCCCAGATATGCCCAAAGTGAGCCCAGATATGCCCAAAGTGAGCCAGATATGCCCAAAGTGAGCCCATTTTATGCCCAAAGTGAGCCTCGAAAATTTATGCCCAAAGTGAGCCCGAATTTATGCCCAAAGTGAGCCCCTCGCCTTTGTATTCCCTACTGCCAATGGATGATCTGAGGATCGCTGCTGGTTGATCATCACACAAGCCTTTGCCGCGTCGACGCCGAGCGCCGAGCGTTGCAACGGCGAGTCCAGTTGTTTATGTTTAACAAGATGGGACAATGAAACAACAAAAAATGGTGAATAATATTGAATAATTATATAATAACTATCTTAAACTACCAGAGCGCAATTGGTGTACCATGGTGTACCCAATTTTGACCCATCGCATGTGATGTGGAGGTTTCCTACGTGGGGTACCCCAAATCATCCAGGCTTTGGGGTATCTATGCGCTATTCAATGGGGAGCTAAGAAATTACTGCGATTTAAGAGTTTCCCAACCACATGACATAAGGTATTGAAACATCAAACATGTGGACGCATGTGGAAAACTTTTGTCATGGTGATTTAAACAGCAGAGATTAAAGATAGTGATAGCGGATCGGATTTACATTACCAGAACAGGACCAGCAACCATCACTTAAGCGGTAATTGCATTTATTGAGCATGTAGCTGCAACTTGCTCCTATCAGACCATCAGAACTATGTTGATGATAAATAATAATGAGGATATAGCATGATGATTTGAGCGTCTGCCGCCAAATTAAGATTTCAACACGGGGACCGGTCATCAAAGATGGCGATGGAAAATCCACCTAGTTTGTCCCCATGAAAATCTCGATTTAGTTCGATGATTTTCCCAGGAACATCTCCATATCTGGTTGGTGGTTTGGAACATTTTTTATTTTTCCATATATTGGGAACAATAACCCCAACTGATTTTCATATTTTTCAGAGGGTTGAAACCACCAACCAGCATATAGGGGATGTCCCATTGCCATGTTGGATTCCCAACGTTGCAGGACTGGGGAAAAGTGAGACCGTGAAGGACTTGTCCCTGGAAGCGGGCGTGTGTCTGGGCAGATGGCCGTGGTTCAAATGGGGCAGCTTGCAACTTTTTGGGAGAAACTGAGAAAGTAACCGCACCAATTTTATAATATGTTATATATTTCTTACTGATGGTTAGATATGGTTTATTTGTGTATAATATATACTGTATATATATATATTATGTGTAACTATATATATATAAATAGATATACACATAGTTCTTGATGATGGTTAGTAAGAGGAACCACTCCACCACTAGGTTTATTTCAGGGGTCATGTTTTTTGTCCAGTTTAGACCTGATTGAGTGTATTGACTATTTTCCAGATTGGATTCCCATTTTAGTTGGTTCAAGTCCAAGATAGTATCATCCATATAATCCATATAATCAACTAATAGTTAGCTTAGTATCATCCATATAATCCAAGATAGTTGACTATTTCATCCGTTCTTGTTGATTATATGGATTTGCGTCTTTCTGATTCAATCTACATAAAATGCTGAGCTTTTTTCGGTCAAAAAACCCTCTGGTAACCAAAAAAATAGCTGTGGGCTATGGAGCATCACCATTTTGAATAGGGACATCATCGATACACGACTGCCATGTTCCATCACTATGTTAAATTTCAATGGAGATGGTATAATGTGAGGATCCCCCCAGTTATAAGTTGGTTCATAACCCCAATAAGCATAATTATATCCCTCATAAACCCTAGTTAAGCAAGTTGTAAGTCAACTTAGCGTAAATTGCCCCAAAAATATGGCTTTATATAGTACAGCAGGTACCTGAAATGGCCATTTATTAGCTATGATTAGCTCTATCTAGGGCTTCACCTTTGTATATATCTCATGACCTGACTTGATCCATATCTTTTGTGGTTTCGCGGTTTCGCCCCCAGGTTTTGCCCCACACTGCGCTGCAGTGTCTACACCACGGCGGAGGATATATCACGAGTGCTCGCCGCTCGTTTCATCTTGAACTGGGAAGGCCATATTTCAAGGGCAGTGTATATATAGATTGTTTTTTTCTTTGGGGGGGTGGGGTACCAATATAATGTATATACATTATATATATATATATATTCTTCTATGTATACACACATATATATATATATAGAATATATATATATATATAGAAACACCAAACTCTCAATTTGCCCATTGAAAGAACTGTGTATTACAGAATTCAAATATCTTTACATTCCAAACAAGGATCTTGGGATAAAACAATATATTCCCCTTATTTTCATACATGTGCAATGCTTGAACACAAACCACCTAGTCCCCCCTATGCTTTATACATGTGTTTGTTTTCCTCATGTGATTGATTTTAGTTCCATAGATGAAGATAGTTTCCCCATATGCTTCATACATTTTTTTTTTGCTTGCCATGATTTGAGAGTTCATAGTAGCAGCTCACCCCCACAAGGAATGCATTTTTTGGGCGTGCCACTCATTATTTTGTGCTGCTGCAGGGCAGACCCCATGTGTCATTCAATCAACCCTAATAATGATTAATGTTTAAAGATACCTGACACCTCTGTTTTGGGCAAACCTTGACCACCTGGTACCACCCTACTTTTCATACTAAAAAGTAAATGTATGATGTGGGGGGGGTGTATGTAGACGGAAGGCAGGGGAATGTAATGACTACATGACTACATTCATATGTAATCAATATATTATATACATATACAAATTATTAGTGATTTCCCAGGGTCGTGGCTTTCTGTGAGTTCATATCTTAACTCTTGGATTTCTGGTGGAGATCCCTCATTTGAATGGATGGAATTGTTCAGCACCAAGCAGAACTGGGGGGGGTGTCCATTTTGATACCGCTCAGCTGACCTCCGGTAATGAAGCATGGCTAGCTGGATCTCATTAAGACTAAGACCTCTATTTATAGGGGATTTCTCAGGTAGTCATGCTTGATTACGAGAAGGTATCGTTAAGATGTTCCCTTAAATCAATCCAACAATCCAATGAAACATTATTTTTAGTTATTTTCCATATTCCCAGTAAGGAGCTCTCCTTCTTGTTGCTGGTTGTTCGCCATTTGCTCAGGGAAACGCAAATCCCACATCCGTAAACTGAGTGATACCCATCTCAGCCTAGAAGCATCTTTGTGTACAGGTACATGGTGATATGATGTGATATGTTTTTAATCACTTCCCCCCAATATTAAACACCCCTGAGGAGATATGATTTAGTAGGTGATTTACACATATTTGGGACCATTTAGGGTGTGTTGGGGGGATGGGATTACATCTATATACCAAGCTTGAAGCCCAAAACAAACAAATATGCAAGCAACCATTTGCCATTTACAGGGAAGAAACTGAGCCCCCAACTGGGTGTCAGACCAGAATACCTGAGCGTTCCCATATCAAATCGCTTGTGATATCTCGTGGTGGTCCAGACGATCTTGAATGGGGATATCACGTTCATAGCGCGTTACAAATAACTATATTGATATGCATGTGTATATATATATGTATGTATGCGTATATGTTGTTTATATAATACGTATATATACATATATATATATATGTTGTATGTTTATCCTAGCTATATATGAATATCAAATATGTCATATATATATATATATTGTGAGATCCTTTGCTGGCCAGAGATTGGAAATCTTGATTTACTATTTTTTAGTTGGTTTTCAGTTCGATCTTCAGTTTGGTTTTAGTTTTTTTCAGTTCGATCTTCAGTTGGGTTTTCATACTTTTTCAGTTTGGCTTTCAGTTTGTTTTTTTTCAGATCGATCTTCAGTTTGCTTTTCAGTGTTTTTTCAGTTTGGTTTTCAGTTGCTGTTTTTTTTGTTTTTTCGGATCTTCAGTTTGGTTTTCATTCTTTTTAGTTGGGTTTTCAGTGTGTTTTTTAATTTCGATCTTGAGTTTTTTTCATGTCGACCTTCAGTTTTTTCATGTCGATGTTATTTTTTGTCGTTTCGATCTTCATTTTTTCCTTTCGATCTTCAGTTTTGATCTTCATTTTTATTATGTTGATCTTCATTTGTTTCATGTTTGTCTTGTTTCATTATCTTGACCTCTGCTACTTGCTTGATGTTCAGTTTCATACTAGCTTGATGCCTTTCTTCTTTGTTATTCTCCATGAGTAGTTTCAGTTTGTTAGTTTGTTCTCCATCCCCTACAATTCTAATTAGTGAAGAATGTGTTTTCCTTGTTCGTTTTTTGTTCAAGGCCTCTGTGCTTATTTTTGGTTCTTAAGACTTTCATCGATTTCAAAACTGCTCAGTTTTTCAATTTTTCACAAACATGACTCTGAATCACCTTGAAGGCAATATATGACGGCAGGAAGATTACATACCGTTGGTCGGGTTAAAATGGTTCATGGATAGAATTGGATGCAACCATTACTGCCCGGCCCCATGATGTCACAAGCTCTGAAGAAAGCCCCAACGCTCTGAAATTCTTTAGGAAAATGACGGAATATGGAATGAAAAGAGAAAAGCCAAGGCACACATGATGAACGTGAATGAAACCACGAAGCAAATAGGATGGAAGAAGAGGTCTCGGAAAAGCAGGAGACAGAATGAAGATGACATAAAACATGTCGCTTTGATGATGACAACAAAAAACTGTTGATGAAACCGAAAAAAATAACACCGATGATGAAACCGGAAAAAAAACGATGATGAAACTGAAGATTCAATGGAAACTGATGATGAAACCGAAATGAAAACTGATGATGAAAGCGAAAAAACAACTGATGATGAAACTGAAGATTCAAAGGACACTGAAGTGCAAACTTATAAAAGCAAACTGAAAAAGACAGCAAAAATAATTTGAGAGCCTCCCAGTCTGTGGCTCTAAGATTCTTATAACATATATGAAATGAACAGGATTAAATAGTCCAGTGAATGACTTCAAAATAACATAGATCAGGTGGGCTTGGCCTCGCACGTGAGTTGCTGGCTTTGCCTGGACGCCGTTCAAACGCTTTCAGTGAACTCCTACAGCACCTCGGTGCCCGACTGATGTGAACGTTGGTTTAGAACCCCCCGCATAACGCTACTGTAACTAGTTCGATATACCATAAACCCTAGTGGAATTGGAGTTATCAAAGCAACTTTAAGCGATCGTAAAGTGGGCCCCACTTTGTGAATTTGCTGAGACGCTGATTTCTTATTTTCCGGTGGGAAATCCACACGGTTAAACAACGAGATGTTTCAGCCACCAAAAGAATCCTGGGGATGGAATGAGATGTGTGTCCCCTTTTTATGATAGTTGGGTGTCTGTGAACATGAGCTATACCCAACTATACCCAACAAATCAACAACTTTAATAGGGGATTCATGATTATACAACCACTGGATGTTGTGGATTATTGGATTGTTGTGGTATATCCTATTTTAAGGTAAACCAATACAAAGTGGAGTTGCCCACGTTGTGTCCAAATTGATCTACAATTTCCTTAAACCATGCATGTAGAACATCAACATATCTATGGGGTAATATATGGTAATATGGGATATATGTCAAGGGGAACACCATTCCACGAAAGTATTCTTGGCAAGCCTTTGTTGATATGGGTTGCAATCTCAGTTGAGAACTTGCCAAGACCTATCCCATTCCGAGGTTTGCTGCTGGGTCTCTTCTTTAAATTGCGGTCACTGATGCATGCCCAGGAGCGGTTTGAGCGATTCGGAGTGGGCATCCGATTTTTTGGGGGGTCCCAGTTTCAATCACGGCATCTTCACTGCACTTTATGTTCTATCCGTTTGGTAAATTGCAGTGAAGATCCAGTTGCAGATGCCATTCCAGACTCATCCCAGTCCCGGTTGGTGCCTCAGCAACTGGGGAACTGCATTGGCGAGGCGTATTACCATGGAGTCAATCCAAACTGGGTACAAAATATGACAAATTTGAATGTAAGATTGCCAAAACGCCACGCAATGTTTTTTGTTCGGGGATAAAGAAGGCGTTTGATTCCTGTTTCAATATCCTTTTTTGGCGCGCACTCCCATTTTGAGGAGACATAAAATGTTCGAGTTTACATGTCACATGATTTTACTACCCAACTAGAGAGATTTTCTGTAAAGTTTTCCCTTCAACCAGCTGTAAGATCTCACGGTGCACAAGGCGGCTCCCCGCCATGGCCATATGAGTTTTATAACCACAAATCTGGGTGGTGTTCGTAAAATTATGTAAACTTATCCTTAAATCCTTGTGTCGATATCCAGGTGAGAAGTTTAATTCAGTTCTCCAAACGGTGACAATCTCCCAATTTCAGGCTTGACGATCCAATGTCTCTAGGGCCGGGCCCAGGAGGAACGGAAAGAGTATGACGTCTTCTTTGAAGGCACCGGAAGCGCTTGTAGGGGATGCATGACTGAAAATGGATCCCCATCTGAAGCCTTTGATATATATATATATATATATATATGTATGTATATATATATATATATGTATATAAATATATATGTATATAAATATATATTTATGTATATATATATATGTATATGATATAAGTCTAATGGCCTTTTTCAAAACAAATGATGATGATGGTGATGATGGTGATGATGATGATGATGATATATGTATGTATATATATATACATGTATAAATGATTATATATGCATGTATATATATATATGTATGTATATATGGTTGGTGGTTTGGAACTTGTTTTTAATTTTCATATATTGGGCATAATATTCCCAACTGACAATTTTTCGGAGGGGTTGAAACCACCAACCATATATATATACACATATGTATATATATATATATATATGATATATCGGATACTGTAAGTCATATGGCCTTTTGTCCAAACATGATGACTAAGGAAATTTGGGGCTACCCTATGTGCAGACAAAGATTGATGGCAAAAGTCAAAAGGAGCCCTATGATATTGATATGTTGTATTGAATTGATGTGGCTTTGGTTCAATTTTTGTACACCCGAACCTGGGTGGTTGCTGGAAATGAACGTTTTCCCGATTGGTACCGCGAGACCACCCATACCCATATTCCCAGGCCCATATATCTATATAATGTTTGACACCTTCAAGAAGTTCATAGGGAAAACAAGGAACACTGAAAACCCAAAGAGATTGATATCCAATAGCGACAAGTGAAATGGCAAATGTTATTTCAGGCACCTTTCCAATAGGATTCAGCCCCAGCATGTGCATTTGCAAACTGATATGCTTGCATGGAACATGTTTGTGTGTGTATGCATCAGTGAATCTATAATTATAATTATCAAACACAAAACACACCTCGGGACATGTGTACTAACCGACAACAAACACATCTTCATTGATGATGTCATAACCCTCAACCTTCCAAGACCCTCATTTTCTACTCAAAGAGACGAAAAGGTTTTGTGTTTTTGGCTTATTGGGATATTTCAGACCCATTCTTATGAGCCCCGGTTTAGCCTCCAGGGAAAACTGGTGCTAGTTTGAATATGTTTGAATAGTTGCCTTACATATTAGATGAGATCGGTGTACAGATTTTTTCAGGTGCCAATATCCTCACCCATAAGAAGAAGTGGTTTACCCCAACTTTTTTCGTATCTTGACGCGTTCTTGTTCTTGGTCAAGGTACAGCGGAACCGTTAGATAAGAACCGATGAAGAAATTTCCAGCCTACCCTGGGGTTCTGAAGTGCTATAGGTGGAATATATGGAAACTATGAACGAGGGTTTCCTGAAGTTCTTAACGGGTTATTAAGGGGTTCATATGGTGAGGGTTTTGCCAATTCATTTTGGCGTGTTATTAGGTTGCAAAGGAGGCGGGGGGAAGAAACAAACTTGTTAGGTCCTGAACAGTTTTTCAGGTGCAGGCATTCCAAACAGAGCTGTAGGCCAGATATTCCACAATGCCAGGGCTTGAAAGTTTATTTTGGCGTGGCATTAGGTTGCAAAGGAGGCGGGGGGAAGAAAAACAATTGTTAGGTCCCCAAAAAGTCTTTTCAGGTGTAGGCATTCCAAACAGAGCTATAGGCCAGATATTCCACAATGCCAGGGCTTGAAAGTTTATTTTGTCGTGGTATTAGGTTGCAAAGCAGGCGGGGGGAAGAAAACAACTGTCAGGTCCCGAAATGTTTTTTGTTTGATTCGGGCGCCCGAAACAAGGCAGCACAGGCAAGACAAGCCAACACAAGCCAAGGGCAGCCTCCGAGGTCAGATGACCTTCAGTGACTCTGGGTAGTTTCTGGCTGAAGCTAGCGGCGTCAGCCTTGGTGACTGCGTGAGGGTTCGCCTCTCCCTGGGGCCGCACCATGTTTGTTGTCGGCATGGAAGTTCCGCGGTGCAAAATCTTTCTTTTAGGAAATAGCTGCTAATAGTCAATGTTTGGTATATTGATACCGTTTAAAAAAGATAAGAACCAATGGCTAGAAGTAGGGTATACCTTAGGGTTCTTATTTCAATTAGCTGACAGAAAGGGTTGAATCCAGACTATATGACCGGTTTCTTGTCTGAAGAGAAGGCCGCAGCCTTTCTGAAAACTGGTGCGCAGAACACAGATGCTTTCAATGAGTTCGCAGCATCCTTGCTTCACCATTGCCAAGAGGTCAAGAACCTGTCATCATCGTCACCTGTCTTTGAGCAGGTTTGGTGCTCTCCAGCATGTGCACCTTTGAAGGAGATGTACAAGCGATTTGAAAACGTTGGCCGTTGCTTCATCCACTTGTGCTGTGGAGATGCCCCAGAGAACTACGAGGATGACAGCATTGGTGATGCCGATGTCATGTTCTTCTACCAATATGATGGAGAAGTCGCTCGGAGGGCTGTTCACAAACCCTGAGACGTGGTTCCATCGAGAGGTGCTGGAACTCATCAAAAAGGGGGCTGGTGCAGCCCTCAATTCAGACAAAGTGCAGGAGCTTAAGCAATAGCTGAAATCAGACCCGCCAAAGACGCCGTCCTTTCTGAAACAGGTTTCTCATCTGGTCGAGACGGTCCGCAATTCAACAAGGTCTCAGAAGATGGCAAACATTCTTGGAAGCTTTGCCGACACTTGGATTACAATTACAACATACTGAAATAATGACACAATGACACAATGACACAATGACATACATACATACATACATACATACATACATACATACATACATACATACATACATACATACATAGATACATACATACATAGATACAAACATACAAACATACAAACATACAAACATACATACATACATACATACATACATACATACATACATACATACACACACACTTTTTTTACATATTCAGATCAGATATCAATCATCAGTAGTCCTGTAGTTTCGCTCTGGTTCAATGGATTATGATTATTTCATGATTGGGGTGATTATTGGGGAAGTTTATTTTGTAGGATTAGAATCAATAGAATCCAAGACAGCAGCCAATTATCAACCCTCATCAGGGAAGACAAGTAGGTCAAGTAGGTACCATGTAGAATACATATTTGTGAATGCCATAGTGGCCAAAATGTGCTGGCTTCAAGTTCTAAAATATTTTTTTGGCAGTATCTAATCATGTTGATCACCTGTAGGACATGGTCTCTGGAAACTTTTCACTGTACCTGGTAAATGTTGAATCAACAGTTTCCTCCCAGGGATTTACAGCACACGTTCTCCTTGGTATTGCTGAGATCATCCACTAGCAAACCGGCATTTCTGCTTATCTCCTAGTTTGGTGCCCACACAGATAGAAAACAACTGATTCTCAACATGTTGATGGAATCTTAAGCATTAAAGATGGTGATTGCCATAGCCAGTAATTCTATTTCCACATACGGTCACACGAATAGGGGTTGCTAGCCTGATGCTGTCAAATCCCCATTTGTGTTGCTGATTTCATATCATATTTCGTTGGTTAAACCTCCCACGCTTGGTGGTCAAATTTAACCTTTCTGTATACCAATAGATAGTAGTTCCACTTTGTGTGATGAATCAGTGGTGGGATTCTTCAGTTGTGATAGCCAAATCCAATTTTTTGTGGCATTTTGTTTAGTTTCCACTTTTGTTGCCGGTCAACTCTCTAATCCTGGTGTTTCTTGTTGGTCAGTGGCTTAAAAGTCAATGTCAAGTTCACGTTAATCATACATTCCTGACTCCTGATGAAACCCAACTTTTATGATTGAATTACATACCATATCATACCATTGAAAACTCTAGAACCAATTAAAATCGTATGTCCAGAAGTAAAAATAGTTCAACAATCCCTTTGTTTTCCTTTTTTTAAATGGTTTCCCCCCTGCTTCCCCTGGTTTTGAAGCCGCCAGGGCAACGTTTGAAGCCCCGCCGCGCGCATTTGGCGCTGCTGCTCTGCACCACTGCCATGGCCCCCCGGAACGTGACGAAGAGCTACGCAGAGGTGGTGCGGCCCGTGGCGTTGCTTCCACCAGTGCCGTGGCACAGCGGCTGCGGGTGGCGTGATGAAACCATGGGTTGGTATATGGGTTAATGGTGGTTCATGATCTGAATAAAATGTAGGTTAACGAATGTTAACGATTGATATGGGTCAATGATTGCTCATAGTGGTTAATATTATATATATACACAATTTATGTACATATATATATATATATATGTATTATGGATGAGGCCGAAAATCGAATTCAAAAAAAGCTTGGAATCGAATTTAAAAAAGGATTAAATTCGAATTTAATTCCTACGTGTCTGGTCTTCATCGACCTTAAAAAAGGATTAAATTCGAATTTAAATCCTACGTGTCTGCTCTTCATCTGACCTTCAAGAAGGAATTAAATTCAAATTTAATTCCTGTCATGGACGGATTTTGACGGGAATTTCAGACCCCCCAGAATGCACATTGACAGGACAGACAGGGAGGCAGGAACCCAGAGAGAGAGAGAGAGACAGCTGACAGCTGGCTAGCTAAGCAGACGGACCGACAGCAGACATCCCCTCATCTTCACATCTTCCCCAACCTAACATCTTACATATTCACATCCTGACATCTTCTCATCTTCACATCCTCACATCTTCACATACACCTTCACATCTTCTCATTTTCACACTTCTCATCTTCACATCTTCTCATCTTCACACCTTCTAAGATATCTTCTCATCTTCACATCTTCTCATCCTCACATCCTCACATCTCACATCTTCTCATCTTCACCCTTCACATCTTCACACCCTCTCATATTCACATCTGCTCATCTTCACATCTTCTCATCCTCACCCTCTCGTCTTCACATCTGGGTTTCCGTGAGTTAGTGGCCGCAAATCCTGTTAAACATGACCTGGCTTTGCACCAAACGCCTCCCAGACCTCCCGCACCAAACCTCCCGGAACCTTCTCCAGAACCTTCTCTGGAACCCTGCAGAACCTCCCGGAACCAAAGTGAACCCCTGGAATCATCCACAGATCCTACGACCGGCGGGGGTCCGGAATTTGGACCTTTCAGCCCCGAAAAGCGCAAAAAGCGGACCCCCGCAACAAAGCCTCGCAGACGTTCTGCGGAACCTTCTCCGGAACCAAAGTGAACCCCTGGAATCATCCACAGATACTACGACCCGCGGGGGTCCGGAATTTGGACCTTTCAGCCCCGAAAAGCTCAAAAAGCGGACCCCCGCAACAAAGCCTCCCAGACGTTCTGCGGAACCTTCTCCGGAACCAAAGTGAACCCCTGGAATCATCCACAGATCCTACGACCCGCGGGGGTCCGGAATTTGGACCTTTCAGCCCCGAAAAGCTCAAAAAGCGGACCCCCGCAACAAAGCCTCCCAGACGTACTGCGGAACCTTCTCCGGAACCAAAGTGAACCCCTGGAATCATCCACAGAAGAATGCATCTGAGAAAAAGCCATCTGCCCATCTGCCAGAAGAATGACATCTGAGAAAAGGATTAAACTCGAATTTAATTCTTCTGATACATGCCCAGTAGGTTGGAAACTAGAGAAGAATTAAATTCAGATTTAATCCCAATTGAATTTGATTTCCAGTCCTATTTTATGTATTATACATATTTTAATAATTTTAATGGTTATAACCATGGGATTTTAACCTTTTTAATCACCATGAGTTGGGATTATATCTACCCACCTTCAACTGGAACTGCAGCCCCAAGTTGAAGGGTTGCTTTGATGGGTCCCACATTAGCTGCAGGGTGGTGCCCCAGGAATCGCTCGGTTGGGGCACCGGGGCCGAATCGCTGAGTTGGTAAACATACAGATTCGGGGTTATATCGAACTAGTTGAAGGGCGTTGCAAAGCACCATGAAACAACATGTAACTGGAGGGCACCACTACCTTGTACGGATTCAAACCTAGGGGCCCACCTACTTTAGGGTGAACTGGATGCTAGGGGGACCTGACCCAAAGGCACATTACCTAATTATGTTGGTATTCTGACCATCAGTTCACCTATCAAATTTGTTAAAAAATGGTAAATGTACCAGCATGACTGACAATTGTTGATGTGTTTTTTGTTCGAATTGGTAAATTGAAAGTCTAGGTATGCTTGCACATGTTAAATGTGCAATTTTGATTGAGAACAAAAACAACACATTATACACAATGGATCACAATGGGACTTTCTGACTGGAATCATGATGATTAACAAATGGATTTGAGGGTATAGTTTCATCCTTATTTTGGTCCAATAAGACAATGTAAAAGTAGGGTCAATTGAAGGGTCTAGGTACTGAGGAAATAATACCTTTTTGGCCAGCGCTAGTTAAATGATACATGCATTTACGTATACATAACTACATAACTATATAACTAAGTATCGTAGCTACATCGGTTTGTCTTTGAAGATGCAGGAATTGTGGTACCCTCGTTCCCAGGATTTGTTGTGTGTTTTGTGCCACCAGATTCACGTCGCTCACAGCACCGATTCCGCAGAGTTTAATTTAAGGTCATGTTCCACCCCTTGCCGGGATCCCCTATGTAGCGACACCAATATTTTTGTATTTTTGTGGGTGATCACTTAATCTGGTTGGTGGTTTGGAACATTTTTTATTTTCCATATATTGGGAATGATCATCCCAACAGACGAATATTTTTCAAGATGGTTAAAACCACCAACCAGCCAATATTTTTGTGGGTGATCACTTCATCCATTTTGGGAAATGATGAAAATCACCGAAGAAGAACGCACCTAGGATCTCCACCGCATCGTTGAGTCGCAGCTGATCTTGAAGGGTTTCCAAGAGGAGGTCATCACGCACTGCGCGCGACGCGTGGTCGCTAGACCTTTTTGAAGGTTGGTTGTGGAATGAGGATTCAACCAGTCAAAGATGGTGCCAATAACATGTATAAACCATATATGTATATATTTATATAGGTACAGTTTATATAGCCATATAATTATATAAGATATATAATATAAATATAAATATATATATAATAATATGGTATAATATGTGTATATATATATACATACTTATTTAGCGATATGCCAGTTGCTATTTAAGAGGCTTGGCGATGGTGTGGAACTGATATTCAAAAAAAATATATATTCCGATATTGTGATTTAAGTTCATTCCTCTGGTAGATTAGCAGAAGGACACTGCACACAAGGTGGAAGTGCAGATGGAGTTTGAAATTTGTTGCCCGACTCAGATCATGTTATGACATGTTATGACAACAATCTTGGATGTGATCAAAATTTGACTATCCTTGCAAGAAATGTACCAGCAGCGAGCACCACCCGCGTTCAGGGTTTCAGGCTGGTTGCATCCATATAATTATTTGGAAATCATTTGGCCAAACATTTAGTTCCAGAACAATATACTCCAACATAGTCTTGTTTAGTTATCTTTCATTGTAATGCCAAATGTTTTGGGGTTTTCCCTTGAAACTCTGACTTCCTGTTGGATATCTCTAGGTGGCCGCTACGCTTTATACCACATGTGCCTACTTAATCATCCTCTAGATCTCCCGGAGGTGGAAAGGACCAGTCAGAAGCACATGAAATTTTGGTGGTAACCAGAGTTTCCCGTTTCAAATTTCTTAGTTAAGTCAATCCAAAGTCGTTTTCTGGGTTGACTAGCATTGAAAACTACCAAAGGTTCACTAGGTTTGAGTTTTGACTACCTTTGAGTCATCCCGACTAAAGGTTCAGATTCGCAGCGAACACCATCTCAGGTCGAATTCTTTCGCCACGCCCGGACGCACGTTTATTTGTGGTTCTTGGAGCAATATGACCAGTTGAAGGTGTTGTTAAATGTTGTTCAGAGTTGACTTTGAAATGAGGTAAACAGACAGCAATGATTCAACATGTTGTTGAGATAGCCCTTTACATCTCTTTACGCTGTTTCCCTCATGTGAAGTTTTGGCAAACAGTGTTTTTGAAATGGCGGCGCCACAATATGATGCAAGATGATACGTATAATATGATGTTTAGTGGTAAGACGCATGACAGCTTTGACAACCAGATGTTTGTGACTGGGCAAATCAATGATGACCATGCCACTTGCCAAAGTGATTTGTGATGGTAAGTTGCAGCTATCATGGCAAACCCGCCGTAACAAACGAGGGGTTTCTTGGTCCAAGGAGATTGCAACGAACCTTTGGGCTTGCAACGCAAGCCCCCTCAGAAAATGAACATCAAAAATTATCAAAACTATACTAAAACTATAATGTTATCATGTTTTCATCAACATTAGATTTTGATCATACTTGTTCCATCTTGTTTTTCTATTGTTTTTGGTTGACTTATACAATTCCATAAAGATGCAAGGGCGACTGCGAGGGATCAACGTGCTCGAAGGCCCGAAGTTTCTCCTCCACGCCTGTGACGATGCACTTCTTGAGGCCGGGTTACGGTAGATGCGGGTGATTCAAAAGCGATGCAACTCAGATTTTTGATGATTATAGATGATTATAGTTGATTATAGTTGAATATAGATGATTATAGATGATTATAGTTGATTATAGTTGAATATAGATGATTATAGATGATTATAGTTGATTATAGTTGATTATAGTTGAATATAGTTGAATATAGACGATTATAATTGATTATAGTTGAATATAGATGATTATAGTTGATTATAGTTGAATATAGATGATTATAGTTGATTATAGTTGAATATAGATGATTATAGATGATTATAGATGATTATGGATGATAGATGAACTCCGAAGATAGGAAAGTAGAATATATAAAAACTAGTGACAAGTTCTTATGATAGATTGTGGTTCTATCTTCTTGTGGACTACTATAATCTATATTTTGATGTGATTTCTGAATGTGACATGTAGTATAGATTTGTGATTATATGATATTATATGCATATACATATATATATATATATATACACACATATATATATATACAACTACAGCACCAGTTGCTTTAAACCATTTTTTTGCTGATCACTAGTTAGTAACTAGCAGCACCAAGCATTTGTATGTGAACCTTAGGATGGACACCGTGGCTCAGGACAGCCATCGAAACTGCAGCAGATCTGAAGGCTGGGCCTCTGGGTGGAATTAGCTACCTGGTTACAGCTGGTTACCTCACGTGACACCTCCTTTTTTGAGTTTCTGGTCAAGTTCAGTGAATCTGTAGTTCTAGTGACCTTCTGGTGGAGTGCTTTACTAGTGCTTTGCCACAAATGAATGATGATGTAGCATGAGAATGCAAGAAAATGTCAATGGTGGGATATTTTTGGGCGATTTGCATTGAAATTTTCTTGCAACTACTTAAGGATGCTCCTCAGGTTTTGTTAGCAGTCTATCCCCATTATGGCGGGTTGAATTCCAAGCGAGAACTCCCCATGTTTCATGGTTGAATCACCAATGGTGACCATGGGGAAATATCATCTTAAAATAGCTAGGTCAATCAACTGGATGGGTAGAAACTAATCCTGGATAGTCTTTTGGTATGGGATTATCTACTGGCCATGATACCATTGTTTTCATGTTTGATTTTCCCATGTCTTTCAATCAACTAAAATTTATGGATAGATCTAATTTCAAAATGAATCACACTTCCATATTTTTTCATGGTTGATTCACCCATTTGTTTTGTTCAAATCCGTTTTTTTCCCCCCCCCGGACCGCTTCGCGTCGCGTTGAACAAACTCTCCAGGCGTCCGTGCATGACTTGGATCTGGCGGCGGAAGAGGAGGTCTTGCATCGAGCCTTCAACCAGGTACCCATGGGTAGCCCACAATGGAAACAATGTGGATGGAAGTTCCTGTACTATAATGGAAGTTTATATATGGCAGTGTGTCAAAACCAATAGTACCCCTTTTTTGTTCACATCAAAATAGCTGGGATTTATGGATGTTCATCTCCCTAAAAATGGTATCTTCATAGGTATTGATCCATACCTATATAAGTACTATATATATATATATATAATGGATGATTTGAAGTGTATAAACGTGGTTTATATTGGTTTATTATGGTGGGTTTATAAATGTTTATTTCATGGAAATTTACAGGTTTATATCTACTGAAAAGTCCCTTACTAAAATAAATGATCTGGAGGGGTACCACCTCCTTTAGGAAACATCCAGATGTGCATATATATATATATATAATTATATATATTTATATAATTATATATATATATGTATATATATACATATATATCTATATGTATATATATATATATGTATATATATATATGTATATATATATATACACACATATGATATGTGATCTATGTAGTTGGGAAATACATAGGTTTTGGGGGATGGGTCAACTGCTCCACCAACAAAAGCAATGATTTTTTTTTGGGGGGGGATATTTTATGGGGATACATCATCTGGATGAACAAACATTGGTATATGTTGTAACCCCACGTCATGACGTCACTGGAAATCATGGGATTGTTGTTCAGGCTCAATCATCCCCTTAGCTGGCTCTATTTCAGCGATATTTTCCGCTAGGTGAATCATGGACCTGCTGATTTGCAGTCGGCCGAACAAAAACCACTGTGGGGAGTCAACCGACCACTTAAAAAAGGGATGTAATGGGAATTAATGTGATAACAAACAATATTATATTTGGGTGTCTATGTTTATAGGAAACATGTTTTTTTGAATTAGTGGAATTATGTTCCATGGTTTAGGGGCACCATTGTGCCACGGGGTTACTCTCTGGTAAGAAAAACCGTGGCTAGCTTGAAAATACTTAATAAATGGAGGTGGTTTTAATGGACACATCATTGAACTAATTGGAGGATCATTGGGGATATGTGTCCACTGCGATGTTTTATTCCTGATATACTGACCATTCTTGTTTAGGGAACATTTCGATGTCATACATTTTCACACTGCCAAACATTTCAGGAATTAGCCATCAAAAACCTTGATTTTTTTTCAGCCAATGAGTTTTGCCGTTTCATATCATGGGAGTTGTAGCATTTCATATACCTTTCGGATCCTTTCGGTATTCAAACATGACAAACAGAAGTCCTCCCAAAAACAACAGCCTTACTGAGAAAAAATCCCTCGAATGAAGGATTTTCCAGCAAGCCATGTTTGATTCCCGGAGGGTACGCCTTCCCTCGAGATGTGACAGGTCTGTCTACAATACTTGGGCCCTGCGGATCAACCAGCGCTGCGGCAACTGTTACAGGACTCGGGTAGAAATCCCGGCGACCTGGTCTTCCCAAGATCTAGCCTCTCGTAAACATACTATTGAAAATGGCCATTTATATGGTGATTTTCCATAGTTATGTTATATAGTTTACCAGAGGGTACTCTAAAGATCAAGTAGGGTTTTTTACGGATTGATTCCGGAGTTTGACCAACATGGAAGATTCAAAGATATTCACCCCACGAAAATAGTTTTATGTTGTTGATTTGCATTTTCTTTTTTTAGAATGGCAATGGTCAGCTGAACCCTCTTGGTTGATTGGATATCCGCTTATACTATCTGGATCTATCTGGTTTAATGGATGCCAATTAGGGAATCCTGCACTCAATCCCAATCTTGTGTTGGTAGAAGCCAATTGTCCACCAATTTTTGGTGGGTCCAAACTAATTGTCAGCGGTGAAATGTCCATGTTTCTTCTGCGGGTGGTTTTGAATAAATTTGGCCCTATGTTTTCAGTAGTTTTTGTGAACATGAAGTGAAACCCTGATGACATCGCCTACATTCTGATTGAATGATGATTTTGACAAAGTGTATGTCTCACCTCTGAGCTTCCCTGAAAAGGAGCTCTTTTCTGCCCAACACCGGCAGCAGCCGACCAAGGCTGGCCATAGGACCGTTGTTGTGGGCCTGGGTCTAGCTACAGCCCACGAAAGTAGCAAGCTTGATCCTGCAGGATTCTTGCAGGTACATCCACACTTTTAACATACCCTGGGACATCTCATCATGAAATGACGAAGCATGACCAAGCCCAAGAAAACAGGGGATTTAGGATGGCTTCAATTTGACAATAGGTTTCTGCTGTCTTTTTTTCTCAACTAGATTACCCTGAAGTCTTGAACCCTCGAATTATTATTACCATGTATACTATGACAATCTATGACTATGACCTAATCAATTCATATAATATGTAGGCACTTAACCTTGAAGTTTGAATGTGTTCACCAGGAGATTTCCCCCTCTTTTATGGGTATGGGTTTCAGGTCGGAAAAGGGCACAGGTTTTCGTCATTCGTAAGACAATCCATCTCATGTTTCGGGTAATTGCGACCCATACCCATAGAAAGGCCGCGGAAACTCGACTATATCACAAGTGCCTGGTGAAGAAAAACATGGAATAACAAATAGAATGAAATATATCAACATGAAAATAATAACATGAACATATGAACATTATGCGTGGAAGTGAACATTGTACTATAGAGTCATTCTACATGGTAAAATAATCATTAAAACTAAAACACATTATTGAAACAGTTTAGATGTATTTGGCTAATACGTCTACGGTTATTACAAGTCTACAATCCTCCCTAAGGATCCAAACACTTCTTGAGACGATGACACCAGGGGGGCTGGTTCGACGGCGGTCGTCGACTCTCCACGCGGAGGGCCTCCTTTTTCCAGGACGGGTCCAGCGGGGAATTGACCATGGAACGTTGGGATTTAAGATTAACCTTGAAACGAGATGAAACGAGGAGGTTTGACGACAGAACATTGGGATTTAACATGATGACTCAACTGTTTAATCATTAACGTGCTGAGTCCAATGATAGATCGTTTGGAATTATTGATCCAAAATTAAAAATGGTCTATGCAAGCATCGAATATCAGGATTCGACGAATAAGAAGAAACTTAGGCTGTGATGCGATTGAATGGTGGGATTGAGCTGGTTAACTCCTCTTAGTTTTTTTTTTTTAATGTTGTTTTTCTTGGATCTGGATGACGTTAACGATTGAATCCAGTTTCCACTGGCCGCTTGGACTATCAATCAAGGCTTCTGGCTGCGAAAAGATAATTTTCCTTTTGATTATACAACATGTGTGTTGCTGCTGATCTTTTTTGAGTATTCATAGCCTAAATGCGTTTTTTATTGTAAAGCGCTCGTTGCAGTCATTTTTCACAGGTGTAAGGATCAGCCCCTGCAAAAACTGGCTCAGGAGGTCTCGGATGGCAGCTCATCGTCGGACGGCCACTGGGGTCGCAATGGTTGTTTTAATACTAGGCCATGGTGTAATGACTTGGATTATAGTTTGGGGTAACCACCATTTTAGGAAACCATATAGTTTTAGTATGTTTTAGTCTAGTGGCTATTCGTACTATGTAGTAATGTCGGTACTATATAGAGTCTTTATAGAGTTTCTCTACACAAGATTAGTTGTGCTTATGGACAAAGTGCTTGAATCCAACATGCAATATGTTCGAGCCTTTTGGTATATTCCCCCCAGACTTTTGTAGAACGTTGTCTTGCATAAAACAGTGGGAGCGGTACTACAAACAAGTAGTCTGTGGTGATACATCCCCATTTTACTGTTTTCTTAACGGTTACAAACGGTTACAACAAGCCATTTTTGAAGTACTAATTAATCCATTATAGTAATTACTATAAACAACTATAAAAACAAAAACTCGTCTAGTGATTGCTGAAGTTGAGTTGTAACAAACCATAGCAACCGGCAACAGACACCAGAGAATTTAAAACTGAGGCGACGCGTCGCGCCGAAGCGCTGAATTAGGCAGACAATGGCAACGGGTTGTGATGGCAACAAAAATAGGGTGAATTCGCGAAACTTCTGGGAATTCTGGATGAATATATATATATATATATGTATTGACTATAGGCTATAGGGGTAAGCATATACCATTTATCCGTTGATCCGTTTTTTGTTTCAGGTTTGTTAAGTCTTCCAATTCATTGAGGAAAATGATGTGTCTCAACATGGGTGAATCTTGGAAATATGATATTGCGCTTAAACGATTCAAAACGAGTCTATATTTACCACCGGTGATAGGAAAATAGCAATATCACCAACACAAGAATAGGATGATGAAGGTCTAACAATGATAGACCATGTGTGTATATTTTTCTCGTTTGGGTTGTCCAAGAAACAAAAAGAACGGGATACCAAAATTGCCTGTTGATGCAGACTCTAATGCAGACTAGGATCATCTTTTTCGGTGGACTTTGGGTCTAACCCGTGTTTTTGGACAAGAACCAACAGTGGAACTGGAAAATGATGATGACGATGATTTGTTGCCTTTGCGAAATGACCAGTTCGGGGTTCCAAATTGCCCTCTGGTAGTTTCACATAACTTTGGAAACTTGCCAATTTATAGATATGTTACTATTAAATCTATTAAACACAGTTGGTTTCCCATAATCATGTCAAATTGCCAGATTATTATTTTTTGGATACATCAAGGACGATAGAGCAACCAACTCTGAAACGTTTCCACCTCTGATGTGACGATTGCGTCTCATGTCGTGGCAACTTCATGGAATTTTATCTATGTATCATGCCGCAGTATCATGTACCTATCTTGTTGAAACGAGTATGGCTCAATTTCGGCTCATGTTTGAAAAGAGTATCTTTCTGACTTGACTCATTTCCAGCTCTGACTCTAACATTTGACATTCCCAAATGGCTCGATATGACTCGATATCCTTTCCTCATCCCTTAGAACCTCAATCTTCGTTTGTGTCGACTTGACTTGACTAGGAGTCCCAGGGAGTCCCCAGAAAGCCGTGTTTTCCATTTTCAAATTCCTGGCCCAGGTTATCGCGCCCACAGGACCTGCACCTGGGGTGGAAGTGGGGCCCGCCGGGCCCGCTTGATCTTTCTACATAAGCTTTTCATGGATGTGGTAAGCCCAATGCCATCAACCTCCATTTCTTTTGATGGTTTCCACCACCATGGTACGTTTTTTCTGCCCTTTACCCTGCAATTCCCTATGAATTCTACTGGTTTTCGAAGCTGCACTTCGCCGCAGTACCATGTACTTGGAAGAAGAAGAAGAGGAAGAATCCGAGGAGGCGTGGATGGCGACGGGGCAAACCATACCAGCATCATGTTACTCATATTAGTATGATTATAATGTATCATATAGTTATGTGGGTTGCCCAGGCCATGAATATTCGAAAACTGTACCCATATGTTCAATGTATAAATACATATCACTAGTGCAAATGGGTTACTGAACCTTAGATACCCGATATGTTTTGGTGATCGGGGGCTGTTGGTAGGATTGGCACCCTCAGAGGTGGTACAGAAAGCTGGGTCAATTAGCACAAGGTTGCCCCAACCTAGCAATATCATGAAATGTCATGAAGTAAGTGTGGTAAACCCAGTATATATATATATAATTGTTTATACATAATATACGGATCCATGTCGTTTGATTGTTTATACAACCCATTTTTGGTATGTTTTCTTCTTGTTGGACCACAGATTCACCGCAAAAGCTGGAGGCAACAGATAGAACGAACGGTTGATGGGTTCATTTACCCTCTGGTAAACATATAGAGAAAAACATGGAATATCACCATTTTTACATGGTAAATCAACCATTTCTATGTCCATGTTCAATAGCTATGTTAGTTTACCAGAGGGATAGAGGGTATGTTTCTTTGTCATTTGTTTTTTCACCCCAAGAAGCGGAATAAAAACTCCCGTTGACTGACCTGTTTTGCTGCAGAAGGCTGAATGCTTTCACTTTGATCTAACAGACATCACTAGGGATTTGAATGGCAACATCTGCCTTTGTTTTGACAATTTGTTTATTCAGCTGGAAAATCAGATTTATCAAGATCCTGACAAATAAAAGCCATTTGTGGTTTGGTTTGTTATTTGCCATACGGGCCATACTGGACTTGGGATCACAAGATTTGATCGTTCTCTATATTGCCCCGAAGTGTCAGTAACCATCATCGAATGTGTATATTTATATTCCGAGTATTGCGTCGCTTGCAGTTTTCGAAACTACTGCTAAACCTTGCTACATGGTTGCTTTGATGTGTTGATTGGTAGGGATTTTTGATGGAGGGACAGTTCACATGCAAGCCAACTTGAGTGAAAGATGTCCAAGTGTACGAGAATATAGTGATATGATATAAAGTGCTCCTCAATACCAATAAGGGCTCTCTGAAGGATCAAAAAGCTATTCCCACTCTGAAATACTCATTTTATGTTTTGAGTATATATATATGTATATATATATATGCAAGTACAGAATGTTACAGTATATGATGTATCATGATCTATCCAACATGTTTCTCCATATCCTATAGCCGTATAGTATAGTCTATAAGCTATGACTGCCCGCAGTTGACGCATAGAATGGCATTGGCCCTAATTGGTACTTATATACCTTCAGAAACATTATATAATTATATTTTTAAATAGAAATGGTGCAAGTACATATGTTTATCAATTTCTTAGAGATAAATTGAGGGTAAATCAACCTTTTGAAGACTATTATCCTGGGGTTTCCCCATGGGTTTTCCACATCTGTGCTGGTTTACCCCCCCGGGTTAATTGAGGGCCTAGCTACAGGTTGATCCCTTCCACAGGACGATAGCAGCGACAGCTCGACCTTCAGCGAAGCGGAGACCACGCAGGCAGAGGGGCTCTATGGGACATATGAGCAGTTGATAATTCTGTGGGACTCTACTGGGAATCTACTTACTAACCAATATATCGAATGGGATGTTATATTGGTTATATGTTATGTTTTATTCAAAACCTGTTGACTGATGATTCTGTGGGATTCTACTAACCAATATATTGGGGATGATGTGCAAATCTTTATTCACCATCCAGGAGGGACTACAGGGGTTTTGGACACTGCTTATTTGTGTATCCACAACTGGTTGATGGTTTCAAACATATTTTTTATGGTCAACATTGCTTTGGCTCCATTTATCATCATTTATCCATAAATGAGCATTCAAACAACAAAAAGGGTGACTCAAGCAACAAAATGGCGGGACAAGAGGGATTTGTAGTGGGGATATACAACTTGTTGCTGGTTTTCAGTTATCCCCCAAGGATCTTTGAGCTTTTGGGTAGGGGTTCCCATTTGGATTTTTTATTTGGCAACTTTGTTATCATATAATATTTTGTTTGCTATCTAGAATGTTTTATTTTGCCAAGTCATGACGTACTTCAAAGCATGAAGAAACAACTCTAATCATAGGATGTGAAGCCACTGGTCAATGGGCATGGAACGTTTTGTTCTGCATTAAGTTCTTTTTGATGGTAAGTTTAATGGGGGGAACACTTTACTTGCAGCTAGACATGACCTCGTTTGAATGGCATCATATGGCATCTACATAAGTTTAATCTTATGTTTTTTTCCGAGAAACCCGTAAATGGGCGTTGCTGAGGCTTGATGTTTACTAGAACAAGCATCAGATACAAAATGCAAGTAGACTGTATACTTGTAGAAATGTGAGGCATCAAGCACATTCATGAGTTTCATTAATGGTACTGGAATATCCAAGGACTCGCATAGGAATCGATGTGGCTTGCAGTAATGTCGCATAGGAGCCACCTGGAGCCCTGGGGTGGAAACCTCAGAGATCCAACGACCACAGAAAACGACCCTAAAGCTTGGTCATAAAAAACGACCGGCTGTGGAAAATGGCCTGTTTCTTGATGATGTTTCCATTGATTTGCATTGAAAGTGGTGATTTTCCATAGCTATGTTCAATGACCAAAGGGCAAATGATGATTTTTTTATACACCCAGTTACAAAGTTCATTGTGTTTACCCAATCCCCTGTCGGTATATTATATCCATCATGATTTACCCCCAGGATCCAGTGAAGCTAGTTAGTTCAACCAAATTGATCCATGTATATGTTGAGTTAGTTGAAGCATCCAACATAAAATATCATTTGCATTTTGTAGTTGTACAATATGTAAACTATATTTTTTTTACTTGTTTTTGAGCGGTTCTTATGATCTTCATAACCTGTAATTATATTGAACCCGCTGCCAATACATAATCTGTAATTGAACCCGCTGCCACTACCTATATAACCTGTAATTGAACTCGCTGCCAGTGCGTAACCTAGAATTATTTTTAAGCCGCTGCCAGTACAGAATCGTATCTAACAACTGCACGGGGTCAACACTTGATCCTAATCAAATTCTATCAATGACAACTACAAAATATTTTTTGAAAAGTATCTTGGTCGGAACTTTGGATGGCATAGACCCAACTACAAAATGTTATTGAAGGGAAAAATAATGTTAGCATTTCCGATTTTCAACTATTTTTCAACTTCAGATGCATAGGTTTTTGTAGTGCATATCTTGACTTGTTTTCGGAATCAAATCAAGTTGTGCTCTGTATTTTGTAGTTGCAAAAATGGGACCATGCATCCAATTTTGTAGTTGCAGGCCGGATGCTTTGTGTCTTGTACCTATCAAAATCTTCTGCACAACTCCTCCCCCTTATCTGAACCCCGATCCAAATTGCCTATACATCGGCAACAATTGATGGATATAATTTCTATATATCATTATTGGATCAATCATTATTATTGGATATTGATATAATGGTTGATTACGCCCAAATTATCAGTTTTTCCCCTCCGGTAATCAAACTGCCAGCTGGAAAATCTCCATTTAGTTCGACGATGATCGCCGATGGTGAATCCGATGCAATGACTTATTTCAGTATGTTCCACGATTCACCATATCCCATATGAGCAGCTGGTTGGTGGTTTGGAACATAAATTTTATGATTTTCCCATATATTGGGAATAATCATCCCAACTGGCGAACTCATATTTTTCAGAGGGGTTGAAACCACCAACCAGTTCCACTATTCTCCATATACCATCAGAGGGGTTGAAACCACCAACCAGTTCCACTATTCTCCATATCCCATCAGAGGGGTTGAAACCACCAACCAGTTCCACTATTCTCCATATCCCATCAGAGGGGTTGAAACCACCAACCATTTCCACTATTCTCCGTATCCCATATGTGTCTTTTGTTTTTTTTCCAGTAAGACAACTATATGGTTTCCCATTATGGGGTAGCCCCAAATCATCCAATCGTGAAACCCATCGTCTCCAGGCTGAAGAGGCTGAGATGACGCAGTGGATGGGGCTGCTGAGCGAAGAACTGGAGAGGTGCCGACGTTGGTAAGAAAGATGATTATTAAAACATATTAAAACCAGCACCTGGTAGAGTATATAATGTATTTAGGTGTATTCATGTATCATTGATACTATAGATCATCAAAATAAAAACAATCATTGTATATAGATTGTGATGGATCAGTATATCATGTATACTATATGACAGATCATTATAGATCTATATTGGATATCTATCTATCTATCTATCTATCTATCTATCTATCTATCTATCTATCTATCTCTATCTATCTATCTGTCTATCTATCTATCTATCTATCTATCTATATTGTATTTGTATATATATATATATATACATTGTATGCATCTGCCTTGACCTATATATATATATATATATACATAATGGTCAGCATAACAACACCTTTGGGATAGCATACCCATTTTCCATGAAGGGTTTAGGCCTGAATAGTTTGGTGGATATTTTGTGCTGGATATTTCAGCCACAGAGTCCACCTTGGATCATTTTGGCGACTGGAACTGGATGAGATCTGGATGAGATTGAGTGCAATGCCGGAATTTGAGGTGCAAAGCCGGACCAGGCCTGGAAGGCAGGGTCACTGCATGTCACTGCGATGATGACCAAACATCAGTGGAATTTGCCTCAGTTGAAGGCCGGTGATCGACCTTGGCCGCTTGGCCTTTGAATGACATCCCAGTTGGATCATCGGAGCGATTGCTGGATCTGGCGGACGAACACCTTTGGGTGTTTCCAAATATACAAAAGCCATCGAACTCCGCTGTAAATGGATGTTTTTTTTAATGTTTTTTTTTTATAATGGGATAAGTGGAGAATCTGCCAGCTAGCCATGTTTGATTACAGGACCGTAAATCGAGTAATGCTTGGCCATACATGTCGATCATTTCTTTATTTTGAAATCGCAACGAATGGAATCTGAGCATCCAAGCTCGTACCAACCCAGTTATGCCCAGTTAAAACGCCAAAGCTAAAGCCCGGGTGCCGGCAAAGATAGTGATTGAAGCCATGTGACCCTTGTAATTGTACAGAGTTTTGTTCCCGCCGAACTGGGGGACTCCTTTGCAAAACATATATTATTATACATGTATATCAAGAGAGCCATCAACAGGGTTTGCGGAAGAAAACATCTGATCTATCCTGTCTCAAGGTTGATTCCTTTGACTACCATGATTCATGATATAAAATTGGGCTGTGCTTTTTTGAAGACAACCGAGATAGAATCGTCATGAATTGACACATGTTTCCCTTCAGCATTGGGGCATGGAGGTCAAAAGGGGATGCCCTATACCCCACCACCCAGGCCTAAAGCAACCCAAAAACATACGACTCGACCATCGACCTCCAAGACAATTGTGTCACCTCATCTTTGGTTTCCTCTCCCCTTGTTTACCCTCTGGTAAACTAACGTAACTATTGAAAATCACCATGCTATTCATGGGTAAATCCACTATAAATGGCCATGTTCAATAGCTTTTTGTATGTTTACCAGGCCGGGTATCCCTTTGAACAGATGAATTTCGTAGCTCCACCAGTCATCATTTCCAGCTCACGGTGTCACCGTCCTTTTAGAAATTACAGAGGCGCGGTCTGTCGACCTCAAGCTCCTACATGAGCATTTTTCGGCAACTGCGCATGGCCATGCGTACCTTGGACCTGGCAACATGGTTCATATCCCCAAATGCGGGATGCACATAGCTTGAGGATTTGAGGATTAAAAACATATCCCAGTTGGTGTTTACTCAGTTAAGTAGAACGGCATTTGGAGGTGGAGTGGCCCCCAAGAAATATCTACATGGGGATCCCCCGAGCAATTGGAGTTGTTTAGCCGAAATGGGGGATAACATGTTGCAATGTGTTACTGTTACTGATTTAATGGGATAACGGGATAACCCTATTTTTTGCAATTACCCTGTTTTCAGGCCACATCCCATCTTGGTAAATTTGTTGAGGACCTCAGCGGCAGACCTAACAGCCAGGACTTTAAGGTTGCCAGGAGACATAATCCCAAAACTGGTTTAGTCCTGGTCTGTGAATTATCATAGTCACAAATAGTATGTACATGTATATATATATATATACATATATGATACAATTTTGCCCAGATGCCTCTGACAATTGGGAAAGCAAAATACTACCAAAAAGCTGGGAAGTATGATCTTTTGACTATCCCATTTGTACATGTGGAAGTTAAGAAGTGAACCCCATCATCGCCGAGGCAGTCACCCCCATCCGCCCAGGTTCTTTCCCCGGAACGATTTTGTGTGGCCCCTCGGGAGTGGGCAAAAGCACCATGCTGCGCTGTATGTCTCTTGGCGGTGATGCTGGGGCTGGGCCTGGCGTGTGGGGAATTTGAGGGGTGTCCGTTGTTGACCAAATGCTTGGGGATTGCTTGGGGATTGCTTGGGGATATCAGAACTCAGAACTACAATGTCCAACTGTGACACCTCCATGCTGAGGATGCAAGCTGAGAAAGCCGCTTGCGCAATGAAGGTACCATGGGGAGATCTGGGTGGGGATTGGCAGCAACTGAGCTATTGATAGACCCATGAATCCATGTGTGTGTATATATATATATATCAGGCTTCACGAATCAAATTGATGGTGGACTAGACAGAAGCTTTTGATTATGTTAATCTTCATCCAATCATCCGATCTATTCCTTTCCTATCCAGTACATTCCAATACTCTTTTCCGAGGATTGGTATGTGAGGCATGTTGGCTTCATCCCCCTCATCAAACTTCATGGCGACATGGTTCATCCCAGCTGGTGCCTGGTGGATTTCCCGTTCCAACCAGGAAACTAGGCCTTTTTCGATCGTGTCATTGGCAACGGGTAAACCAACCAGACCTACCATGATTTCCCATCGTGATGGTTTAATATCAACATTTTTCGCGGATTTAGACATTTGAACATCAATAATGCGGGAAACCCAATGCCATAAACATGGGCATAAACATACCATTTGGGTATGGTTCATAACACCCATTTAAAACCGTGTGTGGTGATTTTGGGGATGGTTTATGGCATTGGGCTTAGCACATGTTTTTTTTGCAGACTGCAAGCCTCGTCAAGCGTGGCTCTCAGACAGTCGTTCCAAACGTCAGGAATTGGTCCCACCAGAGATGGTTCAGTGCTTTCCTGGTGCTTTGCCACCCGAAACGTTGGGCTCTGGAGGACTGTGGCTTGGGGAAGATGTTGTCTACATATTTTAGTACACTAAATATAATATATGATATTTATGATTATTTATGTATCATCTAAAATTATCTATTTGTTTGATCATATATAATTAGTCAAGCGATTATTTGGAATTGATATCATACATATGTGTATATATATATATATTTACTTATTTAATATCTATTGTTATCCCCATATTCAGTACTGTAATAATTTATCATCAAACAATATAAACAAACACTACCTACCATTTGGGAGATTGTATCATATTGTATCCCCAGAATATCACATGGTTGGTTTGTCTACATTTAGTGAGGAATAGTTTGATTTAATATGTTTTAATAGTCCTATCATAGGTCCTGTTTATCCATATATATATACAATTGATATGCTCCATGTATGGCATGTCGACCTAAAATTGGCTCATGTTGGTGAATATTCCATAGCATGGAGCATTGAGGTATATAATTGGTTATTGGATACCAGTGTCCAAAAAATATGCCATCTTGAAGGGCAAGACAAAGAAAACCCATTGGATGTGACTAATATTGGCCGTATAGATTGGAGTTGTTCCAAGCGATGGAGAACCAACTAATCTTTAAAGAAAAACTTTGTACTTTGGCTTTCACTCTTTTACAACCATGCAGAGCAGTTGAGATGGACATGAATCACCTGATTTCCCTGTATAGTAAACACATGTAAACATCACTAATCCCAAGTGAAGCCTACAACAGATCAAAACACCGAGATAGTCACAATACTCACAGACATTTGGGTTTGTCTGAAAATAGTGTAGCCCTACACCCAATGGTTTTGCTGATCATTATCCCTACTAAATGGCATTGGGAGTATACCCCATTTTCAGACATAGCCATATGGATTATATGGATATTTATATGGATATAATCATTATCAACCATCATTAACCACCATTAACCATCATTAACCATTACCCATTTAAGTGTTGATTGAATTCTGACTTTGGATCCCCCGTAAGGGCGACAAACACCAGACCGGCAGGATCCGAAGCTATGCGCGGCAGCGTGCTCTCGAAGCTCTTGTCCTCGGCAGCTCACCACAAGGTCACGTCGTAAACGCATCACGTCGGGAGTCAGGTTCTGTGGGTATCACATATTAATGTTCTTTAAATTTCTTTAATATGTATATATTTCTACAATATTATAAAATATTTTACACATACACCCCTTATTATAATACATCTATGCGCACCAAACTATGTAATATAATGTTTGTTTCAGCCTCAGAGCCTGGTGAGTTGCAGTCAAGTCGTTGTCGTCACAGGACCTGTTGACTGCTGGTGAAGTCTACGCTCGCATCTACCCATAAAACGTGTATGAAATAATATGAAACACCAAACTGTTCCTAATGTTCAATCATTTGGTTTGTTACATATATCATCATATATCACTATAGAATACTATAGACTATATCCTAACTTTTGGTTGCGTTTGATGATTGGTCAAAATCATCATACTGTATGGGCGAAACGTGGCAAGATCCTACAGTATGCGTTTTGTTGATTTTGATGGTTAAATACCCATGTAGAATGCGGAAGATCACGAGGGTCAACCACACCATGGACGATGGGATGTTGTTAGTTTATTTGTTACATTTGGGACAGACCATAGCTGTTACAAGCTGCGTTTCTGAGGGTTAAGCCAATCACCATTTGGTCATATCACAATGTTGGATTGTTGACACCCGATTTGTGTTCCTACTTCAATCACCATACGTGTGGCTCAGGTTTCCACTTTTGTTGGTCCAACCCCAAATTTCCTGGATTTGTTTCAGGGCATAAAACGAATAGAAACCTAGTACGAATTCCTTTCTCACATATATAGTGTACCCTCTGGTAAACTAACATAACTATGGAAAATCATCATTTTTTTATGGGAAAACTCACTATAAATGGCCATTTTCAATAGCTATGTTAAATTACCGGAGGGTACTCACCCATTGCCACGGGAAAATGCAAGAGAAGCATCTTCAGCAAGCCCAGGTTTCTGTAAGCAGTGTTGAAAACAACGACCCACTATCAATGATTTGCTCGGGGGTTCTACAGCAACCAAAATGACTTGGAAATTCTCACAATGGCCATTGGGCCATTATCATCCAATATCCATAATGTTGAATAATTGACACATTCCTTAAATTAATAAATTATGTTTCTCACAATGAAAAAATCATGAACTGATAATTATCCATAATTATCCTATGAATTGGTAATTCCTTAATACTCACAGGGGGTTATACTATCCATCTACCCAATGTATTGGGCATTGTCATCATCCTTAAAAATCGGGAATTCCTATTAACCAACCAGTACCAGTATAACAAGACTTGTTTAAAAAAAAACTAACCAACCAGCATTATCATATTTCTATCAACACATATCATGCAAGTATTAAACAATAATATGTTTTTCACCAGTGTTCAAAACCTAGCTTATAGCTCTTTTCCATGCACATCCACCTAGCCAATATATTTGGGATATATATATATAAATATCTACAGTATATTAATTGGAATCCTTTTTGCACCAACCAAGGGTTGTTTAGCAGCCACTGCTCAAGCTGCCCCGCTCCGAAAGCTGCAGGTTTTGTGCTTCGACGGCGTGCTGGACTCCTGGGCAGAGTCCTTGCATGGCGTGCTGGACCGAACAGGCACGAAAAATGGGAGATATGGACCATTTTGGGCATGGGAAAAATGGTGACTATCGGGGAAAAGCACGTCATTTAACCACAACAACATGGATCGAACATCGTTAATCATGTTTAATCAAGAACAGTCCGAATCATGATTTGTTATCTGGAGAAATGGGGAGTTAATGATTTGCCGAGGAATTTTGGGTGGTTGCTATTTGATCTATCACAGGTAAGTCGATTGGTGTTTTCCCTGAACCACTTGCAATTGGAATTCCACTCAAGCAAAGGGGGACTCAAGCAACCAATAATTGGATAGAATTGGCAAAGTTGGTTTGTAATCAACTGGATGATCTGCGGTTTGTAATCAATGGGTATATCTCCACTTTGACGGGTGAAACCAAAGCAACGTGGGGACTCATCCTGTGGGGAAGATTTCAGTATTATCTCTAAGCCATGTTGATTGGACAATAAACTACCATGTTTATATCATTCAAAAGCAACAGTTAAACCAGAAGTCATAAACCGCATATTTTTGGTAGCAAAACCTGTTGTCGATTAGTGAATTTTGTCCAAAACTCATAGATAAGACAATTAAGTCTATATAATTGTCTATGACAGACCAAAGGGTCTCGGTGCACCCAGATTTTCAGAGAAACTCATGGCTCTGCATTGCCCCGACTTGGCGCCATGCCACGGATATTGTTAGCAAATTTGATGAACCATCGCCTCCGCGAGGGTTTGCGTTCGCATTCTTTTGAAAAGTTCAAAATACCAAACCTGATGACAATGACTTGTGTGCTGGTGTTGTCTACAGTGAAACGATGTGAAACGCGTTGCAAAGCTGCACGTCGACTTGCTGAAAATTCTTCGCACTGTTTTGCCATCCTGACGGGTGGCTATGTCAGCCGAGCATCCTATGCCAGGGGAACTGGCTACTCGGACCTCTGCCCTTCTTGCCAAGTGGTGTCATCTTGCGACCAGGAATTCTGGACATGCCCAAGTGTCCCAAACCCTGAGCAGCGGCCACCAAAACCCGAATGTCCTTTGCAGGCACGACTGGGTTGGCCCACTACCGAAAACAAAAACGGTGATGCCATCCTTGCATGGCAGTGTCAGGTGAGAAAGTTTCAGCTCAGCCATCGTTATAAGCCTCCGACCCCTGGATCTTAAGCTTTAGTGTTGCACATGTCCGTTTTCCAAATCACCTGCCTTGATTTGAATCCTTGCCCAAAATATTCGACTACTACGACATCTTGTGGTATCTTGTGTCTTGGCAGTGACAACATGCTTAATTACACCATGTTCCATATGCTGCCATCAGTGTATCCACCTTGGATCAGCAAACTGACCTTTGAACTTCTTCATGTCCTGGCCCCTTTGAGGGCCTACCACAGAGCTTTTACCAGTCAGTCTGGGTCTGCCTTTCGAATCCATAAAACCCCACAGTCAAGCTTGGGTTGGGCTCATGGGTTGATTTAGGCTAATTATCCAGAGCGCGAGAGATTACCGCCCGCGCATGATAGATTTGACATATCTTTAAGACATGGGTTTGGCCCCGGCTTTGCCGCAGTGGTTCTTGGTTTCACCACATTAGATCGTATTTTTGTTTGTTCAAAATGGTTGAAATGCCGCTGTTGTTTTGCTCGTCGTGTGACCGCAACCAGAAGGAAAGTAACAATAAACAGCCACATTTAAAGATTGGCAAAGGATGGCTGCCTCATCTTGTGAGAAACACATTGCATACTCTACAATGATCTACGTTTCTACTACGATATTTTTTTGTAAATATGTGTTTCACATATATATATATATATATGTGCGTTATTAATGGTCCGAAGACATGTCATTCTTTTGATGACTGGGACTGGACTAAGTCAACTGTTTTTCAGAATTTTGTGGAACGTCACTGGGCAACCACTATCGTGCATCTAGTTGCTGGTTAGATTATGTTAGATTTCCCTTTCCGTTTGTTTTCGTTACAATATTATGTAGATGGATATTGATCAAATAAATTGAGCCGCCTACCGGCCCAGCAAAATGGTTACATAGGTGTATAGATGGTGATCAGTACTACACCATTCCATCTTAGTAGCAACTTTGACAAGGCTTCAGGTTGGTCACACTTACATCTGACATGAAACGTAGCTATTTGAATATATTTTTTGATCTCATAGACTCATAGATGTCCTTTTATTCCCCACCTGCCAGGTGAGGGTTGTTAGATTTATCAGAGTTGTTCTCCTCCTCGGCTAGCTGTCCTCCTCCTCCTCCTCCTCCTCGTCCTCGCCCTCGTCCTCCTCCTCCTCCAGTTTCTCCTCGACCATGTCTGCATCAACTTCCACCTGCACTTCCGCCTTGCCAATTCTTGGCCAAGCTCTTTGCCAACTCTCTTCGCCAAGCTCTTTGCCAACTTCCCAGCTCAGTGTGCACCGCTGGACCTCACCCTGGGACCTTCCCAGCTCAGTGTGCACCGCTGGACCTCAACCTGGGAGCTGCCCAGCTCAGTGTGCACCGCTGGACCTCAACCGGGACCTGTCCAGCTCAGTGTGCAACGCTGGACATCAACCTGGGACCTGCCCAGCTCAGTGTGCACCGCTGGACCTCAACCTGGGATCTTCCCAGCTCAGTGTGCACCGCTGGACCTCAACGGCCAGATAGAATGCCAGAAGATATGCCAGATAGAGTGTTAGAAGATATGCCAGATAGAATGCCAGAAGATATGCCAGATAAAATGCCAGAAGATATGCCAGATAGAATGCCAGAAGCTATGCCAGATAGAATGTTAGAAGATATGCCAGATAGAATGCCAGAAGGTATGCCAAAGAGAATGCCAGATAAAATGTCAGATAGAGTGCCAGAAGATATGCCAGATAAAGTGCCAGAATGTTTGCCAGATAGAATGCCAAATTCAATGTCAGATAGAATGCCAGAAGATATGCCAGATAGAAGCCAGAAGATGTGCCAGATAGAGTGCCAGAAGATATGCCAGAAGGTATGCCAGATAGAATGCCAGATAAAATGTCACATAGAATGCCAGAAGATATGCCAGAAGGTATGCCAGATAGAGTGCCAGAAGAGATGCCAGAACATATGCCAGAAGGTATGCCAGATAGAATGCCAGAAGGTATGCCAGATAGAATGCCAGAAGATATGCCAGATAGAATGCCAGCAGATATGCCAGATAGAATGCCAGAAGATATGCCAGATAGAATGCCAGAAGGTATGCCAGACAGAATGTCAGATAGAATGCCAGAAGGTATGCCAGATAAAGTGCCAGAATGTTTGCCAGATAGAGTGCCAGAAGATTTGCCAGATAGAATGCCAGATAAGATGTCAGAAGATATGCCAGAAGATATGCCAGACAGAGTTATTGCAGAAGATATGCCAGGTAGAATGCCAGAAGATATGCCAGATAGAATGCCAGAAGATATGCCAGATAAAATGCCAGAAGATATGTCAGATAGAATGCTAGAAGATTTGCCAGTAACAAAACGTATAGATGTCATGGTGGGGGTAGCTCGAAGTAAAGTATTTTTTCCACTGGTTGGTTGATTATATACTGGAGGGTTCCACCATTCAACAACCCATAGGTAGATTACAGTGGTATACTATACCAAAGCGGTCCCTGGATTTTTCAAATTACTTTACTTCGTGTGATCACCACCATGGCATTTATACATTTTGTTACTGGCAAATCTTCTGGCATTCTATCTGACACTTTACCTGGCATTCTATCTGGCATACCTTCTGGCATTCTATCTGGCATATCTTCTGGCATTCTACCTGGCATATCTTCTGGCATATCTTCTGGCATTCTATCTGGCATTCTATCTGGCATATCCTCTGGCATATTATTTGGCAAATCTTCTGGCACTCTATCTGGCAAACATTCTGGCACTTTTTCTGGCATACCTTCTGGCATTCTGTCTGGCATATCTTCTGGCATTCTATCTGGCATATCTTCTGGCATTTTATCTGGCATATCTTCTGGCATTCTATCTGGCATATCTTCTGGCATTCTATCTGGCATTCTATCTGGCATACCTTCTGGCATATCTTCTGGCACTCTATCTGGCATATCTTCCGGCATTCTATCTGACATTTTATCTCGCATTTTATCTGGCATACCTTCTGGCATTCTATCTGGCATATCTTCTGGCATTCTATCTGACATTCTATCTGGCATTTTATCTGGCATATCTTCTGGCATTCTATCTGACATTCCATCTGGCATATCTTCTGGCATTCTATCTGGCCGTTGAGGTCCAGCGGTGCACACTGAGCTGGGCAGGTCCCAGGTTGAGGTCCAGCGGTGCACACTGAGCTGGGCAGGTCCCCGGTTGAGGTCCAGTGGCACACGAGCTGGGCAGGTCCCCGGTTGAGGTCCAGCGGTGCATACTGAGCTGGGCAGGTCCCCGGTTGAGCTCCAGCGGTGCACACTGAGCCGGGGAGGTTCCAGGTTGAGGTTCAGCGGTGCACACTGAGCTGGGCAGCTCCCAGGTTGAGGTCCAGCAGTGCACACTGAGCTGGGCAGCTCGCAGGTTGAGGTCCAGCGGTGCACACTGAGCTGGGAAGTTGGCAAAGAGCTTGGCGAAGTGGTGGAGGAGAAACCGGAGGAGGAGGCGGAGGAGGAGGACGAGGAGGAAGAGGACAGCTAGTCGAGGAGGAGGAGGAGGAGGACGAGGAGGAGGACCAGGACCCGGAGGAAGAGCGCTCTGATAAAATCTAACAACCCTCACCTGGCAGGTGGGGAAAAACGAACAGTTTGTTTTGGAATTGGGTTTGTTAAAGCAACCATGTCACCACAATGTTTGTTTGTTTTTGGCCACCATACTGTGTGCGTCGTGGTTTTGCAGCTCGCCCCCCCTTTGTTGAAACCCAGTGGAGACGACCGCCAGGGCATCGACAGTTGAGCAACATGACTTTGGCCCTTGAAGCTGAGAGCAGGCAGCGGAGTTGAGCAGGTGGAGATTTCCCCTTTCCAATGCAGACAAGGAGGGCACATCACCAAGCCAAGTCTAATGGGTTTGTCTGAAAATAGGGCACCTCTAAATATTATGGTTAATTCTCCTATTTACGTTTTTAGAGAGGCCCAAATGTACCAACTTCAGTAAGAGAAGAAATTGAAACAAAACAAAAAAAATGGGAGTCTCCCCAACTAAAATGGGGCGATATGCTGGGCAAATCTTTGAGGTAGGGAACTAGGATACTGTTCGATAAAATGACCCAAAGCAAAATGGATGGATTGTAGAGCTACACTCTGATTTTTAGTATGTGCGCGTGCGAAAAGATGGGCAGTAGGGTAGACACCAATCTTCCACAAGAACTAGTGAACTGTTGGCATGTAATCCAGTCAAAGAGTATATCCAGGTAGAATTTCACAAGCGATATGGTATAAGGTAGGATCATCAACAAAATTCTGGTTTGAACTGGAAAAAAAACGGAAAGCCAACCAGCTTTTCAAATGACAGTCACAGCCCAGCAACCCATTGCTCCAGCTACCTTTCAACTACTCCAGTAGTTATTTTTATGGCCGAAGTTTTTTGTTACTCGTACATTTTGGTTTACTCCATGAATTTAAAAATCACAGCCACATGTATGGTCCATTGACACCATTGACAATTTCGGCTGATTGGTGATTCGGGACTGCATGTGAAATGTGTAATTTCACCAAATCAATGGAACATAAAAATTTACTGTACGCTGCCCAGGCGGCACTGCACGATTTTCTTTAGATGGTCGAAATTCGCTAGTTATATGGCTGGTTCGTGGTTTGGGACATTTTTATTTTTCCATATATTGGGAATAATAATCCCAACTGACTAGTATTTTTCAGAGGGGTTGAAACCACCAACCACATTATATGGGTATAGGATGGTAATTGTAGGTCTGTACCCCCAATAGCCAAATTTGCCGGTTTCAATTTCTTTGACCCATCCTCCAAGGTGCTTGTTAAGAACCAACAAACGTCCAACAACCATGAGACTTCAGCACTTATTAGAGGAGTCTCCTAGTCGGAGAGGTGGTTCATTGATCTATACCGTAATACTATATTATATATATGCAATACAGTAGATGGTCGCGAAATCCTGCACCAGTTGGTAGATGGCTTATCCCTTTCTAAGCCCATTATTTGCAATGTGTCATAGTTACTAATAGTTACTAGCTGGCGCACGATTTCGCAACCATCCACAATATCATCTATAATGCAACCTCACTAGTGTTCGGAAAGCAATGGGATCCACCAGTCCCATTTTTCCGACAATAATGGATTGTATATGGCTGGTAAACATGACATTGTTTTACTCAACTTATATCCATTGATATCAAAGCCAATGAAATCTTTGGGATTCAACCCCCCAAGGTGATCAACGTGGGAAGCGATTACATAATCGTCACTAGCTAACTTAACCAGTAATAATTATTTTAAGCTTAACCAACTATCATGCTGCGATTTTTACAATATTGTAAAGTTTATCTTAGTTTCGGATTTTGGACAGAAACGTTTTTCACACTATACCGCACCATATAGAAAGCGATAGCATCACCTGCAGGCTGATCTTTGAGACGGAGTCCTTAGCGTCCACCTCCCCGAGCACCTTATGCCGCTGTTGCACCGTGCCGCTGCCCACGGAGGTGGTCATGGCGGGGATTGGGATGACGGCGAATCCCATAGCCAAAAAAATAGGATCAATATATTGACACGTAAATATAGATAGAGATAGATCGATAGATCGATAGATTAGTTAGTTAGATAGAAAGATAGATAGATGGATAGATAGCTAGATAGACAGATAGATAGATAGAGATAGATAGATAGATCGATAGATCGATAGATCGATAGATCGATCGATCGATCGATAGATAGATAGATAGATAGAGAGATAGAGAGATAGAGAGATAGAGAGATAGAGAGATACAGAGATAGATAGATAGATAGATAGATAGATAGATAGATAGATAGATAAATATATAGATATATAGATAGACAAGTAGATGGATAGATGGATAGATGGATTGATGGATAGATGGATAGATGGATGGATAGATAGATAGATAGATAGAAAGATAGATAGACAGATAGGTAGATAAATAGAAAGAAAGAAAGATAGATAGATAGATAAATATATAGATAGATAGATAAATAGATAGATAGATAGATAAATAGAATAGAATAGATTAGATTAGATAGATAGATAGATAGATAAATAGATAGATAGATAGATAAATAGAATAGATTAGATTAGACAGATAGATAGATAGATAGATAAATAGATAGATATTTTATTGATTGATTGATTGATTGATTGATTGAGGGATAGATGGATAGATGGATAGATGTATAGATGCATAGATGCAAGGATAGATCGATGGACGCGTGGATAGATAGATAGATAGATAGATTGATTGATTGATAGATTGATAGATAGATCGATAGATAGATAGATAGATAGATAAATAGATAGATATATTGATTGATTGATTGATTGATTGATTGATTGATTGATTGATTGATTGATTGATTGATTGAGGGATAGATGGATAGATGGATAGATGGATAGATGGATAGATGCAAGGATAGATCGATGGACGCGTGGATAGATAGATAGATAGATAGATAGATAGATAGATAGATACATAGATAGATAGATCGATCGATCGATCGATATATAGATCGATAGATGATGGATGGCTGGCTGGCTGGATGGATGGATGGATGGATGGATGAATGGATGAATGGATGAATAGGCAGACAGACAGACAGACAGATAGATAGATAGATAGATGGATCGATGGATGGGTAGATGGATGTATAGATCGATGGATGGGTAATCACATCCCCCTTTGCTAATGTACGGTAGGGGGGGGCCTAGCTAATGTACGGTACTTTTCCGTACATTTCTCAAAGGCTTACCATATGATTCCGTACAATTTTTTTTTTGGGGGGGGGCAAACTCACCAGAACCAATTTCTATACATCCAGTGTTTATTCCCGTTCCAATTTCCACTTGATAAGGCCAACATGAGTAAACAATCACTATCTTTGTATCGTTGGTGTGCCAGCATTGTTGGCTACCAATTGTTGGACTATAGCAAACAATCAATATTTTGATACGTTCAGCTTTACCTTGTGGAGTGATTGCAAAGAACCGCAGCAGCGTTTGGCTGCCAATTTTTTTGGGGTGGCAAAATGCCATGGGTGGCACCTTAGCTAACTAATACAGATACCCCCGTCAGTTCCAGGATTAATTTCGTTGGATTAATTTAGTTGGATGAATTTTTGGTGACCGGTTCAGAAATCTAACTCAAGGGATATTTGGACTAATTTGCAGCGCCTCCGTTAGAGCAATGGCTCTGGAGAAACCACGGCAGCAACCAGCGCATTGCTTGTTCCCAACATGCAGCTGGGCACTGGAAAGACATGGAAAGAATTATATCTGAATTGTCACTCACCCTTTTCATTCTTTTGTTGGAGGAATTTGACGCCTTACACCTGCAGATTTGACATGATGCGGGATGATGCGGAAAGATGTTGTTTGTTGAGCTTGCTGATTCTTAGTGCTAGTTTGTTGGTGTTTCTGCTTTGTGTTAGAGGTTGCCAGGTGCATGGGGCTCCTCAAGCGGACCCAGTTGAGTGTTTTTATTTTTGTGGCCGAGGTATCGGCAAAATGCGGCCCGCGGTCTGGAACAAGAAATACTCTATCTATGTGTGCCACTGCGAATCTTGGCATACGTGTTGGGCACAGTACCATTGGAGCGCGGGTTGAGCAGGTGAAAGGTTTTCTGCGCAAAGACCTGGAGACTTGGGATATCTTGGGATGATTTGGCCCTTCTGGGATGACTCAGGGAGGCTTGGTGTCTGCCGTGTTTTTCAAATCAGTTGGCTGGCAACGACTCTGCAGGACAGTTCTTCGGTGACTTTGCAGGGGCATCGGCGTCCATCCGCTCATTGCGCTGTGTGGCACAGAGGACAATGGATCAAGTCCCATACTCTGTCGAGAACTATGAAGGACCTACAGTCAGAATCTAGTTCAAAGTGATCACATTTATGCAGGGCATTTATTTTTTTAGCTGGCAGTCTTTAAGGACTCAGAGGCTTAGACTTCTCGGAAACTTTCCCCACTGATACAGACAGTGAATATTTTCATTTGGTGTTCAGGAGAACTGAAAGACTACCAGATTATTTTCCATTGGCAATGGTGAGCTGAGGAACGGCCATCTGAGCAAACAGCTGTGCAAACTTCTGCGCTCGCTGAACCTGCCACGGGGACTGCAGATCACAAACATGAGGCCTTGACTTCCAATGGAACTTTTCCTTTTATTGCTGGGAGTGAGCTGAAACAAATAGGCTATCAACTGTGGTGTTTTATTTACAGTCTTATCATGAGAGGCTACAACCTCCAGGAATCAGAACTGATCCATTCCTCATGATGCAACCTTCACCTTTCAATGGGCTACTGCTTGGTTAACCACCACAGGATGCCATGAATTCTTGACCCAATTTTTTGGACAAGCTCCCAGCTCCCGGGTTTCTGTATGGTTTCTGTATGGTCTTTGTGTGTGTGTAGGACCTATAATCCTCTACCAAGATGTTGGTATTTCAACCCGGTGGTGCATCTTCGCGGATCCCATGACGAAATCTTTGCCAAGTGGCTGGATATAGCTGGATGCCCTCCCCAAGGCTAACTCCTTCAGGTGATATCAGTGATGTCCTGATGTTTGCTAGATATTGCTAGATTGTTGTTCCTTTTTGGGGGCAATGGTTACTCCGCGTCTTCCTCGAGTTCTGTTTTGGTCACTATGTCATATTCCTGGTTCTTGGCCCCAATTTGGAAATCAACGAGTTCATCAGTTCATCATAGTTCATTTCATCGAAGCCTCAACTGACCCCCAATAAAAAGCCTGGTGAGCCTGGTTTCATCTTTTTGGAGCAATGTGAGATCAATAACCCATCCCCACAGATGATAATGATCTATTTTGATCTATTGTTGCATCTCATCCTATGGGGATGATAAAAAAAACACCCCCTCCAAATGGAAATTGTCGAGGATGCCTTGGCCGCTTTGGGTGCAGACCTGCGGGTGAACGCAGCAGAGGAGGGGAAGGTCGAAAACGCATTGGCGGAGGCCATTGAGACACCCGGGGATGGGGACCTTGGAGCTGCTGGAATTTGAGTGATCCATGGATCCACTTGCATCCAACTATTCCGGCTCAGCTAGTTTATCTTCAAACGGGAGTTTATGGAGATCCTGCCAAGTCATTTCTTATGGAGATCTGCAAGATCTTGGGTAGAATCTTTATAGCTATCTTCACCCATGAAATTTGCGCAATCTTTCCCCGCTTCTCTTTCCCTTGTCCTTTGCAGCACACTGTTTGGGGATGTTTGGGGATATTTGGGGTCTCTCGTCAGCATACTTTGGGGAATTCTGTGAATTGATCTGAATTGTTTGATATCGTTTGTTTGTCAAATAAATCTCACACAACGGCCACTTACATTCATTATTTCGGTGCATTTGCATGGCATTGCATGGGTCATGCATTCCAGCTCTTTTGGCGGCCATGCATATTTTTTTCAACAACTGATTGGAGTAAGATGTGCCGGGAGGCAGTATATATTTGTATCCAACGAACAGGTTTTGACCTATACAGCACACGATAACATATTTAATTCAGCTGCGTGATTTCATCAAAATTTTCAAACCGACCTGTCCCAGATGCCTTTCAATTTCTGACTATTTCGCGAATTTGTTTCGAACATGTTTGAATAGGGTTGACATTGTGTGATGGGCTGCTTCAAGCTGATACAAGTTGCCTGATCAGGCCCTGGAAGAAGAAGTGGCAGTGAAGTCATCGTTCGATGGTTGCGACAGACGATCCTTGCTTGACACTGGTCGGTGTTACCAGCTTTTGGCTGTTGCTATACAGTACATACCCCATGCTTCTGATCACTTTCGCTCTTGGTCAATCTTGAATTCTTTTGAGTCTCCTGTTGTTTGCTGTGTTTTTCTGAACTCTGTAGTTGTAGTTTGTTAGCTAGATATAGCTAGATATAATTTCGCATCGGTGCAAGATGGTGCAAGAAACCGCCATCACATCAGCCAATTTTGGAAAGCTTTTCTATAAGGCCCAGACTTTGATGATGCAGCGATTGCAGCTACAAATGAACCGGTGCCTTGTCATTTGTCGAATCTTACATGACCTTTCCGGCACTGTGGATTTCACTTGGAGTAATTGATGATCTGCATTTGCGATGGTCGATGGTCGGAAAGAAACAAAATCAATTTAAAGCATCTGGAAGGAAAAGCTTGCTGGTAGGGGTTTAGATCCTAACTTCTTGCTGTTTGGGTTTCCTGGCACATATTGTGCACAGATCCAGTGCACGTTTTATGTTGGTTTTGGGCGGACTTGACCAAACGCAACAGTGAGCAGTTGGTTTATCTTCACCCCACAGCATTCAGGGCCAATGTGACCAAACGTCACAGTGAACCGCAAATTGAGTTCAGATTCTGTTGTTCTCGTTGTTGTCGTTGTTGTTGTTGTTGTTGTTCCCTCGGCCTTGTATACGCGGGCATGTTATGTTTTTTTAGTTTTTTTCCAGATGTTTTTCTTGATTTTTCGAACAGTTATTCTGTTGT